GAAACTGCTAACCAATTATATGGCTAGCAGTTTCAGCGATTCGCCACGGATGGCGCCACCGGTCCAAAAATAGTGGTATTCCGCGATTAAATGTAATTTTAACAGTGTTCTGATTGTTTATTGTTATTTTCAATGACAGTGGATTAATCTACGTTCTTTTAGCTTCAAACTGAATGCTTGATCAAGACGTCACTTGTCCATAGAACGTTGGAAGAGCTATTTAAAGTGAACTAAACGGGGTACGCATCGCGAGATAGAGTGTCAACCGTTGCAAACAATTGAGATTTTAACAATGTTCTTGTAATTACTGGTTCCCACCTGCTAGAGCGTACTAATCTGCGTTCTTTAAACTTCCAATGTAATCCATGACGAGGAAAACTGATGCTCGTTTAGCAGTGTAAATCCGATCGAAATATGTGTCGATTACATAACCACTAAACAGGCAACACTTTTCTTCGTCGTGCATTCCATTCGAAGTTTAAAGAATATAGTTTTGTACCCTAAAACGGCTGATTCGTATTGACCAAGCACTCAACTTGTAGCTGAAAAAACGTAGATTAATCTACTGTCAGTGGCAATAACAATAAACGACCAGAACACTGTTAAAATCGCAATTTATTTACAACGGTTAACACTGTATCTCGTCATGCGTACCCCGGTTAGTTTACTTTGAATAGCTCTTCCAACGTTATATGGACAGGTTACGTCTTGATCAAGCATTCAGTTTGAAGCTGAAAGAACGTAGATTAATCCGCTGTCTTTGAAAATAACAATAAACGACCAGAACACTGTTAAAATCGCATTTAATTGCGGAATACCACTATATTTCGACTGGTGGCGCCACCCGTGGCAATTCGCTGAAACTGCTAGCCAAATCATACCGACAGGTGAGTGAAAATTCCTAATGATGGAAAATGCGAGTATCTTAATAATTAAGTGCTGACAATCCCGTGCATCGAACCAATACCCCAGAAACCCATCATCAGGAGAATTATTTCTGTCAACTCTACAAATTTACGTATCAACACTGGTGGTAATAATTTGTCTAATTATGGGGTTCTGCTGTATTCAATCGACGCATCGAATTATGTGGAATAATTTAAGGCTAGCAATCTTAATTTTTAGCACTTAATTACTGAGATATTCGCATTTTTCTATCATTAGGAATTTTCACTCACCTATCGGTATGATTTGGCTAGCAGTTTCAGCAAATTGCCACGGGTGGCGCCACCAGTCGAAAAAATAGTGGTATTCCGCAATTAAATGCGATTTTAACAGTATTCTTGTCATTTATTGTTATTTTCAATGGCAGGGGATTAATCTACGTTCTTTCAGCTTCAAACTGAATGCTTGGTCAAGACTTAACCTGTCCATATAACGTTGGAAGAGCTATTCAAAGTGAACTAAATGGAGTACGGACGACGAGTTACAGTGTCAACCGTTGCAGATAAATGTGATTTTACCAATGTTCCTGTAATTATTGGTTTCCAGCCGTTAGAGAGTATTAATCTACGTTCTTTAAACGTAATGCGATAGAAACCTGTTGCAAGCCGTATTGTCGCTCCATACGGGTCAACGTTAATATAGCCATGAATAATTTTACTGATTCTGGGGTTCTGCACTATTGTGTCTATGCATTAAGTCCTGAGGAAGAATTTTAGACTAATGATGTTCATTTTAAACGCTTAATTACTGAGATTTTCGCATTTTTCTATCATTAGGAATTTTCACTCACCTGTCGGTATGATTTGGCTAGCAGTTTGAGCTTATTGCCACGGGTGGCGCTACCGGTCGAAAAAATAGTGGTATTCCGCAATTAAATGCGATTTTAACAATGTTCTGGTTGTTTATTGTTATTGTTAATGACATGGGGTTAATCTACGCTCTTTAAGCTACACGTCGAGTGCTTGGTCAAGTCGAATACTGTCCATATAACGCTGTGAGACCTGTCCAAATATGAAGTAAACGAGGAGTGCTTGACGTGACCCAGTGATAACAGTTGCAAACATTTATGTATGATTTTAACAATGTTCTTTGACTTCTGTTTCCTAAGTAATAAATTTAAAAAATCTACGTTTTTTAAACTTCAAATCATGTGCTGGGTGAAGACTCCGATGTGCGAGCGAGAGAGTAATTACTTCAGCGCTATTTCTGTTCTTCGGTCTCTGGAATGGACACTCTGGAATGGTATGGACACTGTGGCACCACGTATTGCTGCAACCCTGGGACTAATTGGCTAGATGTTTGGCAATTTTTCCGTAGATGGCGCCATGAGTAGGTTCTTGTATAAATAATTATTAATTAAAAACACTTCCAGGATTCTCCTTTTATTCAATAAATATAATATACAATTAAAAACATCAAAACCGACAACCATGAATGCTAAATATCATTTCAGCGGACTGTTAGGAACAAATTATTGATACTGGTGAAATAAATTTATAATTATAACCGCGCTGGATATCATGTATTTAGTCTGATGTTTGTTCACTGGACATTAGACAATTATTTATTAATATATAGCGTGGAAATTACAAATTGTTGGTACTAATGTTACACATTACATTATGTATGACGAATGTCTAGTATTATTTTTGAAACTGGCTTCTGAAAGTCTTAAAGTGATGTATGCAAAACATATTAGAGTTGAAGTAAAACTAAAACTGGAAACTTTTATCTACTGAACTTTTGTGCAATACTTTGTTCTCTGAAAAAGTATTTATTTGTTAGTTACTTTGCTTTATAAGAAAATTATAGGGGAACAAGCACTACGTGTATTTGTTCAGAGAAAAATCTCTAGATTGGTTACCTTCTGAAGCTCATGTTTTTCTATCGAGTGTTACCAATTTGCTGTGTGTGTACAGATAGTACGCAGTGTTTTTACATACATGAACGTAGAATACTTAGATACTCGATAAAGCCTTTTGTTTACCAATTACTCCGGCAACCGAAGAAAATTATAATGAGTGACGATGATCGAGACATCGACATTGAGAGCGATGTAAGTTCTAAAAAGTGCCCTTTCAATGAGTCTTATTAAAGACTTCGTTTTTCAGGAAGGTGACGACTCCGATTCTAGGCAGAGGCATTCGAATAACACCCAATATTATTCCCAAGTAAGTCCCCTAATTATTCTCGTTCTAATTGTTCCTTATTTATTTTGCATTTCTACTTGTTAATCAATCGATAATACACGTATAATTGACTTGTATGTGAAGTTTACATAGTTTTGAGGTTAGTTTGACGTTTCGTACTTAAACAACCATAGAACAGACAGAAGAGAAACTTTCTAATTGAATGATTTTCACACATTTGATTGATTTAATGTTAAATGGGAATTTAACGTTTATGATACTATTAAAGTAGATCAATATGTACTTGTAACTGTTTGTAAACAACCTTAATGTTTGAAAACAAAGCTGTGACAGCAAAAATGATTCAGTGTAGCATTGTAGGTAACATTGCTTTCTTTTGTAGTACTTATTCTAAATTACGTTCAATTAATTATTTTTTACTCTTGTGAAGAATAAAACCGAAACTTCGTGAAATGCAACTAATAGTTGATATAGAGATTAATGGAAAAAGTAAATAAACAATAATTGGGATCAAATTTAATCTTGTTTGATACAATGGTTTTTGCAATTGAAATATGTATTTTTAGGCAGAGAAACGTGCACATCATAATGCATTGGAACGTAAACGCAGAGACCATATTAAAGACAGTTTCTCCAGTCTCAGAGATTCTGTACCAGCACTACAAGGTGAGAAGGTTGCAAGTAGAGCACAGATACTCAAAAAAGCAGCTGAATACATACAGTCCATGCGCCGCAAGAATTCCTCACATCAGCAGGACATTGATGATTTGAAACGACAAAACAGTCTATTGGAATCTCAAAGTACATATTATGTTTCTAGACTTAGAGATGCTGAATAATCAGCAGAATTATTAAAATGGTAATCTATTTAGTGAAATAATTACTTCGAACACATTATTTACAGTTCGAGCTCTTGAGAAAGCGAAAATAACAGGTAATTTTGCAGCTGAGACTTGTGAAGTCACCAAATCAGAAGGTGTACCAATGTCAGGATACAATGATACAGAATCCGAGTCTTCAGATAGCGAAGCAAGCAGGACCGTACGTCAGTCAAAAAAACTAAAAGTTGGAGGGCTCCATCATTGACCAACGGTTTGACCTGGTTTTTGTTCTCTTAAAAACCTGTTTTCTCTTGAGAACCGAATTCTATATAAATATTTATTTCTCCCTCCCAAAAAAAAAGAAACATCAGGACATTTGCTCACTGAAAGTTAAGGGGCAGACGATTGTTTCAGTGAAGTATTAAATGTCTTAGAGCCAGTGTACAAAAGCGTACAAAAAAGTAGGGTAGCGTTATGCTTAATTAAAAGATCGATATGAAAGAATGTATTGTGAAACACTTTGGAACAGCCTTTTAAAGTATTCAATTTATAAATTTGTAGGACGTTTAGAATTATTTTGACGACCGAGTAATCATTTTCCAGAGTTAATATTGTATAATAATATTATCAGATTCTATTATTTTTACAATTATTGGTGATATATTATTTTTGTATTTCAGTTTCGAGTGACTGTATTAGTTGCGTAATCTTTTAATTGTTATGATTCGAAATGAAATTTGTTGATTTCCTTATAGTTGTCCATTTGACTATAATAGTCTGTGTTTAACTATAGATCTGTCAAACATTGTAATTATTTCGTCAACTAAATACCGTGCTCAATTGTAATACTTACAAAACTTTTAAACTTATTTTATCGTTTAAATAAAAGTTTAATTATATTAATAAAAATTTTAATATTATTATAAGAATAATAAAAATTCTAAAAAGGGTTTTTGCTGCTTTTGACTTATGTCTGTCCCCACTGTTTAGCTGTATATATTACTTTACATCGAAGATAAGTTTAGCGTCATCAATACTAGATTTTACGGAAAGTAGAGAAAAGTAATTCCACAAGTACTAACTATCATGTTAATACTAAATATTGAAAGGTGCCTTCAATAAAATCAGAATAAATGAGCAGAAAATGAAATGTAATTACAAAACGCATTAAGTTATTGATTTCTTCGATTTTCTTAAATACAACAGCAAATTCTTTCCAAAGACAGGAATATGCAACAAAAATGCATTCTCCAGTCGTTTTATGAATTGATAGTGCCATCTGGTGGTTAAACATATGAAATACAGAGCCCCTAATTACATGTAACCCGTTATGCGTTCTCTATTTAACCTAAACATTTACTGTCCTAACAACTAACTAAACATATTTAACATTCTCAATTAACGTTCTTGCATTTCTCTGCTTTTTAGTTATAGGAATGACGACTTTGTGTTCAACAGGTTTTATTTTTCTGGAACGATATAGTCAATTAGATATTCATTCTCAGATAATCATAGCCTAACTGGGTCAAAGTACTTCAAAAAGAAAGTATAGCTTTTGCTATATAACTGTCATTTATCGTAGACAAATTTGTGCGAAAACATTCCCCTACCTGCGCTGAAGGCGGACAGATCGAATTCTGGCGCCATTAATCTGCGCATGAGCCCGCACATGGCCGTTCACTGCGCAATGCAGTTGCAATTTGCCAATAAGCTTTTAAATTAAACAGAACCCTTCTTATACTTAACTGTTTTTTAAATATAGTTAATAAATACTTAACTGTTTAAAAATACATTAGTAAACTTGTTTATTAAAAATGAAATATCTAATATTACAATATTATTGCTAATACAGCTGTATTAAATTTGTCTGTTATTCTAAAAATTTAATGAAAGTTTAATTGTTTATTCTAGTCAAATGTTTTAGAATTTGGGTTTTTAAATTATCGACAGACATTAATTATATGCTTTCGTCTACATTTGCTTGTTTTAAGGAAACTATTGTTTCCTCTTGGCTTATATACTGTACTAGATTTGTTATTTATTTTGTCTTGAGGAAATATCACGTTGCACACTGGTATCTTAAATTCACGCTCCTCGCGTCTGATTGGCGTTCGAAAAATGTATAAATAATTGTACATCTGAGCGAACGTTCTGAGCGACACTGCCTTTTTGAACAAAAGTGTATCAAAAATCGGTTAAAAATCGATTTTTCTATTATACATAGATTTTTTAAATATTTTTTCTAAGTGAACCAAGATGGCTGCTTACTCTCTGCATATTTATCTGTTTATTTATAATAATTATAATACGTGTCCATTTCGAAAATAAATACTCACTCGGCCAAAAAACTCGACATGTTTCAGGTATTTCAGTATGTTAGTAATCCATATATCGCATTGTTTATTCAAGTCGATTGTCGCACAGCCGCTATTCACAGAAAGCAAATTCAACATGCTCGCGAATTTTGGATCACTCAGCTCTTTTAAATGTTCGATCTTGTATTTTTTCGTTTCCGATTGCAAGCCCAATACCCCCTTTTTCGCTACGCCGAGTAGATTGGCGAATTCGGATGATGCCATAAGAAAATCTGCTGGTTCCAAAGGAAGCTCCATTGGTCTTTAAAAAAATAGATGAATTTTAGAATATCAATAACTCAAAAATAATCAGTTTAATTAGTTGTGTAACAATTGCAATACTGCAGAAAATAATTGATACTAATATACTACGAGCAGTAATAATTAACACGTTCACTAGCAGTGACTAAATAGTGCATGTACAGTAAATCATCGATGAGTGTTCAATGATAGTTATTTCAGCTGCACATAGCCATTAGTTTGTGAAATATTTAATGTTCAGGAGCCTACGAACACTCACCGATGATTTACTGTAACGAGCTCGATTTCTCGTGACTAAAGACTATTATACAATATAAAAAAAATAAGTGTAACTCAGACTTCGTTGCATTTTTTAATGTAAACAGTAAAACTGTAATGTATCAAGAATATAACTATGTAGTATGTAAATGGGGTAATAGGTTTAATAAAATTAAATAATAATGATAACATAATTAAATTAAATAATTAATTGTTAATTTAATAGTAATAGATTTTAATAAAGTTTAATAGTATGTACGTATTATTAATATTGTAAATTCTAAGTTTGCATAAATATATATTTTATTTGTAAAATATTTAATTTTTCCTTATTTTGTTGATATCTTATAATATTATTTGTTTCATTATTCATTGCCTATTTTCTATACTTTAATTTTTAAATAAATGACGTTATAAATATACCTAAATCTTCATCTTCAAATGTACTGTGAAATATAAATAAAATATATATAAAAAAATAAGTTACACAGTTTTAAATGTTTATACGAAAAAATGTAATAAAACAGAAAAATATATATACAAGAAAATGCACTAAAAAAATAAAAAGCTGAATTAATCAATAATATGCTTTGGAGAGTACGAAATTTTGTAATTCCTGTTGACACAAGATTTTCTTATCTCTGCGTTTAACTGTGACTCATTACATATACCATTAACGTTACCTTCGTCTGTATGCAATTTGTTTATCGAAAACACGTTATTAAATTTCAACATGTAAAAACTTTCCAGATACTTTAAATAAATCGTTTATAAATACGATCTCACAAAATTCCGAATTAATGTGTAGTTTCGTACTGTCACAATTTAAATGGATGCTTATTATCAAATTTGCAGGACCATTGTTCGATACTCGGATTTTTCGTGGTAGTTATTGATAACCATAAAAATTTGTCCCTGTCAATTTTCAATTGTACTCTTATTCGCACATGTTGCAGCTATATTCACAATTCTCGAGAATAATCATAGAATGTATTATAATTATAAGTATAAATTGATGTACTTTTTTATAATAATCGATATATTATAAAATATTAATTTTTATTTAACTTTATTCAATATTACATAGAATACTCTTTATTTTTAACTTATTCGGAACTTTTAAAGGATTTTTAAACAATTTTAAATGTTTGGTAATCATATAGTATTAAAAACGATACCTCGCATATTCTGTTTGGGAAGATGAAGATGACCTTAGTATCGCCTTAATGCTTTTATCGTATTACTAAACACGACCTTCTCGTTTTACGATTCCATCCATATTAAATGCCTCGTAATAACCACCTTAATAAATAGATAAATATATAAATATATAACGAGAATATTTGCGAAGAAAACTGTATTTACAGGTGCAATTATCTTCAATGTAATTATGTATACTGTTACTCAACTATTAACTGAATAATAAATTATTTCACAAGACGAATTAAATGCTTATTTTTACGAAATAGTTCAGAAAAATACGAATTTTGCATAAGAGTTCATAATCTTATTATTACATAATTCTTTATTAAGTTTATATAATTGATACTTCTATTCCGTTTCTCAACACTCGCCGCCGCCATTTTAGAGACGAAAAGAGTAGAAGTAAGGTGTTTTGAATTTAAATTGTTATCAGAGTATATTAAAAATAAATGAAAGATTACTTATTCATACACCGAATATTATTTTATAACAATACTTCCTATTATTATGTCCGTATATCTTTCTTATCTCACTAATGAATATTTAAATATTGCAAGTTAATTACCAATTAGGAAGCCCGTACTATGTGGAGAAATATCCAATATGGCGGCCGTCTCTGAACTGAAAACTTCAATGGAAGCATTCCTATGTTTTTGTCTTAAAAAAAAAACACATAAATTGTTTACCTGCTTGTTTTGCAGTGGTTGAATGGAAATTAAACAAGACCAACGACTCCGTAATTACTTCCTATCACAATTAATTCGACTTATCGTTGTCCCCTCCTTGGAATCCGGCGAGCGTGGAAATTTACGAGTCGAAGAGCTTTCGAAACTATTTACCCGTCTCGCGATATTTACGAGTGTCAGAGACGTTTCGATGACACCCAGAACCGTAATTCATTCTTTTATTGACACACCCCGGATCTCATAAATGAATGCACACCCACAATAATGATATTATTGCTTCAATAACAAACAACATTTGTTCCCTCCTGATTGACGCTAGAACTGCCAGCGTTGCATCGATATTCTTATTACATACCTACTTTTTAAATTGAGTTAAATTATTAAATTAAATGGATAAACTTCCGAAAAATTCACACACCCGATGACCTTGACCTTGACATATAATTAAACTAGAAAGTTTGTATTTTATCTTTAACTGGATATAATTCTCGAGAGGGAACAAAGAAATTCTTATTTTTACTCCTCTCTATGTTGAGTTAGACTCGAGGCAGATGTTTTATTGAGAAAAAATACAAACAATTAAACGATGTATACAGATTCCCAGGGTTGGTTATTTAATTGATAAACGGGTTACGTAAAACGAATGTTATCAAGTGCTTATTTAACAGAAAGCTTCGTACACCCTTTATCGGATTCGTTGATTATCAAAGAAAACACATTTCTGCTTTCAACATAGCGGAGTCAAGAAAGTTAACCTTATATTATTTTCATTACGAACATTCAGATAAAAATTATGCAGAAGTAAATACATAATTGCCATTCTTGGATGCAAGTTGAAGCAAAATATTCCGTTATTGATCCCTAACAAACGTGAAAAGCGTTTGAATATTGGCGCTCTTTTGACGCGAACTTTTTCATTAATCAAATACTCAAATACAAGATGTTCCTGTCCAACAATAATTAATTAATTATACATTTTGAACTATAACCTAATTATTATTTACTTATACTTTATTTATTATTACTGATTTTTACCTAATTATACCTTCTTAATCATTATTCAATCCTGTACTCTTCCGTAGTCGCGTCTTTGACGCTCAAATTGCACTTTCATTTCTCACGATTAATTTTTAAGCAGCAGGTACACGCAATGCATACATTTCTTCGTTCTATGCAAATCAGAGCCCAAATTTAATAACATTTTTTAAACAATTCTTTATACATTAAGTTTAATGAAGTAAAATAAATAAAGTCACAGTATTAGGGACACTAGCAGTAACTGGGACATTTACCCTATTTCAAATGAATCGATATATATATTTTCATTTTCAAATAACAATATTAAAAGTATAGTTCCCAAATAAATTACTTGAAATAATTATTTCATATTTTCATTTCAAATAAAATTTGCCCAATTCTAACCACGACCCGGATAGCAAATGACGCCTTGAAGACGTCCATTTTACGGCTATTTTAGGCCTAAGGGCCTTTAAGCCGTCTTCAAGGCGTCATTGGGCGTCACGTGGTATCTGGGGATCAGCTTGCATTGGTTCTCCTAAATCCACCGTGTGATACGATTTTTATTTTCAACGTGACAATCAACCATAAAAATACACACGTTAATGACAGACCTCGGGTATCATCGGAACAGGTCAGAGGTTCTAAGCGATTGCCTTATTTCGTATAAGTATAAAAGGAGCCGGCCCACCAGTGTCTGGTACATATTAAGTTCGTCTTTGTAACGAGGACGACGAAAGATTTAACCGAAAAAAAAATTTTTTTAAATCATGGGGATGCTGAAGATCGCGTTGTTCCTGGCGATCGGCGCCGTTTGCCTCGTCGAGGGCGCGAGAATCACGCAAAACCGCACCGCGGACATGGACTTCCTGCACAATCAGAAGAAGATCTTCGAGCTGTTGCTCTACGTTCAACAGAACGATCTGATCGACAGCGAATACCTCGTCGGCAAAGTCTACGACCTGGAGAACAACATCGACATGTACAACGACAAGGTGATACTAGCTGACACGCTTTCCTCTGGCAGTTACTGGGTGTCTTTAACAACCATTAAATCTTCAAAGCACAGGATTTTACTATTTAAACAATGTCCAGTTGCACAGACATTTTTCCAATTCTCAAATTCGCAAGTTCTCGAGTTCTCAAATCCTCAAATTTGCAAGTACTCAAAGTCACAAATTCGAAAATCCTCACATTTGCACGTCCTCAAACACTCAAATTCTCAAATTCTCAAATCTTCAAATTTGCAATTTCTCAAAGCCCCAAATTCGCAAATCTTCAAATTTGCAAGTTCTCAAACTCTCAAATTCTCAAATTCGCAAGTTCTCAATTTCTCAAATTCTCAAATCCTCCAATTCTCAAATTCCAAAATCCTCAATTTGTAAGTTCTCAAAACCCCAAATTCGAAAATCCTCAATTTGCAAGTTCTCAAACTCTCAAATTCGAAAATCCTCAATTTGCAAGTTCTCAAATCCTCAAATTTGCAAGTACTCAAACTCACAAATTCGAAAATCCTCACATTCGCACGTCCTCAAACACTCAAATTCTCAAATTCGAAAATCTTCAAATTTGCAAGTTCTCAAACTCTCAAATTCTCAAATTTTCAACTTCGCAAGTTCTCAAATTCTCAAATCCTCCACTTCTCAAATTCCAAAATTTCATGCAAAAATTATGTGCTAATGCTGATGCACTCAATTTCCAAAAATCATGTGCTATTTTAAACTGGGGTTAATTTTCTTGAAATTGTCTTCATCTAACACGCCATGTTGTCGCAAGAAAGGCGCGAAATTTGAATTCACATTATGTCTCCAGCTCACTAAAAACCGTTAACAGATTACTAATCGATACATTTGTAATATCACGAAGAAAAGATCGTGTTTATCTATAAATTCAGGACAATTTCCTTAAAATTGTCTTCGTTTCTCTGCTCCAGACATCCGTGCAGAGGCTGCTCTGGTTATACAGGCAAGGAGTAATGGTCGATCGCCAGGCGATATTCTCACCGTACAACAACGAACAACTGTTCGAGATGAAACAATTGTTCGGTGTGCTCATCTCAGCAAAGAACTTCGACACCTTCTATAAGGCCGCCTCGTGGGCGCGTCTTCGCGTAAACCCCGGAATTTTCGTTTCGGCGTTCTCGGCTGCGGTCTTGTACAGACCCGACTGCAAGTACATGAGACTCCCAGCGATCTACGAGATTTTCCCCAACCTCTTCTACAGCTCGAGAGTGATCCAAGAAGCGGAGAACATCAAGATGTCAAGAGGTAAAGTGTTTCATATTCTAACTATTCCACAACAAAAGAACAGATTTTCAAGTCCTTAAACTTTCAAATACTCAAATACTCAAATACTCAAATACTCAAATACTCAAATACTCAAATACTCAAATACTCAAATACTCAAATACTCAAATACCCAAATACCCAAATACTCAAATTCCTAAATTTCCAAATCCTCAAATTTGCAAATTCTCAAAGTAAAAAATTTGCAAGTTCCCAAAGTCCAAAATTCCCAAATCCTCAAATTTGTAAGTTCTTAAACTCTCAAATTCTCAAATTCTCAAATACACGAATACTCGAATACTCAAAGACCCGAATACTCGAATACTCAAATACTCAAACTCTCAAAATCGTAAAATCCCAAACTCTCAAGCTCTAAAATTCTCAGGCACTAACTCTCAAAATCTCAAATACTCATCAATTCAAATTCTCAAATTTAGAAATTTTCCGATTCTCAGATCTACAAATACGTAATTTTCAACAAATTTCAACTCTTAATTCTTCGTTTATATGTATTACCAAAAGTCATACTCTCGATGTTGGAGTCAAATTGACGAATTGCACAACGGCTAAAAGCGTCTTTCCACCTGAGTGGAAGCTCTATTTTGAACAGACCAATATACATTAATAAAGAATCGAATTTCCGAATAATGAACTATGAAATATAATGTATTTTTCAGGCATGCGTTTAGCCCCAGAAGTAGGTAACCAGGAAACGTTCATGATCTACGCCAACTATTCCAGCGCCTACATTCCCTTCGAGGACTCAGAGTACCAGCTGGACTACTATATGGAGGACGTCAGTCTGAACGCGTACTACTACTACTTCCGTCAGGTGTTCCCAACCTGGCTGAGCAGCAAAACCGTCGACATTCCAATGAACATGCGCGGACAACTGTACTATTTCATCCATCAGCAGCTGATGGCCAAATACTACCTGGAACGTCTTTCGAACAACGTGGGTGAGATCGCAGATTTCGACTGGTACAAGCCCATCTATCCTGGATTCTTCTCTGGCCTGACGTACTCGAACGGTATACCGATCCCACACAGGAACAGGTACTCGAACATCCCCTTCTACAAGAACAAATATCTTAAGGTACGTAAAAGACTTTGGTATTGTATATTTTCATCTTGATTACATCTTCTTTGACCTAACAGTGTTTCCATCTTTAGAGCTCTGTCTCCAGTTTTCCATTTTCCAATTCCATCCAGCTTTATCCTATAATTTCATCTAGATTCACCCTCCAATTCCATCCACTTTCATCCTCTAATTCCATTCACTTTTATCCTCCAATTCCATCCACTTCCATCCCCTAATTTCATCCACTTCCATCCTCTAATTCCATCCAGTTTGATCCTATAATTCCATCCAGTTTGATACCCTAATTCCATCTAGTTTCATCCACCAATTCCATCCAGTTTGATCCTCTGATTCCATCCAATTTGATCCTCTGATTCCATCTAGTTTCATCCTATAATTTCATCCAGTTTGATCCCGTAATTACATCTAGTTTCATCCTCCAATTCCATCCAGTTTGATTCTGATTTTGAATTTGAATTTCTTTAATTTAAGGCAAATAAAAGCATTGCCGCTATTGTGTATACTTTCAATGTGTGGTTGAACTGAATCCTGTAGCAGGGTTGAACGACTTTTTTGTAAACTTTTTAATCAGTGCAACATTTTTGTTTTCTTTAAAATGTTGGAATACTTGTTCGATTGTTAATTTAAGAATTAAGTATAAGAATCATTTCATTTTATGGGTCAGTACTTGTGATCTTTTTTTGGTAGGAAGACTATTGCCCTCAAAGTATTTAGAGAAGGTTAATAGTGTAATGATTTATTCATTCGATAAATGAATATAAATATGTAAATATTGAAATCTCAAAGGAATATGAAGTAATGAGTGTGAAATTATCAGAAAAAATCAATATATCAGTAGGATCAATAGATTTAAATTGTAACTGAAATATCGGCAAAAATGGCGTCCAAAGTGGCGACCAAAATGGCGTCCAAAATGGCGGATCAAATTGCATTTACGTTAGAAAGTTCGTACCCAAATATATAATTCCTATGTTAACTTACATTTTTATTTATATAAAATTTCGAGATTTTTCAGTTGCCAACATGATGATAAGGTAATTGTGAATGTTCCAGGAAGTAAATGTTCTGGAAACACGCATAATGGAAGCCATCGACTCCGGCTACCTGTACGACACCGAAGGAAACAAGGTGAACATCTACACACCAGAGGGTCTTACTTTACTCTCCAACGTAATCGAAGGAAACATCGACTCCTGCAACATAAAATTCTACGGAATGTACGATGCCCTCGCCCGCGACATTCTTGGATACAGCTTCGAATACAAGGACAAGAGCAAGATGATCCCAAGCGCCCTTCAATGCTACCCCGTCAACATGAGAGACCCTGCTTTCTACATGCTTTACAAGAGAATCATGAGCTACTTCCTCAGGTACAGAATCTAATAATGTACCCGGAATTCATCGTGGAATTCCAAAATATTGAAATTTTAAAACCTCCAAATTTTTACACCTCAAATTTCCAAATTTTTAAACTGTGATTCCAAACTTTGAATTTCTAGATTTTTAAATCTTTTAATATTAAAATACTCAAATTTACAAATTCTCAGCTTTTCAACTTTTCAAATTTTCAAATACTCAAAATCTCAAATTCTCAAATTTCCAAGTTCTTATATTTTCAAATGCTCAAATGCTCGAAAACTCTAAACTTTTCTAATTTTCAAATCTTCATACATTCATACATTTTAATTGTTCATAATTTCATATTTAAAAAATTTTTAAATTCACAAATCTAGAAATTTTTTGACTCTCGGATCTACAAATACGTAATATTCAAACCTGCACATTTCCCATAGTTCAAGTAACAAATTCCAAAAATTCCTAATGGTCTATATTTGAACTTCTCAAACGACAAACACCAAAATTCGTGTAACCTTTACAGATACAAGAAATACCTGCCATCGTACACCCAGTCCGAACTGCAATTCCCTGGAGTTAAGATCGAGTCCGTCAACATCGACAAGCTGAGCACCTACTTCGACCAGTGCGACACACTGATCAGCAATGCCGTCGCAGTGGAGAACTTAAAAACTGGACAATCGCTGCGTTTGAAGGCTCGTCGACGATGCCTGAACTACAAACCGTTCTCGTACAAATTCAACATCAACTCCGACAAAGAAATGAAGGGTATGCTTAGGATCTTCCTTGGACCGTCCTTCGACGAAATCAAACAAGACTTCATCTACTTAAAGAACTACTACTACAACTTCGTCGAAATGGACAAATTCGTCGTGGAACGTAAGTAACCGAATTTTGTATTACCTTTGCTTATAACAGACTGATCTTAACCTAACGTTACCTAACCTTAAACGATTATTACTCTTAAAGTGCGTATCCACTTGTTGCGTATCCTCGTAACGTATCACTATTGTGAATCAATGTAGACAGGCAAGCGTTGCATCGTTGCATATGAAAATGTATCGTATGGTGACAGGATACAATGATACGATACGAAGATACGAACAAGTGGATACGCACCTTCAAACGTTCTACTTTAATGCACGTCTTCACTCGGTCCATAACAGTCCGCCATCTTGTCGTCGCGTCATATTTGACTGACAACCGTTCCCACGGAATATTTATTATTTATTTTCCTTTGGAAACATTTTATGGGACATTTTAGACGGAATACTTAGTGTTTGGTGACTGTTTTTGGAATTATTCACACATTCTTTGTCGTTTGAAGTCACAAAGTAAGGAAAACAGTTAGAAGATACATAGGAACATACAATATAACATTTTTTCTTTTAAGTCATGACTAACATGGCAAGTCAGAAAAACAAGTTAATGCAGAATTATTTAATTGTGTATGATTAAGCCATCAAACTTTATAATAATATTGCTACACACACTTTCATTAACTCATCTAGATAATAGAATTTCACTGGACCTACTATTACATGAACCATTAATATCTAAAAGTTTCCGTTCAGTCCGCCTTGAAATGGTGCGTCAGGGTTCCCTATAGTGACGCCGTCATACCCAAATGGTGCACTATAGGGACGCAACACTTCCATCAATTCATTTCTATTGCAAACTTTTACTAAATCTACCATTACTTTAACCATTAATGTAGTCAAAATATTCATTTAATTGACTAAGGAATGAACACCATTGAGCGTCAGGGCTCCTTCTAGGGACGTCATCAGACCAAAATGACGGACTACAGGGACGCAATGCTTTCCTTAACTTATCTATAAACTCGTAATAAAATTTTACTAAATGTACTATTACATTAATTGTTAACGTCTAAAAATTTCTGTTCAGTCCGCCAAGGAATGAACAACATTGAGCGTCAGAGCTCGGACTCGACGATGACGCAACCGGAGATGATACCCAGTGACATATTCATGGACAAGCTGAACAAGGCGATCAGCGGAAGCGAGCCGTTCATGTACTCCGAGAGTATGTTAGGCTTCAGCGAACGTCTCACATTGCCGAAGGGAAGGCCAGAGGGCATGAAGTACAAAATGTTCTTCTTCCTGAGCCCGTTCGACGAGGGCAGCGCGCAAACATACGAGATGCCGATGTTCGGCAAGATATTGACCGACAACCGACCGGCCGGTTTCCCATTGGACAGACCGATGTACGCCTGGAACTACACCATTCCCAACATGTACTTGAAGGACGTGCTGATCTACAACCTAAACGAGAAGGAGATGTAAATTCGCTCGAGGACCGATTGTTACTTCCTATTTTTCAGCTCTACGTTGTGACGAGGAATACATTTAATAAAGAACTTTGAATGACAGATAGATCGTTGTTATCCAATTTTTTTTTCCTGGTACCTTTGTTACTGAGTGATTTTCAATGCTTGTATACGGGGTGTCCTGTAAGTAGGAGACTGAAGCGCAAAGATTGCGACTCTACGCGGAGATGAAAGTGTGGAATAAGATTTTTTGACGTTTGTTTCGCTTCGTTGCGACTATTGAATCTGAATTTTGACTAAATTTGATTCGAGCACTAAATGTATAGGATGTTCCATATTTGGAGGTAAAAATGAAAAGATGGCGATTTTATGTAAAAGAAATGAGATAAAAATATGGAATATAATTTTGTCGTAATTCGTTTGGTTTTTGGGATAATTGAATTTGTGTAATTATTGAGTTTGTGTACATATTGTCTATGTCCGATTTGATGACAGTGTATATTGTTTATTGCATACTTTTCAACATAATATGAATGAAAAATATATATTTTATGCGTTTAATTGAAATGTGTGTTCTATACCTAATCTTATTATTTGTAAAAAAAATTGTTTTAACTGTTGATTGATTTTTTAATGGATAAATTTATTATTCCATGACCCGTTTTATGACTGTATGCTTCAAAAAATTATTGTACATAACACTAAGTAAATAAACTAATTTGAAATTTAAATATTCCCTAATTCCCCTTTTTATTGAAAACAATACTTAGATTTACTGCGTTTTTATAATAATTACTTATTTTGATTCAGCAAATGTATGGTTTTTGTATTTTCTAACGTATGAAAGTTGCCTAAAATATTTCAAATAGAATATTGAATATTATGAAAATTGTATGGTTGTACTGATTACTACACAATGATTCCTATAGTTGCTATTGTATTTCGAATTTTATAAATATTTGATTCTCGGGAAAGAAAAAATGTTTTGTGTAGAAATTAATTGTTACTCTATCAATATACATATGTATATCTGGGGGTAAAATAAAAAAGTTCCAGAACAATAAATATATTTTAAGAATAAAAATTTGTAAACATTTAAGTTAAAAAGTAGGTAGTCGAAATAACGATATAGTATGTATAATGTTGGCAAGAAGCTATGATTGTTATATTATGTATAATATAACAATAAAAATATTTTTATTGAAAATCTTTGAAACATTTAAGCCATTTTGTGTCATTCTAAATTATTTAAAATATAATAAGATTATTCTTCAGCACTATGTACATAGTTATTCGAAATATAAAAAATCAACGTAACTAAACTGAATATTTTCTTATACCAAAATTTTCTTCTAATTTTTCCAAAAAGTATATAATTTCAAAATTTTGTTAACATAAACCACGGCAATATGCTTGAAACATTGGTATAGAATTGTCAACTACATCTTATATTTGCACTATCAATTTATAATAAGATTAAATATTAAGAATTTTAATTATACATATTATCTGTACCAATAAGTAATTTGTTATATTTTGTTAAATTTGTTTTACTTAAAATCAATACTTTGCACTAATTTAACAATATTTATGATTTTGTATACATGCCTTTTGTACGGGGTCAATTGGCGGGAAAAACTCCATATTTCAATTATTTTATCATTTCACTAACAAAAAATAGTGGAATATTCATCTATACAGCTAATACTTAAAAATTATTCTTAAACTAAATATATCTCATATCTTTTTCGTACGAATAGCCATGGAAACTATCAAAACTGTTTATATTGTTATTAACATTATATTGTCCACGCAACAATATGTTCTATTTAAAGACCATTACATCGACCATTTCACTTCAGATTTCGATTATTTATCGATTCACGGTTTATCTGGACTGCCATGGATCGGACCAACCCGGATTACAAAAAATTCTAAAATATTTGCACAAAATAATGAGATAAAGCGAAACTTTCTACGAGATTTCGATGTCAAAGGTGAAGCGACAATCGTATTGAAGATTTCACTGGTCAAGGAATAACACGATATTAAGTAGCGGAAATTGAAGAGTTATCAGTACTTTCTACTTGCTACATGTCATAGCATACTTTGTAGATACATATCTACTAATGTAGCAATTTATTGATCTATGATATTGATATACATGTAGCTAATAGTATCGATGTTTTGATTAATTTTTTTTCGCACTGTTGTTATCTGGCCATCTTTTTATTTTTTTTCGCGATAAATAAATACGTGCTTTCGTAGCAGATACAAGAAATGGAAATAATTCTTTTGCTTTCTCACTCATATGTATAAAGAAATGTAATTTTATTTATTTTCTGCTAATAACAAAAATAGTGAAATATGGAACAATATTACATTAATAGAAATTAGTTAGGTACTATTTAAATATTACTTCTAATCCTGTCTACCATAAAAGAAAACTATGTAAATTATAATGTAATTAGAAATGTATAAATGAACTAACCAATAAATAAAATTTGTTACTACAAGGAAAGATTATTATTATTGATATCTCAATTCTGTCTGTGTCTTAATATTTATTGTACTTATATTGAACTATAAATATTAAATATATGTATTTGTTAACACTAGAACTACCAATCCTGTCAAAATGACTGGTTACAAATTTACTATTTTTCCATTACTGAAATTATAATGCTGCTTTTGACGGAATTTAGGGCTACTTTTAATTTACTACAGATTTTGCTTTATGGTACATATATTATGCTAGATTGTCTTATATATTCTGTATATTATTGTAATATACAATTTAATTTTATATACATTTAATGCTGGTAGTTCTAGTGCTACCACACAATTTTATATTAAGTTAATAAAAATCTTTCTACACGTATATATTCTTTTATTTAACAAAGATACCTTTCAAACGAACCCCTATTTAATGAACTTTTCTCTTGGATGAAATTTAATTAACACAATTAACAGCTTTTATGTTTAAACAGAAAATCTCAAAAGAAGAAAAGGATTCTGTTAATGAACTGAAAATTGTTTAACGAATTGAAAAATCGAACGAACTGAGTGAGAAAAAAAGAATGAGATAGTTATTAATACTGCTTACAATTTTCTTTTTTGTAACAGTGAACGCATCTTATCGACCCGTAACCTTAACACGTTTAATTCGTTCTCTTCTGTGATATTACAATGACATAATTAACTCTCGTCTGGTAAACAGCAACGCAACTTTAATCGATTAGCACTTTCTTATGTTAAATAGCTCCATCGGTCCACCGCCAACGCGCAGATAATGCAATCAAGGAGATATATATTTTCGGCGACAGTTTTGTAATAACGTTAGGTAACAGAATGCAATCGAGACGCCAAGAAAAAATTGCGATTAACACCCGATAATTCTGATATGCATTGAAATCGAAGGCTCAAAGCGTTCTAATTTGTATTTGATAATAAAATTATTTATTTAAAATCAATTAAAATAAATTAAAACTAATTTTTAATTAATTATTCATTTACATTATTCACCTGTCCCATACGTCATTTTGTATTTAAAAGATTTTATTATTACACATTTGGTATTCTACTGTTAATATTGATCTTTTATTATTTTTAATTATTTAATAAGAATACATAATTTAGAAGAATAAAATTCTCATGTCACCGATAAACAACCAATTTTCTGTTAATTTATGAAACTGAAGTATTTACTTTACATTATACTTTTTTCTTTCTCCGTGTATAAAATAAAAATATAACCTAACCTAACCTGTGTTCTTATATTTATTAAATAGAAACAACCAACTTTCTTAAAAAAGATCCCTAAATTATCAAATAAAGTGTTAAGTTTTCAGTTTTCATTTTTGTTCTTCAAATATACCTATATCGTAAAAAGTTATACATTCGACATGTAGGAAATGTATGCATTATCTAGTAAATGAATGCATTTACTAGAATTAATATACATTCTTATATTCGGTTCATACTTCTGCAACAATCGTACCTAAATGCACATATTGACTAGTAAGTGTACACATTTACTGTGACATATATATCAGAACACAACTAACGTTATATACGGTGACTCACATATTTCTTCACATACAACCTAAACAACAATTAAATGTAAAAATTTATACGAAATTTCTGTTCACGTATCTCCATTATATTTACTTCTATAATACTTTAAAGATAACTTTTTCTTGATTTTGGAATGAAATTCGCAGTTCGGTACGTAATTTTTTCAAACAGTACTAAAAATCTGTGAGTCCGTGTATTACACTTTTGAAACGTTAAAAAATCCACGAATTTCACTTATCGATCGAATCGACCGAATTGTACTTCGATCTATACGAAAGAAACAGCCGATAAAGGCGATTAGCCATCCTCGACGACCTTACGCTAAATCGACCCCGGATAGATTTATCGAGCAATTATCATGATCCGGGAACCGTTTCGATTCGGGTATATAAGCCCGAAACGAACGGTCCAGGTCACATCTGGTCCCAACACGGTCGAGATGAAGTCAATTATCCTCTGCGTTTTGGCCAGTCTGTGCGTTTTTGCACAGTCGGCTCACCTGCCCACACAAACCGCCGACAATGTCTTCCTGACCAAACAGAAGAACATCTACGAACTCTTCTGGCATGTGGACCAACCGAACGTTTACTTCCCGAAACTGATCCACAAGGCACGAGGCTTCAACATCGCCGAGAATGTGAAAAATTACGCAGACCAGGTACGTGAAATCTTGCGTCTTTAATTCGAAAACAACAATACAGAGTGTTTCCAAAATGACATGGTCTGATTTTACGTGGAATAATAAGTCGAAAATATGGTATAATGTTTCTTCGTACAACGCTTCGTTCTCGAAAAATTCGAGTTCGAAGATCGGCTGGATAGGCGAGCAGTTATCGAATAGGACTTGGCTAGCGCGTGAACTATTTAACTAAAAAAGTCGAAATAACAATACTACTATGTATGTATAATATTGACGAAAAGCCATTATTATTAATTATTATATTACGTATAATAGTACAAATATTTTTATTGAAAATTTTCGTTACATTCGTACGCATGCAGTTATCGAATAGGACTTGGTTAGCGCGTCTATTCGTTGCACTCTGTTTCTACTTCTTGTCACTACCTTGGAAACGAAGCAAATTTTTAATAAAAATTTGAATTTGTCTGAACAGAGTAACAACAATAATACTATCCCAATGATGTTAATATCGTTAGCACATGATGTTTCGATTTATTACAGGAAGCCATCACCGAATTCTTGGAGCTCCTGAAGACCGGTATGCTCCCCCGCGGTGAGATCTTCACGCAACTGAACCCGACTATGCGTCATCAGGCGAACATACTGTTCCGTGTCCTGTACAGCGCCACCACCTTCGACATATTCTACAGCACCGCGATATGGGCCCGATTCAACGTGAACGAGATGATGTACATCCTCTCTTTGAGCACCGCCGTTCTCCTACGTCCCGACACCAGATACATGAAAATGCCGCCACTGTACGAGGTGATGCCACACCTGTACTTCACCTCCGAGACCATGCAGAAGGCATACAGCATCGCCATGGGTGACGTAGGTTAGTATCAGAATATGTCCATAGGTCGTTTAAAACACGGGTTTTTAAACCCTTTCACTCCCCAGTGTTGTTAAATGATAAAAATACGTTTGAGAAATTCAAGTATCGAAAAGTCTCGTTAACTACACGAAACTCGGAACCGCGTGCGCGCTGTAAGCGTGGACTGTCACCATTTCAATCCCTGGTATATTTTTAATTGAACCTCGACAATTCTTAATTTTAATCAAAAAAATGTCACTAATAGAGGTTTCATTAACAAAGAACCAGAAATAAAAAGGTTTCATTATTGTATTAGTGTTGTTTCACCGATACGCGAGCATTTAGTCTTGTTTTACTCGCTTGACTGGTTCCAAGGGGGATCTCCTAGTAGTGGGAATGACGCGTGGATAGTTAATGTAGAAGCCTTTCGCGCAGTTAACACGACTTTACTGTATTTTGATTGAAAAAATTTTTGATTGACAAATTCAAGTATTCCCATCAAAAATAAATAAAAACAGGTCAGTTTAATGTCGATATTTTCGATTTTGCTTTATCTGCGTGTATAGTTTGCATCGATTGAAATTTCTGTATTGATGAAATTTTTTCTATCGAAAGCAGGGCTAAATAATTCGTTTGAATTCGCAGCTGATGTGACAAGGACATCCGGTGGCGTCGACTACTTTATCCTCCCGACCAACTACAGCACCTGGTACCAGAACAAAGAACACGAACTGAGCTACTTGACCGAAGATATCGGTCTGAATGCGTTCTACTTCCTGGTCAACAACGAATTCCCGACCCAGGTGTCCTCTGAAATGATGCCGCAGTCGAAGCTTTTTGGATCTCGTGGTGAATTCTACTTCTTCGTTCACAAACAATTGTTGAACAGGTACCACATATCCTACCTTTTTATTTGAATTTTTATTAAAATATTTATTTACACTTTCATTCCCACTTTTGTCTAAATCTATATTTAAATCTTCATTTAAACTGTCATTTGCATCTCTACTAAATCTGCAATCAAATGTTTATGTACACTTTTATCGCAATTTTTATTTACACTTCTATGTAAGTTCTTGTTTAAACCTTGACTCATTTCATTATTTACATTTTCGTTTAAAGGTTTATTTAAACCGTTATTCACGTAAGTCTAATGCTGATTGTCACTACTCATAGTAATGTTTAGAAGGTTTCTCAATAATACAATACTATTTAATTTCTGTAATAATTTAGTAAAAACTGATAAAAAAGAAGACAATAAGATCAATGGAACAGAGATAATACTGTATCATAATGAACATTCGATACAAGTAGAAACAGCCAACAATAGTCAGACATACAGAAACAGAAGTTCTCAGCGAACTTTCAAGTTCGGTTATTTTAAAAACAATACCTGATTTAGCCCTAAATTACCCAATGAATGTCCATGTGTCTATTACTTGAACATTTTTAAACAATTGCTACTGTATCTATTACTCGAAAAAATTTCTTCTGATTAGTATTTTATCGTACTGTCAATTAAAGGTACTCAAACGCCTAGAATTTCAAAAATTCTCCGTTAGATGATGTTAGCGAGAGAAAAAATTCAAATTCACCCCTAAGACGAGTGATTAAGAGTTAAAATAAAAATTCCACTAAACTTCATCAAACTATTAACTATACCGAATTCTAGACGATCGTGAATATTTATTTCAGATACTTGTTGGAGAGACTGACCAACGGACTGAACGAAATCGAGTACATAAGCATGCACCAACCTATTGTCACCGGATACAACCCCATCATGCACTTGCCCAACGGCCTTCCCTTGGCCCACAGAGACGTTGACGCCGTTGTCCCCCGCAACATGCAGAAACACCTTCAGGTAAGTCATTCGAGTTACTTAAAAAACAATGTGCAATATACAGTTACTCACATAAGTGTCCCACCTACATATATAACATAGTTCATACCATCAATCAACGTCAAAGTTAGAAAATTAAGAAGGTGGTCGAAATACAGGTTATGTATTTATATATTTCTTCGCTACCTTGAAACCACAAAAAGATATTCATAAAGATTCAAAAAAAGAGTTCAGATGAAAGGTTTGTAGGTCTAGACAGAAAAACGATAGAGAGACTTTCCAAATATGGCGCCACTAGATGGCAGGCCTAGCAGTTCGACAATATGGCGTTGATAAATAGAAATGTTATAGGGGGAATACATCTATTATCATGCCCATTTTCACCTTTTCTTATTAAAAGAAGAGCTTAAATGAAGGTTCTGTAACTCCAAATACAGGCTATGGTCTAAATATGTCCTAGTTGATAGGTTTGGCAATAAGTCCCAAAGTAAAAGTGCTAGCCCGTGCTTAGACCACTCTGTGAATGGTACGTTGCATCAGTAAAAGCCTTAACTACTGGACCATAGCATAATACACATACACAGCCTAGTTAAACAAAGTCCAGTTATTAATAATAAAATAATATTTCGTCCAATGTCCTCATGACTTTACCAAAAGTTTCAATCACTTTTGCCCAGATCAAATAAGTTTATTCGCGAAATTTGAAAGAATCCTAATGGTTTCATGTCGATAATAATGGACGTTCAAATTTTAATTTTTAAAAAAAAACTTTTTAAATTTCTTACAGCATCTGCAGGAAATGCACAACAGAATCTCGGTCGCTATCGACGTCGGCTACGTTCTCGACACCAAGGGCAACCGCATCAACATCTACACTCCAGATGGATTAAACATCCTTGGTAACATCGTTCAAGGTAACGCTGACAGCATTAACCCACGACTCTATGGTTCCATCGACATGCTGGCCAGGAAGATCTTCGGATTCGGCGTGGAAAGCAACATGAAATACGAAGTGGTACCAAGTGTCCTCGATTATCTGAGCACCAGCCTTAGGGACCCCGTGTTCTACGGAATTTACCAGAACATCCTCACGTACTTCCACAGGTTCGTGGCAGATTTCTCAGTCTTATCTTTCGAAACAAGCTTTGGGTTCTAGCGAAATTTGGGTTGCTGGGTTATAGGCCACGTATAGCTGGTAAATGAAGAATAAGATGGCAAGAAATGAATTTCTATTGCTGAAATTGGAGAGTATGATCAGAAAGGAGTATTTAGATCTATTTATTATCTATTTTACTGCCTTAGCAGAAGCTAGCAATATAGGTGAGTCGATAGATAGCAATAGATCCATCAACTGTGCTTGGCCAAACTATACCAAAAGACGATCTTGTAGGGCAGTTGACACGAATTTAGAGTCACTTTCATACTGCTGCCTAACGCCACCAGATGGCAGATAATATTGCCACGTTAATTTTCACCTTTCTTAACTAACCACACTGAAATCACAAGAGAACATTAATAAAATTTCAAAAGAAGAGTTTAGATGAAGGCTTTGTAGGTCTAAATAGATAGAACATAGAGAAACTTCCAAAATACGGCGCCACTAGGTGGCAGGCCTAGCAATTCGACAATATGGCGGACGACAAATTGCGATCTTGTAGGGGGAATACAGCTATTTCCACGTCAATTGTCACCTTTTTTGCTAACTTGAAACCACAAAAAGATATTCATTAGGATTCAAAAGAAGAAGTGATTAGATGAGGATTATGTGGGTTTGTTTAGATACAAGGAAAACCTTCCCAAATACACAAGGGAGAAACTGTTGTTCACCGGAGTTGAAATCCAATCGGTGTCCGTGGACAAGATGATGACATACTTCGACACCTTCGAAACCATGTTGAACAACGGTCTCTCGATCCGCAACCAGAAGGAAGCCGAGGGCATGCTGATCATGGCCCGTCAGCATCGTCTGAACCACAAACCATTCACCTACAACATCGTCCTCAACAGCAAGATCACCACACAGGCAACCGTTCGTATCTTCATGGGACCCAAATTCGACGTTCATGGAAATGTGCTCGAGCTTGAGAACAACTACATGAACTTCCTGGAGTTGGACCAATTCATGGTCAACCGTAAGTATACACGCTTACATGATAACCTAGAAATTCACAAATTTTCTGAAAAATTGTATGAAAAACTCTCAATCCTTAAGTTACTCAAACGAATTCAACCGTATGGAGTTATTTAAATTAGTTCGTTCAAAACCGGTACCTGGGTCTATATGGACCCAAGCGCTCTAAAGCCTCCCCTAGTTTCTTGACTAGTCATAATCATCACTCTTGACTGACCAAAGCACTCAGATGACTTGTTAAGTCTAAAATTCTGGGATATCAATAGGGGTCAAACTAAACCCATCAGTGTATACTATAGTCCCCAAAAAGATTCGCCGTGTTAATCCTTAACCACAGAATTTGAACTTCTTTTTCACTATCGCCACCTGGCGGAGAACTTTGTAAGCTTCAGAAGATTGAGTCCTATGCTAGTTCGGTCCTAACCCTCAATTGAAAAGTGTCACAAAGTGGTCCTTGGATTATTCATCCCTTCCAGAAGTCGTCTATACTTGAGGGTTAACAAACAATGTTTAAACTATATTATATCGCAATTATAGATAGTCCCAAGTAGAAATTTAGGTTTACAATCACAAACGGACTCAAACAGAAGATAAAAATTAGACTTATAGACAGGACCAAAGGCCCAGAGTTTAGCTACCTAGGCTAATGACTAATGTGTCCCTTCGATTCCAGTGAAAGTTGGCACAAACAACATCGAGAGAAGCAGCCACCAATCGATCTACGTGGTCCCAGACGAGATTCCCAGCCACGTGTTCTACAAGAACGTCGTGAACAGCATCGACGGATCGTCGACATTCAGCTACAGGACCCACCCGTACGGTTTCCCCGACAGACTGATCCTGCCCAAGGGTAAATCTGAGGGTATGCCGTTCAAACTGTTCGTCGCTGTGACCCCTGTGGACAGCTCGAAACTGATCACCGAAGAGTCTCCGATCTTCGGCCAATTGACCATGGATGGACACCCCATGGGATACCCATTGGACCGACCGATCGACCCGTTACACTTCCACGTGCCAAACATGATGCTCACAGATGTGCTCGTCTATCACAAGGAGCTGGAACAATTGAACGTCACCGCTTAAACGGGGACTTTCCTTTTATTTATATGCTTCTGAATCATTCGGGAATTCTTCCTTAGGTGAAGAAATGGGGGGGGGGGAGAGATGTGTAAAAAGACAGAATAAATTTTAATAAAAAATTACCATGTATTTTGTTCGCTGTTTTCACCTGTGTCCTGTCTAAGCCGACTTTTCTTTCATTCCACTTGGTTCTGTGTCGAATTTAGCTCGGCATAAGAACTTATGAACTATTACTTTACAACGTTAGGAAGTATACGAGGTGTCCGAAAATAGTTGGGGTTATTCCTGGAGTGGTTTGAAACAACTTTTCCCTTAGCAAAGATGTTATCGGAAGCTTCGTTAACGACATATTAACGAAAAAAACCAACGACCAATCAGAGCGCGAGTCTGCCTGCTGAGCTCCTGCGGTAACGTTGGCTACACATCCGATCAATAGTAGAAACGTGGAGTATTGAGCATAATTATTCCACATCTGGTAGGTAGTAAATAGAGAAATAATAACGAATTGTTGTTATTTGTTGCTGTATGGACCGTACCAAAGATTGTTGCTATTGGCGTCAGTAACATAATTGATCCTAATCAACATTATCTTCCCAACTTTTGGCTTCGTAAAAATGGCGTCCAGAATTGTAACGAAGATGTTCTTGGATTCTTTTAAAATAATTATTAAATTCCTCTTGTTACAATTTTACATACATTGATATATTGTATTATTTTTTAACACCGAAAGAAAGAGTGCTGTTATATTTAAAAGAAATCAAAGTAATCTTCCTCTCTCATCAATATAAAACTTCTCTCCAATTTGAATTATTATTGTAACTGATTTATGATTGAAATTTAACTACCTAGAAATAATACTGTTCTTGTAATATCAATAATTTTTAATAAAGAAAACTGTTTGAAATGAATGTCTGTATTATCAATTATTATTAATTTACACGTTCAACGAACAGAAGAACAACAGAATACGTAATTAACAAATTTCTCAGTAATTTCATAACATAATTTACAATGTACGCATTTATATTGTACCAATTGCATTTCAAAATAAGTTTACAATTATGATACAAAGTTTTTAATTACTTTCGAAATATTGTTATTGTTAAGTAACCATTGTTATAAACAGTTACTGTTTAAAGAAATTACACGAAATGTTTCAAACGAGAATTTAATATCTTACTCATATAACTGGTGGTACAACCGAATAGGGGTGATTCTACGTGAAAAAATAAGTCGAAAATTTAAGATACAATTTTTTCATTTGAGACTGTTTTCGAAAAAATGGACTTTGAAAATTAATCTGAAATGCGTGTACTTCCATGGTAGTAAGTGGAAACGGAATGCAATGATCAGACGCGCTAGCCAAGTCTTATTCAATTGCACATGTATCCAGTTGCCTTCATAGTCGATTTTCTCGAAAATGAAGTCTCAAGTGAAAAAGTTGTATTTTATATTTTCGACTTACTTTTTCACGTAGAATCACCCCTTACTTATTATTATTATAAAGGTACTACGCGTATATTAAACTCGTATTAAAATTTCAAGTTCACGTTAAAAACTAATAAAAATAAAATAAATCGAAAAAATGGTAACTTTTTTGTCTGGCTACTACATTCCTGCAATTTGTACTTATGAAACAATTTTGCGAAAAGAAATTTTATTTTATTTTATATTTTTAACTTACTTTGTCACGTAGAATCACCCTATACCTATTATTATTATTATTCAGGTACTATGAGTATATATTAAACTCGTACTATTAAAATTTTTAATAGTATAAAAATATTAAAAAATGGAGAAAATGGTCATTTTTTTTGTCTGGTTACTACGTTTCTGTAAGTTTCAGTTACGAAACAATTTTTCTAGTTATTCTGACTGTTGATCAATACAATGGATCGAGACGTCGTTAATCATCATCAAAATTATCAACTGCAATAGACTGTCCAGTCGACAGACTTTTTTGAGCGATAAAAGCAGCTGTTCAGACGGACGTTAGCTACATTTCCGGCATAAATCATGGAATTATCATGCAGACGAAAAAATCGCGAATTATTAAACGAACCGTGGTGTAACAAGCCAAAGGAAAGCTCGGACCTCAATGTAAGAGCAAGTGTTCCCGACGTTGATAATAGCTATCTACTGTACTTGATAGTGTTCTTTTTTCTTTTTTATATCATATATTTACGTCTCTTGTGTCCCAAGCATAAATAAATCCCGATGTTTACAATTACGATACCGTGTAGGATAATCGTAAACGATGCGTGTGTGTAGCTCTTTAATCGGCGTGTAATCGTCTTGATATTAATTGCGCACGATTAAAATTGAATATCAACATGCAATTGTGCAATACTTTCACCGAAATGATTCCACGACTTTTGGGCATGTTTTATTGGATAATTGAAAATTATTAGAATTGTTTGAATAATTGAAAATTGTTCGAATTTTGGAATAATCGAAAACTACCGGGGTTATTCGAATAATTGAAAATTATTCTGGCTATTTGAATAATTGAAAATTATTCTGGCTATTTGAATAATTGAAAATTGCTAGAGTTATTCGAACAATTGAAAATTGCTCTAGTTATTTAAATAATTTAAAATTATTCGAAATATTTGAATAAATGAAATTAATTGACAATTGTATTCTTGCACATTATTTCCTTTATTTGTTATCCTAAAATATTGTAAATACTTATTTTTCAAAAATTCTTAATGGAAGTTCCTTGATCGATTTAAGCTGTTCTTTGGAATAAGGAAACTCTATCCTCGAAAACTATTTCTGTCGTTGAATATTCGAAATAATGTAAACATTTCATTTCTTCTGGATTTCTTAATGGAGGTTCCTTGGTTTGTCAATATAATTTCTTCATAAAAGTTACCTTACATTTACTTTACCTTCAGTACATCATATTAATTTGTAATTTCTTAACGAAGATTTAGGGATTGTTTACAATTCTTTCTAGATAAAACTTACCCTATTCTTGAAAATTATTTCATTTGTTTATTATCCTAAAGATAAGTTTCGTTTCCTAGTGAAATAAAAGAGTCATTATGTTTATATTTATACTGGTAGGTTTAATTATAGACTATAAATTATAGATAAAAATACAAGTAAACTAAATAACTGTATAATTATAAATTGTAAATATTCTATAATTACACGTACATATTCGATATATTTTAGTACCTATGTCCACTTGTTAGACTCGTCTTGTTTAATCAAGAAGACGTGAATCTTATTTCATTGAAGCCTCATGTCAAAATGTCAAACGGATTTCGATAGCTGGCTTATTTACAAAATTTCAGTTAGCACGCAGTTGAACACGCAAAATATTGATATGAAAAATCGTTGTTGCGTAAGGAGTCGTTCAAAATACAATAGGAACCGCGATCGTGTATTGCAGAAACACAATTTCGTCAGGTTTTCTCATAAATTTACTGAATAACTAGATTATATTAAATTCATTACCAGAATTAATTACTTTTCTAATTTTTTGCAATTATTAATGTTAGAATATTTATTTCAATTACAATTCGATAAAAATCGAATCAATTGAAATTTTATAAAATATAAAAATTGTGTCTTATTTTGTATATTGTAAACCTAAATGTTTCAAAACGTCCACCGATTGTAATTATTCAAAAAATTTATATAGGAAGGCTGAAATTAGATAAAATTTTATTTAAAATCAAAAACACCGTATCGTACTATATTGAAAAAAATATACTCTTGTCATCTTTAATTACGAAACAATTATTTCGTTATTTGTTAAAATAAATTAAGCGTCGTTAATTAAGTGTTGCTCATTACCACCAATATTCACCTCAAAATATATTCCTATCTTTGACAAATTACTTTAACATTAATCAAATTTTGTATTAAGTATACTAAAAATTAAGTATATTAAAAATAAAAATTTTAAAACGACTTGAAAATAAAAATTTCAAGAGGACTTAAAATTAATTCAATTAGAATTTCAAAATTGATTCAATCGATCATCCATTTTAATTCAACACGAATATTTATAAACAATTTTAATATTAAAACAAATAGTGTCCTGTGAATGGTATAGACCAACCACAATTATTTTCTTATATAAAAGTCTAATAAAATATATAAAAACCAATAAAAACCGACATTTCATGCAATTAAATTTGAGACGACGATTAAACAAGGAGAGGTTCCCACCGTGCGATTACATCGTACGATCGAGATGGTGCAATGAAAAAAAAACTGAAATCTTCCCCCTGTTAAACAATAAATGCTCAGAAGGAGGGGATGACGGAGTATAAAAACGGCCGCGTGATCAACCGTCCGCGCTTTTGGATTATTAACTTAATAACAAAAGAATGTTACGGGTGTGTCTACTGGGCCTGTTGGCCGTCTCCTTCGTAGGGGCACAATATTACAACACGAAAACCGCGGACGGTGAATTTTTGCTGAAACAAAAGAAAGTCTACAATCTCCTCTACCACATCTCTCAGCCCGATGTGGTGAACGTTCAATTATACAACGAGGGTCGTGCCTGGGACATCGAGGCAAACATCAATTACTACAGTAAACCGGTCAGTACATAATTCCGTAATTAAATAATTAAGTAATTAAACAATTAGAAAATTAGAAAATTGAAAAATTGAAAAATCGAAAAATTGAAAAATTGAAAAATTAAAAATGAATGAAATAAAGGTTTCAATAAAGTTTAATGCTATCTATGTCCTATTATTAAGGGGTTATATGCCTCTAATTGTGAGCTGTTAAATAAGAGGAAAAATTGAGCTATATGTCTATCAACAGAAAAGAATGGCTTCAATTTAAAAAAATATATATATAAAAGGCCGTTTATATTTAATTTTATATCTTTCTCCTCTAATTAATGAAAATATAAAATAGAATTACCTTCATTTACATTTAACTCAGAAAAAGATTTTCTTGATTATATACTTATTCATTTGTAAATTTAGTTTTAATTGACATTCATGAAAATAATGTAAATACAAAGAAACGAATTTTTTAAAATGTTTATTGTATGCACCTTAAAAATAATTCAATTAAAATTGGTCAAGCACTAGACTTTAATGATATTTTATATAAAAAACATAATAAATTAAAAATAAAACTAAATATAAATATTAATAACTAAAAAGTTATAGAAATATTTGTAAGTCAAAGTTACTCTAATTGTAACACAGTTACCCTAACTTAGTCGAAATTATCCCAATTTAGTCAAAATTATCCCAATTGAGTCAAAGTTGTCCCAATTGAGTCAAAGTTATCCCAATTGAGACATAGTTAGCCTAATTTAGTCGAAATTGTCCCAACTGAGTCAAAGTTGCCCCAATTGAGTCAGAGTTGCCCCAACTGAGTCAAAGTTACTCCAACTTACGATAAACGAGTGTCTGTTAACGATTACTTGCAGGAAGTAGTGAGGAATTTCCTGTCCCTCTACAGAAATGGATTACTTGGACGGAAGCAGCTGTTCTCGGTCTACTACCCGAAACTGCTCAACGAAATGGACGCTCTGTTCAAGCTGTTCTATTACGCGAACGATTTCGACACATTCTACAAGACAGCCCTTTGGGCGAGGATCTACATAAACGAGGGACAATTCGCCTGCGCCCTTTACAACGCGGTGATCAGGAGGCCCGACACAATGTACATTCAGCTGCCCCCGTTGTACGAACTGTACCCGTACAGTTTCTTCAACATGGAAGTACTCCAGAAGGCCCACCATGCCAAGATTTTCGGAAAATTAGGTGATTATCTTGTTTATGTACCCTAGTTCTGCTGATCTAACTTCTTCAGTTTAAATCATCCACTATCTGGATATAAGGGCAACTGGGTATCTAAGGAATAGATAAATTCGGTGACTAACCTTTACCTAATCCTCATACTGACCTATCTTCTTCAAATAGAATCATCCACTTTCTGATTGTGATACCAGTTGCAAAGCAATAAGTAATTTGGATGACCAGCATTTATCTAATCCTCATACTGATTTATCTTTTTCATATGAAGACATCGACTTTCTGGTTGTGATACTAATTGCGTAGCTAAAAGAATAGGTAAATTGGGTGATTAGCCTTTACCTAATCCTCATACTGCGCTATCTTCTTTAAATGAAATCATCCACTTTCTGGTTGTGATACTAATTGCGTAGCTAAAAGAATAGGTAAATTGGGTGATTAGCCTTTACCTAATCCTCATACTGCGCTATCTTCTTTAAATGAAATCATCCACTTTCTGGTTGTGACACCAATCGCAAAGCAATAGGTAAATTGGGTCACTAGCATTTATCTAATCCTCAAATTGATTTATCTTTTTCATATGAAGACATCGACTTTCTGGTTGTGATACTAATTGGGTAGCTAAAAGAATAGGTAAATTGGGTGATTAGCCTTTACCTAATCCTCATACTGCGCTATCTTCTTTAAATGAAATCATCCACTTTCTGGTTGTGACACCAATTGCAAAGCAATAGGTAAATTCGGTCACTAGCATTTATCTAATCCTCATACTGATTTATCTTTTTCATATGAACACATCGACTTTCTGGTTGTGATACTAATTGGGTAGCTAAAGGAATAGGTAAATTGGGTGATTAGCCTTTACCTAATCCTCATACTGCCCTATCTTCTTTAAATGAAATCATCCACTTTCTGGTTGTGACACCAATTGCAAAGCAATAGGTAAATTGGTTCACTAGCATTTATCTAATCCTGATACTGATCTACCAATAAGAGATGACGCTAAATGTCCCAATAGTCTTCTGTTAAGAGAACTCTTGTAATTTTCAATTACACATGTTGGACTAACTTAAAGTCCATACAAGTTCACAATTACACCTCAGAAAGTTAATATAAAGAAAAAAAATCTACATTTCAGACACAGACAAGTCCAGTGGATACGAGACCTACGTAATCCCGGCCAACTATTCCGGCTGGTACATGAACCGCGAGTACGATCTGGAGAACAAGCTGAACTACTTCGTCGAGGACGTCGGTCTGAGCTCCTACTACTTCCTGTTCCGCCAACAGTACCCGTTCTGGCTGGAGAGCAAGGAATTCAGCTTCCCCGAATACCGTGGCCAGGAATACCTGTACGGACATCAGCAACTGTTGAACAGATACAACCTGGAGAGACTTTCAAACGATCTACCAGTGATTGCGGACTTCGACTGGAGCAGACCGTTCTACGCCGGTTACTACCCGACAATGTCCTTCCACAATGGACTGCCGATGCCTCAGAGACAGCACTGGAGCAATTTCCCTGTTTTCAAATTTGACGAAATCAACGTAAGTGACGTCTACACCCTTATTACACTGTTAACACTAGGTTTACGGGACGCGTCATTTTGACGCATTTCGAATGCTTTCTAACCTCGAAATTCTCTATGTGGTATACCTATCTCTATAGCTATTCATTAATTTCAGAGATCATAAATTGTGTATTATATAAACCAAGTTGTTTTTTAAAGAAAATCTGCGTGTTCGTTGATGCGTGCCGTGGAGATACCTACACGATAAGTGCCCGTAAACCTAGTGTTAAACAAGTTTGAACTTTTTTCCTACCTCGGAACCATTAATAGGCGTTTCTGATAGATCTTTATGAGCTGAATAGGAATCTACAAACCGTTATTTCCTAGCTTATACAGTTTTTACAAGAAAACAATTTTAAAGAAAAATTGCAAGTTTTCAATTTTAGAGATGTATTCTGCTTTTATAGTAATGGTTATTCGGGTGTTTTTGACACGAAATAATTCTTTGGACTTTTCCGAACAAAATGGTGTAAATTGTTATTATATTGTGGATTTTTAAATATGTTTGAATGATGATCAAAGTGAAATGAACACCGAAAATGCACCTGTTTTTGATGGTATTCTTCAAGTTGTTTCAAGGGTCGAGGAGGAAATTTAACCACAGCATGCGATAGAGCAGACCTTTTTGCTAAGGAAGGTGTCAAGGAAAGTTACAAAATCTGTTGTGTTTTCAATAGAGAAGTAAAGTACAGTAAATCATTCATGAATGCTCGAAGGCTAAAATGTGTTGAACAGTGTTATAAGTAATTATGTTTATCGAGAAGTTCTGTTCACCAACTTATGGAAATTTTCGAATTTGGAAATCGTGCAATTGCTAGCTGGGTCCCTTTAAACCCGTAACCGAATTTTCTAGACATATCTTGGAACATACTTCTTCTATAATAACCTCTAACAATAAACCACTGTACGGTTAAGACAGTCATTGAAAACTAAGAAATTAGGTACAGCGGTTGAAAATCTGGGTCAAAATGGACCCTGGCGAATTATATTAAATAAAGTCCTATTACTTATGCTATCAGACTATAAAAACATATTTCGTGTTATTAACCCTCGGCAAACAGACTTTTTCGGTAATCGAACAGATGGAGATACTTGGGTCCAGATAGACCCTACCTCATCTATCTCTGGTTGTGTTTTGAAACGAATCTCTTTACAACATTCCGGCCTTTTTATGAAATATTGGAACCTTTATTAGTTTCTGTAAAACTGTAACGATGAAGTTCTTTGAAATCTTGGGTCAAAATGAACCCAAACATCATTAGAGGAGGATTAAATACAGTATACTCGTTTTGAGAAAAAAGTATAGCTACAACTAAATTAGCCATGCAACTGTAAAAAAGGAAAATCGTAGATTTTACAATTAGATGGAGAATTTCTTGTAAAGGTGCGTATCCACTTGTTGCGTATCTTCGTATCGTATCACCATAACAAACATTTGCATACGCAACGATGCAACACTTGCCCGTCCACGTTGATACGCAACGGTGATACGATACGAGGATACACAATAAGTGTATACGCACCTTAAGACGACGAGTAGAAAATGGAAACGGATGATTGAAGTTTTAACAATATTCTATCCCGTTGCAGGACATCAGAAACATCGAGTCGAGAATAACTGCCGCTATTGATTCCGGCTACATAATCAACAACGAGGGAAAATGGATCAACATTTACACGCCAGAGGGTCTGAACATTCTTGGTAACCTGATCGAGGGTAACGCGGACTCTTCCAACATCGACTTCTACGGAAACGTCGATGTCCTCAGCAGAAAGATCTTGGGCTTCAACTTAGAGCCAACAAGCAGCTACCAAATCGTGCCCAGCGCATTGGAAACATTCGCCACGTCTATGAGGGACCCTGCCTTCTACAGACTTTACAAGAGGATAATCTCCTATTATTACAGGTAACTGACCTTCTGTGTTAATTAACGGGTCTGGGCTAAGTCTGGCATTGTCGTTCCTTGCTCGAACCTCTAATTCATTGATCAACTTGGTCTCAGTTAGGTCTAGATTGTTTGAGTTAGACCTGAGTTAAACCTAAATCTACTTTAGATCTTGTCTGAACTTTGTGTGAACTTGGTGTGAATCTTTTAAGTCTGTATTACGTCTACTAATAGTCTGAATTCTGCCTAGTTTAAACCTAGGTTGGAACTAAGTTGAGTCTATGTTTGATATATCTTAACTCTGTATTGGATTCACATTTAGACTTCTATTAAGTCTGAATCAACTATTAATAAATGATTCCAGATACAAGCAACACCAGAAACCCTACAGCATAGACCAAATCGTCTTCCCGAACCTGAAGATTCAATCGTTCGTCGTCGACAAACTCATCACGTACTTCGATCAATTCGATTCATCGATCAGCAACGGTCTGTTAGTCGAAAATGAAAAGGAAGCAGACTCAATCCTGGTTAAACTCAGGCAATACCGTCTGAACCACAAACCATTCAGCTTCCACATCGCAGTGAACGCTGACAAACCAATGAAGGTGGCCGCTAGGATCTTCCTTGGCCCGAAATACGACTCTCGTCATAAACTGATCGAGCTCCCGGAGAACTTCAGATACTTCTACGAAATCGACAACTGGATCCTCGAACGTAAGCCTTCACTTTCATAAACCAATCTTTTTTATCAAATTTTAGTCCTTTAGTCGTCACAAAAATTTATGAAAAAGACAGTAGGCCCAAAAGATCCAGTAGGCCTAGTCGGCTCATTAAACTCTGTATAATTTCTTCCAAGAAATGTGCAAAATCAGATTTTTAAAAGCGACACAAGATTCCTCTAGGCGATTCTAGGTTAGGTCCTCGCGTATCTAACCTCAAAAATGAAATATACGAAATTTTAAGTTAGGTCCTCGCGTTTCTAACCTCAAAAATAGAGTATACAGAGTCCTTTCTGCCTCAAAGTTACAAATAATTTCCACCAATTACGGATTCAGATACACGTCTAATCTTTGATTTTCTACCGAAAACAGTGAACGCTGGCTTGAACAAGATCACGCGCAACAGCAAGGACCTGTTCTTCCTGAGCTCAGACCCAGAGCCCAGCGAAGTGTTCTACAAGAAACTCCTCAAGTCCATCGACGGTTCAGAGTCACTAGTGTACAACGAAAGGATCGCAGGATTCCCCGAGAGGCTGTTGTTGCCCAAGGGAGACTACAAATTCGACAACAACTCGTTCGGTTTCCCCCTGGACAGACCAATCCTAAACTACAATTACGACGGGCCTAACATGGTCTTCAAGGACATTCTTATCTACCACAAGGACGACATGGACATGGACATCAGTTACTAATCGGTCACTTTCTGTCCGTCTTACTTTTATTTTTTGGAATAACTAGACTTTTTTTTAATAAACTTAACTGTACCAAAAATTTTGCTGGATTATTTTTCTAGTGGATCTATCGAGAACAGTGAATCATCGATGAGTATTTAATCGCTCCTGAGTGTTCTGACGTCATCCCCACCACTCTCCACTGATCCCATTCAGTGGGGAAAAAAAGATTTTTTCCTTAGAAACAAATTTTTAAGCAGTTTTTTTCAAAATTTTATTAACGCAAGTTTATAACGCTTATAGTACCATTAAACTTTTGTTTGGAACATTTTTTTCTATCTCATGTAGTTTAAGAGTTATATGCGAAAAAGTAACAGTGCCTGTTTCACTTCGAGGTTAGTTTTCACACCTTTAAAGGGCGATTGGGCACGAATGAAATATAGTTATTCTTGTTTTGAATCACTCTGTAAGCTTACAAAGTTTCATTTCAATCCCTTGTCAGTCTCGAGGAGCCTTCCAACACGCATCGATGATTTACTGTATTCCCATTGTTCCAGATTGTTAAACCAAAGTTTCCCACACCCTGACACCTTAAAAGGCAGAGATGTTCACTTGCCTCCCTCTAGAGGGAAAAAGTGACCTTTTCCACACCCCAGAAGATTGAATTTTTGCGGGGATCGTGATTGGTGGATCGGTGGGCTAGGGTAGCTCCCTCCCTTGACCCACTCCAATTTCTATTTTAACGGAATAGAATATTCAGCACCATATTACACTTCCGTACGACCTTTTTTTACATATACCTGCGAATAGCTCAACGAACTGTGACCCTCATAAAACAGAAAACCAGACTCACAAAGACGATTTCCCAGAAATTTCATTTCGGAGCAGTCCCTTGGTTGTAAACCACATGTTTTGTACATCAGATTGCCCAATTTTCGAAAACTCGTATTCCAATTTATTCTACGATTAATAAAAGAATTAAGCCGTGTACATACCACAGTCTATCCTCGAAAATTTATTATTTCAATTTGTTTTACATGGACAGCATTGATGTACGATGCCTCGAGGGATTTGTACTACCTTTTTCTCGAAGTTTTGAAACATGCGATGCTTTCCTGAACGCCATCTGTGACAAATACGTCGCGTCAATTTGACAGTGGCGCCAAAGTTTATGAAATACAATATGACAGATAATTATCAAATACTGCATAAATAGTAGATACAAAATTTTTTTTATGGAGAAAATGAAGAAAACGCTGATCTGTAAATAATGTAAAAGTTTGGCTAACTGAACTCTAGTTGGGTCGTAGTTAATCATTTAATTACTCGCAATAAATAAAATTAAAATAATTGTCCATTGACGATGCATTTAGAATAAATTATAGATAAGTGAAAAAATATGTACTTTCACGCGTCATATTTTATTAGTATCATATTCATAAATCATATTTGATATGCGTAATATGAATAGAATATATAATGCTCCATTTGTGCTAATACTCAAAATTCATGCTTCGTCGGTAACGTCGGGTATTGACGCTAAATGATAAGGGGGCTACATAGCCCCCAGACCCCGGGACAAAAAAAAGCAGTAGATGATAAGTCTATTCTATATCTAGTCGGTGCAATTACTGCACAATACTTTTCAGAGAACTGGCAAGAATCAATCTGAAACCATTGAAATAAGTTTTTCATTACAATTTGTAGTGATGTATAAAATTTGCAATGAATTTACAAAAACTAAGTCATTCCACTGTATAAAATAAAATAAAGAAATAATGGATAATTACAGTGAGCTCTCAGCGTGTATGTGATACGGAACACATAACGAGGAAATCCTGTAAAGCCTTGACAAATTTTCAGTCCCTTCAAACTATATATGCTTTTACAGTTATTTACTGACCTATTTTGAAATTTATATTAACTGATATAAGTCATATTATCTTAAGACTATGAACTCCGTTTCGTGAACCGCACGTGGTTTTGAATATGAATTGAAGTTACGCTCAGAAATAAATTTGTTGCTTGCAACTTCACCTCAGACTGGCCCATAGTTCAAGTATGGCGACCGCCGTTAGTTGTTCCGTTTTTTCTTCCGACGGAGAATATTTCGCTCATTGTGGAATCGATGGGAAGTTAAAAATCTGGGACACTTCCACTGGTCGCTTAAAACAGGAATATGTTTCTAATTTTCATCTCTCGTCCCCATGTTGTGTATTGACCTGGCTTTATGTCAACTCTTCGTCAACAAATGCCGCGGTAAGCCATGTGCTTTTTTATTTTACATCTAAATAAGAATGTCATTTTAGTATATTTTAAAGTTGTTCGCCGTACCGCTGTATATAAATTAAAATACCTAACGATTTCAGTGATGAAGACTTACATGGTCTTATCAGTTTTTCAATTAAAGATTCTTTACGAAACGAATTCTTAGGTTATCTTTCCAACGCGGTTTATAATCTTCCGTAAATTCCTACAAAAATGACATTTGGAAGTAGTTTTCCGTAACGATTTTACGGAAAATCATGAATATGTTTATTATGTATCGAACCTTCGTAGATCATTAAGTTCTTTTTAATGAAATTGTAATCATTCATTAAATGTTTTTATCTAGGTTATATATTCCGTATACTATTCGATTTTCATAAATTTCTGTGCAAATAGATCTGTATATTATTATTTTTATAAAATTATTATTGTTGAAGCTATTGTAACGTCTTATAAATATTCTCTTTGTCAATAAGAATATACATATATGTACAGTATTTCATTTAACCCCTGACAAAACTAACTGCAATACTAGCCAATCATTGGAATTATTTTTCCAAAAGGACATAGTAATAATTATATGAAATTGAGCCATGAGAGCCTTAAATATTTATGTAGACATTTTTATGTAATTTCTCAGCCTTCACCATGGAAGAAACGCAGAAGGAAGTCAATTTCAGAGGAATCAACTCCCAAGGGCATTGTTGCCATGGGTTCCACAAATGGGAAAATTACACTTTACGACACAACAACGTCTTCAGTGACTGGTCAATTGGACGGTCACAGTGGTACAGTCACTGCTGTGACTTGGTCGGAAAATGTTGGTTTATTCAGTGCATCAGATGATTATCATATTATTCATTGGAATCTTAAAGAGAATGGAGTTAAATGCAAATGGAAATCTGGGAAAGGGAAGACAACATCACTGGCAGTTTCAGAAGATGGGAAAAGCTTATTGTCAGGAGAGAGAGTTGTCAAGTGGTGGGATCTATCTACTAAACAATTAATTAAAACATTTACGGGTCACGCTAATCAAGTGACATGTCTTTGTACCATAAAAATGCCATATGGAAGTAACTATGTAATTAGTGGAGCTTGTGGCGATGGCTGCCTTAGTGTTTGGGCTTTAGATGATGTAAGTTATGCAAAAGAGTGTTTTATATTATTGAATGCTATTAACAATAATTAAAAGTCTGTTAATCCCTCGAATGAAATCATTTATATGTAACAACTACAAAAATATTTACAGCAAAAACCTGATAGAACACCTGTGGCAAGCTTGGCTCTACAAGATGATGCGATAAGTGTTTCTGTAAACATCTCTAAAGAGTCTCAGGTGATCGTACTGGTAATAACAAGGTCTGGCCAGGCACACCTGTTTCACTACCAACAAAATGGTCGTTCGAAACCACTGAAGCCTAGCTTGAATATCGCAGTAGCTTCTGATATAAGCCAAAAAGAGGGAGTCCAACAAATTCCTATTTTAGACGCCAAACTGACGGAAGACCAAAAATTACTTTTAGCATATGGTGCATATCTTAGTCCGACATTTGAAAGGATGACTCCAGATTACTCGAACAAAGTACAGTGCTTAGTGCGCTCAGAAAATAGAAAAAATAAAGAGAAAAAGGACGAAATTTCGAAGGTGAAGAATACAATAATTGAGGATAATGTTGAGTATCTTGCACCAGGTACTTGTCTTTTGTTTTTTGTTTTATAATTTTTTCAAATGGTTTCATTTTCCTAAGATCTATTGCGCACTTACTTTTGTACCTATAATTCTTCTATCTAATAAATGCGGTTGTCATATAATTTCTTTTACGTAGGTTTAATAGAAACTGCGCCGAAAAGAAATAGAAACAGCTCGGGATCACAATTATTATTAAAAGACAGATTGGAAAACCTAAGTCTAAATGCGGAAACTAGTCCTGCGGGAAAAAGTACAAGTGTAGGTAGTAACAGAGCGCAACTTCTGCTTCAAGGCTTGAATAGTAAAGATAAGGCAATTTTGAGCAGTATATTCGTCACGAGAAACGAATCTATTGTTAGGAACACTATAGCTAAACTACCAACACAAGCGATTGATCCACTGATCAAAGAACTGACCATCTTGCTCCAGGGTAAAACTTTCACGTAAGATTTCCAAACGTTTATTAGTTATTATTAGACTTAATTAATTGTTAAATTATCTTACATAACTAACTAAACTTTCATCTGAAGTTCTTTGGTATTATTTCCTAACATCGTCTGTAATAAATAATCTACATTTTGATATTACTCCAAACGTTTATAGTTTCATTTAAACAGTTTTGTTAAAAATATTATTTAAGACTGTACTCTCCCATTAAATATAAGTAAATTAAGTATGTAACGTTTTCTTTATTGATTTATTGTAGGAGTAAACTGGCTGTTAGATGGTTGGAAGCATTGTTGATGGCACATGCCGGTCATTTATTGTCGCAAGCAGACCTTATGCAATCGTTTGGTCCGATTTTGAGTTTAATTGATGCTAAATTAGCTCTACTGCCGGAAATCTCGAAACTTAAAGGTCGTGTTTCTCTTGTCACTGGTCAAATCTCTCAGACAGTCGAAGAACAACATAAAGACGTCACAGAAAATTGTCTCGTTTATCAAGATTCAGGTTTGTAACAAACATTTTATTTGAAAATCGAATTTCAAATCGTATGCTACCGTTCTTTTTTGGTTATAATATTGAATAGAATTAGGTACTTACAATATGAAAATTATTGAAAAATAGATTCCTCGGAAGAAGATGGTGGAATCGAGGACGAAGATTTAGAAAGCGAATCCGACGAAAATTGGGAAGAAATGTCGAATCAAGAAGATCAAGACGATCAAGAAGAACAAAATGATAAGGATGTCAGAAGTACGAATTCAGATGCAGATGACGACGATGAGTCTATATCCAGCTAAATATTAATTTAGGTACAACTTTTGTACATTCACCGTAAAGTTGTTAAAAACAAACCCAACCTGACAATGTTTATTTTGTTTCAGTAAATATTCAAGTTCCTGGATATAACGAATGTGGGAAAGGAGATTATAAATTGTTAAATAAATGACGTTTTTCTACTCAGACTACTTATGTTTATTGTCGTTACTAGACTACGGATATTAATGCGAATTTGCATTCTTACGCACTGACTTACGGATGCAAGAACCACATAAGAACTTAATACCTCGATGAATAGTTTTGCTCATTATAAAAGAAAATAAAGTCCTATGTTAAATTTCAATAAAAGCACTTTTACTCTACTGTGTTCTGCGCAGTTGCACTTGCAATGGTTGCATAAATTCGCAGTCTAGTCGTTACGTTCATTTCGTTAACTAAAATTCAATTTTCATATCAAAAGTGCGATCAAGATTATGTAAAATGTATGGAAATACTTATAATCCAGAATGAACAGTAGAATTTCTACTTTCAAATAAAATGATTTTATTGAAAACTTGACGGAAAAAACGAATCTAATGCTCATACTTTCTGCCATAGTAAATATTACTGTATTATACTGTATATTACTGTATAAACTTGCATTTACTTCCTGTCTTTTTACTTAATTAAACTAAAAAAGAATTTTTTAAACTCGTGAATATGCATGTGTAGCATTATAAATACTTTTCTCGATTCTCCAAACAACCTGACTTCCTTCCTCTGTATAGACTCGATATAGATGATCGATCGAAATGTTATAATTTTATCAATTTTTGGAATTATTTGATCAAATTTTACTGATATAATCTACGTGTTCAATACTTTTAAAAAATGTAACTGTCAAATATACTACAGACAGAAACGAATTTTTTTAAATAAAATACCAACAGGATACATAAGGAATACAATTCGTGGTCGTATATTGTCAAAGTTGACACATCCTTTATCCATATATTGTATTTCTATATAAGCAGTATATATTTTATTAAAATATGTTATATTCATCAATAACAATACTTACAATAATAACAATCGAATTGTCAATTCTCAGTAGTTAGAAGATCCCCTAAACCCTAAGCCCTATAAGTGATTAATCTGTCACTTTTGAACGCTTGCGCTTTTTGCCACCTACCTATCTGTAGGGTGTTAACCTACGTGACTTAGGAAATGATTAAAGTTTTAAGGTTAGATAACATTGATAAATTACACGTTGGTTGAAAATTGACACTCAAAGGGTGTAAACAATTACGTGAGTTTTATAAATGTATCACACTTGGTGAAACGTAATAACCGAGCGTTTTTTAAAATCTTTGTAATATGGTAAGTAAAAGAATGTTTTTAGAATAATTTTTTTTGTATAAGATACTATTTAGTAGATCTTGTAAACTCGTTGTTTTTAAGTATAACATAAATATAAATACTTTTCAATGTTTTTTTTTCAAATACCTTTTTGTTCTATAGTTTGTATTGAATTTTAATTCTCATATAATATATAATTATTAGACTGTTGATCTTTATGAATACTCTATATACAATAACAAAAGAAGAACAGAATTACTTTACCTTGCCATAATACTAATGTATTATAGTGTCAGTAAAATTCAAATACATACAATTCATTTTTCAGCCAATGTTAAAACATGATATTGAACTCCCAATATCGATTCCTGATTTGCTGTTGGATAAACATGCAAATTTTTTACTTTCATATGGAAAAGATAAAGATGAATACGTAAGTATAGACACTTAGAATTTAAGTAATTATAAGAGAAGTTATATTTATACATGTAAACGATAGAAAATAGAAATAGAAGATTATATAATTTATAAATATTAATTCATTTTGTACGTCTTTATAAATTTATGAAATAAAAACTCCGTATAATCGCATTAACTGATTGCTATTGTTGTCAATTTTTTCACTCTGAAGCCAGTCTTTTATTTTCCAAAAACTAAGAAAAACTTTTCAGTGACTTGAAATAAAACTAAAAAAGTATTTCTATAAATAGTAAATACTAAACAACATGATACTATTCCAGATGTACTGTATAATGGAACACCTGCGAATGTCTGGTATGTACTGGGGTCTAACGGCATTGGATATTATGGGTAAACTTGAGCAAACCAATCGAGACGAGATTCTAGAATTCATAGCGCAATGTCAAACAGAAAGTGGAGGCATAGCAGCAAGTTTGCAGCACGATCCGCACATTCTCCACACCTTGAGTGCAGTACAAATACTCTGTATCTATGATGCTCTTGACATTATCGATGTAGAGAAAGTTGTAAAGTACGTCAAAGAAAGACAACAGTCCGATGGAAGTTTTACCGGTGACATCTGGGGTGAAGTTGACATAAGATTTTCTTTCTGTGCCGTGGCAACTTTAGCACTTATGGTTGGTATTACATTGAAAAAGAAGGATACTTCTATTTAACAATTTACGAAATTATTATTTCAGAACCAGTTAGATGCCATAGACGTCAATAAGGCTGTTGAATATGTAATGAAATGTATGAATTTCGATGGTGGCTTTGGCTCGAAACCAGGTGGCGAAAGTCATGCTGGAATGATTTACTGCAGCGTGGGTCTTCTGTCAATAACTGGTAATAATTTTTCCTTTTTACGAGTTGTACTGATAACAGTCTTCTAAGTATTATACTAAAGTCGAACCATTTTTACAGGTTGCCTTAATTTAGTAGATGCAGACCAACTCGGTTGGTGGCTGTGCGAGAGACAGCTTCCATCTGGAGGTTTAAATGGCAGGCCAGAAAAATTACCCGATGTGTGCTATTCCTGGTGGGTTCTGTCTTCGCTTACGATTCTTGGACGACTTCATTGGGTTAATAAAGAACAACTGGTAGGTATTCTTTAAAAAGAACTACGTTTCATATATTTCTTTGTTACTAGTTGTTGTGTATTGATACACGGATTAACGGTTAATTACTGCTAATTCACAGGTGAAGTTTGTACTGTCGTGTCAAGACACGGAATCGGGAGGATTTAGTGATCGTCCAGGAGATGTTGCTGATCCTTTCCACACCCTATTCGGGTTAACAGCACTTTCCCTTTTAAACACGGATTATCCTTTGAAGAGGATCAACCCAACGTTTTGCATGCCAGAATATGTTATTCAAAGGTTACAAGTACAACCCTCCAGACTAGACCAAAGCAACTGATACTTGATGATTCCAAACGAATAAATTTTTATGAATTAATAAAAAAAGCGGAAGTACAACATGAAGTTTTTGCACGAATCATTTTGTACTTGTTTATTTTGAACACTTAAAATTATTGTTCATTTTACTGTGTGTATACCGCGTATGTGTAATATATGACTACGAAAATATATGCTCAATGCAAATTACTGCAAATATAATTATAAGATACATCAGTACCAAGCTAATGAATTCGATGAAATGATATAAAAAATGTAAAAATAATTACTTTTTTCTTAATCTTATTGCGTTAACATATCACGCAATAGTCGTCATCACGTCTTTCGACAAATTTTTATTATCTTAACAGGTATGTGTATCTCTTGCAAAAGTACCGTTTGTGTTGGTGTACTGCATTCTTCGTAAGATAGACCGTGAGATTCTAAAAAAAAAATATAGAAATGCTACTATTGTCAAGTATTATCGTAATGTGGAATTTATATTGAATATAGTAAAATACTTAGAAAATGCAAGAACTTCGAAAATGTATCCACATTACGAATTGCTGCTGCAATAACGGCATATCTACCGTTAAAGGATAGAAAAGCCTTTAATCCCAATGCTAATGCATTAAAAGAATATGTATCATATAAAATATCAGCTCCAATTATAATATCTGGTACAGTCCAGTATTCATCCAAATATTTATTTATATCTTCCCAATTTAATTTTACTACTTGAACATCTGTATTATTATATTTCGTTTGAAATTTTAACCTATTACTTTCTGATAGTTGTTTAACTTCTACAGTCTGTTCCATATTTAGCAAATTAAGCTTCACATTTTCACAGACCATTTCTAAAACGGACTTATGAAAATCTGTGAAAATATATTGATTTGGAGAACAGTTCTTAATAATGCATACTCCTGTTAATCCAACACCGCAACCAAGTTCTAAAACGACTTTATCATGAAATGCACTCTTGTTTTCTATACACCATTTACTTAGTTCTATTGCTCCCTATAAATTACATATATTAAAGAAATTCTATAAGTAGTACTATAATACAGTAAAAATTTCCTTTGTTTAGTAACTGAAATACCTGCCAACAACACAGTCCTGTTGTAGCATCTGATATAATATTTGTACTTTCTTGTATAGATATACAGTCTGATATATCACCTATTAAAAAGTGTCGATGATGAATTAATTCACTTATTGGATTAGAGATTAAGTTACAATACGCAATATACAAGTCATCGTGAATTTCACTGCCTTCTTCTTCAATCTAAACAAAGAACAGTAACAATACCAAATTCAATATATATTTTTTGCATAATTTTTTTTGTACCTTATTCATAAGTAACTTCAAGAATGCTCGTTGATACGACCGTTTTACAGGATATTTTTTAATTAAATCATTATTGATTGTCTTATCTAAAATCTCCTTTTGTGTATAAAGATCAAGACCAACATTTCTGTCAGAATTCTAAAATTAATACATAAATAATTTCAAAAATTTAACGAACTATTTAAAATTGTAAATTGATATTTACATACAAATATATCCATTGTTTTTAGTGATGTGCAACAAAGAAATTGCTTCATTAAGTTGTCTTTATCAAATAAAAAAGTGTCATCGACAAATAAAATGTCACTGTCATCCATTTTATTGCTTAAATAAACAATGTATGATGTGTGCAATTTATTCTTACATGTATTCTAATCAATAATACGTTATAATTGTTTCATACTTATAAATTTTCTGTTTATGCAAACATTTTATCTATTATGAACTGTTTATTGATAACACAGATTTAATCGAAAAAGCAATTATTTAATTTCAAATATTTACTTCTGGATGTCAGAACCACGTGTCAGTGTATACATATGTATAATATATCATAAAAGAAGAAGCAAAATTTCTATCTCTCTTGCTCCAAATTATTCCAAGAAAATGTGATTTCCCACGAAAACCCGCAGATTAATAGCCTCAATATAGAAATAAGAAATGATGTAACGCATTTTTAAACAAACTATCGTTTTTCGGAAAAATAACATTTTTATTTATTTTTTTTTCTATGTAACTAAACTTGTATCGAATAAAATTTTTTAAACAATAAAGTCTTTCACGGAAAATATTGTATTTTAAATAGTTTTTTATTTTGTTGCGTAGTCTATCCACGTACATTACAATTTTCGGCTCACCCTGTATATAGATCACATTTTTAAGTAAAGATACTTTGCATACTCAGAATGCATGGTTATTAATTTGTTACAAAATAGTAAATATTAATAAATAATAGTAATATAAATAACGTTTGAATAATGAGTATTTATTACTCTTTTTCAGAATTAATGTAAATAGAAGAAATTCGATATAAATTGTCCAAAACGAACCAATTAAAGAGCAAATTCAGCATGGATCGCTAGATCTTCGTGTTCGTTAAAATAAAGATATAAACGAGTTCGCTTTCTAGAACTCAAATGAGAAGAGACTGAACGAACTTTGACAGTTGACAAGTCTTCCATTGCATTCAATTGCATTGCATGTGTGGTGATTGGTGGTGATTCGGTAATGTCGCATGTTACTATCAGTTACGTACAAGGGTTTTTCGTACATCTTACCGGTACATAATAATATTAATTAATTACTCTGCATCATAACAAAATTCATTAACCGAAGATGCATCGAAAAGTGTAATTCACCGTTTGAAATGGGATTACAGTGATTTAATAACGAAAAATCGACATTGTAATGGAAAACTCGATCGTTGTTTGTAAGGCATTTCAAATGTGCTAATTCGTTAAGGTAGGACCAATTAGTAACGTAGCGTGAAATTTTGCGATAGCTTCTTAAAGACTTTGTAATTACATCGGACTACTTAATACAGATTATTAGAGCTTTTATAATAATTCACATAATGGCCTCAGCTATGGAGCAACAACAGCAGCAACAGCAACAGCAAACCACCCTGGAGTTCTACCAGGCGATGACTGATTTTAAAAACATGTTTCCACAAATGGACGATGATGTGATTGAGGTAAAATTGATTGACAAATGTATTACATAATGTTATGTAAAGTTACAAATAACTTATTATAGACCTATCATGGTCGGACAGTGTTCTACGTTGTAGTTGAGATATGGATTTTCAAAGTACTGTGCAATTTTTATATATTTTCTAGGCTGTATTAAGATCTAACCAAGGAGCTGTGGATACCACCATTGATCAGTTACTTACTATGAGTACAGACAATGAAAACGAAAAGATTAGAAGTGAATTAGAACAAAACGAGAAATCGCCAGGTACCTCTAAGCCACCCAAAGCAGATTCAAACCTGACCCTGAGAAGTATACGTAAATGGCAACCCGCTTTACTAGGACCATTACCAGATACCTTTCTTAGACTTACACAGCAAGTTCCAGAAGAAAATCTTGATTTGTACTCAAAAGAGACTGCTATGTTGGAAGATGAAAGAATTGCCATGTTTCTTCAGAATGAAGAATTCATGGCTGAATTACGTTGGAACGAAGACTTCTTATCAACCTTAGAAAGTGGTACATGATGTTTTGTTATAATCTTCGTAATTGAAGAAATTTAGACTATCCTCTACAGTTTGCGCGAGCTTTCTTTGAAGAAGCTATCAGTGCTGTGGTAGTAGTTTTTTAATTAATTTAATTGCAACCACTCGTTTTACTTCAATTTTAGATACAAAAATACCAGGAACAAATATTGAGAAATATGGCCAAGGTGGTAACGATGATGAGGATCTTTTCAAAGAAAGATTAAAACACATGGGCAAAGGTATGGAGGTTCATTATTTAGTTACTACACAGACTATTCCCGAATGTAACCCTAATTTAGAATTTAATAGAGAATTGTACTATATCTTGTTTTCCAGATTTAGAATATTTAGAAATTGGACTTATGAATTTTGTAATTTACAATAATCTGTATAAAAATCGCTTGAAATCTATTCCATCTTCTTGATGGTATTTTTTACTTTCTTATTTATGTGATTTTCTTCTTGTAGTATCTCGACGCAAGTTTGCGCAACTTACAAAAGTGTTTACACGAAGTAAAAAGCGAGGAGGCAGGCAGTTACTGACACCGACAGCTTCTTGTGACGATTTACTGAATCCCGAGGAGTCATCTAGATCTCAGTCTTAGGAGTTTTACCGATATTCCCAGTTTTTATTTAAGAAAGTCAGCTTCAGCAACTCATACTTACAGTAATGTGTCGTCCAAAAATGAGGAAGAAGCATATCCGTATTAACATACTGAAACGGGAAATTACAGGACAGATTCGAATGGAAATTGATTCGCTTATAAAAATTGTGTAATCTAGAAATCAGTTAGGAATTCAGATTTACTGGTAATCACGCGTACAGTAATATTGATGCATCGATATTCGTTGTGCTGCTTGGATATGATTTCAGTTACAGGCTCAGAAAGATCAAAATGCAGAATATAGATATATAATATCTATAGATTAGCAAGATATTTCGTATTTTAATAACATAGTACAGGATAAGTACGCAGTCTACAACTACATAATAATAGTACAATAATTACTGCCGTTATACTGTTAAAATAAGGATCTGTGAAACTATTACGAAAAGACTTTGTTTTACCGTAAAATTATAACTTTTACGTGTATGTTCATGCACTGCATGTGTTACCTTTTGGAATTTATTATTTTAATGTTGATAATGTTTTGAGAAAATTTAAGACTGTTTTTTTTATAGAAGTTTTAAGTGAATTCGTTTTATTGCAGGCATTACTGTTCGTACTCATTAGCAAACGTTGAAATACGATAAAAGATAACGTTTGCAGCTACTGAATGAACACAGTAAGAAAATTGAATGCGAATATTTGAATCGTGATAGTCGACAAGTTTGCGTTTTTATATTCGATACGTTGGTGATATAAAAGTTTATTTGTAATGTATAAAAAGAAACTCCATTTTGCATTGTTTCGCGTAGTATAATAATAATTTCAAGTTTGTATGTATATTTTCTAAAATACTTGGTTATTCATAGCTGTAACTATATAAGCGTAATGTATTCTAGTCCGTTCGTCTAGCCATTACTTAATTAATAAGTATCAAGCATTGCAATATTGTTGGTCTAGGAAACATTCACATTAATTGAGCATAGGTATAATGTTTACAAATACGATGGTGTGTGTGCCACAGGCACGAAAATACCTTTAAAGATTCTGGGCTCAAATATATACTGATATAAAAACTAAACCGCAATAGTTTTCGATTACCCTTTGATAACAATTCGACTCCTTTAACTCACCAACCTGTATTTTTTATTTACCATAATATATAATACAAATTACAAAACGATTATGAAAATAAAATAAAATATATAGCATATAAAATATTTCAAAGCTGCTTCGTAAACCATACAATTGTATTGTATATTTTACAATTTTATGTTTCGTCAAACAGTAGTAACGTACACTGTACAACAGAATTATATTTAAAATTGACAAACAGTCTGATGATGCATTTTTTTTAACTTTGTAGCACCATTTGATCTAGATTATTACGTGTCAGATTGTTTGAAGAATACTCTTGCACCGGACAAGCTGTAATAGAGTAACTGGAACTCAGCACTTCTCTCTTTCAGGCGTTTTAACGTTAACGCCCTTGTCTGTTGCAATTTTTCATCTCCATGATCATTTTTATTTCCCGCTGCTTGTTTTTCCATACTTAAATGCTCTTCGACTGTTTTGAACCAGTGCAAACTGTCCAATTCCGATGACTGATTCAAAAGGGCATTTATGTAAGCGATTCCCATTGCAAAACCATCGTCGGTAAATCCTGCACCGGTTTGATTCTTTTTGAACATTTTCTCCTTGTTCGATATCGAGTTGTCCACAAAGCTTAATGTTAACGGCGGTACAATGGCATAAAATTGTTGCAAGTGATGGGACTCGGTGTCCCTAAACGCAGACGCGAACACATCAACAAGCAGTTTGAAATATTGTATACCATTTGTAAAGTTCCGCACCAAATTTCCTATATCATCTTCTAAGCACTTCGCAGCAGCTTGTGTTATGGTGCTGTAATTCAAGTTCTTGCATATCGATACAAACGACACAGAGGAGTTGATGTCTGGCAAGAAAGAAATGGCATTCGAACTAGCATGTAATCCACCTGATCTGATTAATCGTACGTACCCCAATGCATTTCCAATCTGAGTAATTAACTGTCGAAACTGATCCAAATAACTCAGACTATCCGGCGTCATACCCAGCTTTCTGATCTCTTTCTGGAATTTTTCTGCCCTTTCATAGGCGTAAGGTGTTGCACCATTCTCTCTTTGGACCTTGATGTACCTTATGTTACGCATCAGTCTTGACTTTATGTGTTCATCGAAAAGGAACTGTGAGAAAGTGTGCAGCTTCACTCGAAGAAATTGATACACAAAATTCACTGTTGTACTCATGATACCAGTCCCATGCGTCCTAATAGAATTTGCTATGTGTCGAATTCCAATGGTGTTCAGATGTTTATTGCTGCTGGTATGTTCGATGAACGTTTGCGTATTCAGATTGTACAAATACTTTGAGACAAACACATGAATGTTTCTCATAATCTCTAAGGCGTCGAGACCTTGCTCCAAGGTCTGCGTAGGCAGGTGATTTTGTACAGTGTCAAGGTTCAGCTTGTAATGAGCGAGGGCATGCATCATTCTGTAGGTTCTCCAATCATGCAGAGCCACCGTAGTGAGATTATAAAACATATTGTCGAGGTAATGCTCGATAAACCTTTTCGCATATATCATACTGTTGGCTAGAGGTAACGGCAACGATTCCACCACTCTTCCACCATCCTTTGCTCCGATATTAAATGGATTAGTAGAATCCATCTTTAAATGCGCATGAACGTGAAGTCTTAAGTTTATTTCAATTTCTTGGCAGACAGGTTCCAATACGTTCTTGGTTAACATCTCCTTCAACTGGGCGATCCTTTTCTCCTTTAAATCCAATCCTTCCTGTTCACTGATGGTGCTGTTAAATGCACCGAACAGATGAACAACATGACTTATGTTCAAATTACTGTCCGTCACGGAAGAGAAGTAAGCAGGAATTATGTTCTGATGATGCAACAATATGGAATAATCGCAGATTTCATTGATAATATTATGCATATCAGCAACAGTATCGTAATTGTCTAACAAATATCGTAATTTCAGCACGTCCTCTTCTTTGAACGTATCTGTTAATTGACTAGAGCATGCTAACGCACATCTGGTTAGCAATCTTCTATCCGCACTCGCCGGTCCGTTTAATAGCTTCATACTCAAACTTATGAGGGACAAACTGTCCAATCTTTCTTTACTGTAGCCTTTATCCTTTTGTATTAAACTTTTCCGTGCGTTCTCTAACGTAGCTAAAATGTAATAACTCTGGTATTGTAATACCTGGCTCTGTGATTGCACTATAACTGGTCCAAACATATAAAATGTATTCTGCAAACACTTCTGCACTTCTATCAGCCTGCAGATCAACTGAACAGTATTACGATTCATTGGTTTAATAAGCGCAGCATGCATGTTCATTACAAAGGATACAGTTTCTTTAATTTGAGACAGCAAAATAACTAACTCTACCAACAGAAATTGTTTATGCCCAATGTCTGAAACTTGCAGACTAGTCTTCATTGAAATAGTCTGTAGTTCAGAGGACCACGTTACGGCTCTGTGAATTAAATTGTTCACTGTTTGAGACAATTTCTGAGTTCTAGAGGACAATAACTTTTCTCCTATTTGCGAACCGATAGCATTGCCAGCTTCCTTTGGCAGGAAATCGCTTAAAAATTTATTGGGTGTCCATATTACATTTCCAATCAGAGTAACAGCATAAATCTTCTTGTTATTCTCTAGTATTCGTTTAAGTAATCTCTTATCGCATGTACCAAACAGTTTCATCAGTACAGCAATACCAATATTTACTCTGATCCAATTCTTGTTCAATGTTGCTCTGCTGTCAGATTTGTTTTCTATGTCTGCCATCAGATTTTTCAGGTAACTAGTAATCTGCTCGCTCATCAGAGGACCTTTACCCACCTCCATCACTCGTTCTATTACTTTGGAAAATATGACCTTTTTTAACAAATTTTCTTGCAAGTCCTTCAATAATTTATCAAACGTGTGAAGCTTTGATTCCACTATACCAAACTGCGATGGACTATGCATGATAGAACGTACATGCATTCTGTACTTTTTCCATTGTTCCAACAGCGATGGCTGAGATTCAATGATTTCATCCAATGTTAGCACAATTACAAACAGATCAATAAAATGCTCTATCAGTACCGGTAGATAGACTTCATTAGAGTTACCAGCTAAGCTGGATAGTTGTTCCGTTGTTAGATGCGCAACAACCGATACTCTATTCACAAACACGTATAGATCTTGCAAGTCGGAAAGGAGGGACGTAATGTTCTTTTGATTATTTTCCACGTCCCTTTCGCCATGTGTAAATAATTTTTTGTAGAAGGACTTGGCTTCTATTTCGAGAAGTCTGATTTCTCTGCAAGTGCCAGCTACAGTGGCAAGTAATTTTGATAAGAATTTATTCTTTATCTCTATTAAATGTATAAGACTAACATCTTCGACGGGTTTATATACCAGCCGCAAAGGACCTTCCATGAAATACTCCAATGTGGAATCGGCCTTCCAAGTTTTCACTGCCAAATGATCAAAAAACTGACCATACTTTCGCAGATGTATCGAGCCAGCCGCTTTGTATATGGTTTCGTCCTTTTTCGAATTCCATGCTGTTGATTCTATCATTGCTACGTTATATTATTTTTTTAACGTAAACCGACCAACACAGTGATTATCCGGCCCCACTACGATTACACGCTCGGCGCGTAACTGTGTTCTGATTTGTAATTAGGATAACGCAACAATGACAGATACTCCACTGATCGAAAACCAAAAAGAGTCTAACAATCCGAACAGACAGCTATTAACCTCATCGGTAAATTAAGCTGCTTCAAAATAAAAATTTTGACAATAATTAAAACAACGCTCGAAATGTTAAGATTTTTTTATCGCAACGGTTTAATAATCTATGTACATAGCTCCTGGTATTATTTTGTACTGTTTCTCCATCGAATTGAATAACATTTTTGCGATTCAATTACAAAGTGTTTTCTCGAATACTTACAAGAATAACAATCTTTATACACTGCAGAAATAAAAATACTTGTCCTCCACATGAGTGCACTGCTGCCTCCCATAAGAAACTAACAATTACTTCAAATAATCCGCCGATATTCATGAATTTTTGTACATCGATAATTTTGCGTATCATTAATCACATTATACACATGATAAATGCATATATTTCTTAGTAAATGTAACACAATTGCGAAAAATAGTGAATATAATATCTACATGACTCATGTACGTATGCAGAATTTAAAAACAGCGCGAACTTGCGCCCTCTGTATAATAAAACAAAAGGATTCAAATCTTTCTTCATGAATTTCTGTTTATTAAAAAGATTAAATAAAATCACAATTTCTTTACTTTCATGTCCCCATTTAATATAACAATATATCAATAGCTAAAAAAAAGATAAAATTAAATAAATCTTGAGATTACCGAATACATTTATATCCTCGTACCTACATGTTTCTAATCAAACAGAATGATTTTAATTACACGTGGAGGGGGGAAGATATGAGTGCAGATACAAAGAATAATTTTTGTATATTTTTTTTTCTAAAACTAACTTTCTTTATTTCTTTCATCGTTAAATTTTTCATTATTGTATTCAATGTGATTTAAATTTCTTTCACTTCATCCATATCTCTTTGTGTTATCTAACTATATACTAAAAAGACACCACATATGATTGTAACAATAAGAAACAATAAACAACAAAGATTAGTAACGAATAATTTACATTCATTGAACAAACCATTTACACTTCTCATACATACATGAATAAATCAGAGTAAAATAAAAAATCACATGATTTACATTTTTTTTCCTTGAATTTAGAAAATACATACTAAAACAGTCTGATTATCCAACGAAGCAAACAAATCAACATATTTTACAATTAAAAAAAGAAAAAGTAATTGTAAGAACTACACTTTACACATATGGTAGAATAATTATTATCCAACTGTTAAACTAGTTATAATATTTGAAATATAGTATGCTCAGAACTATAATTTTACATATAAAAAGTCTTCTTAATAATATGTATTACAACCTTAACTGGGCATGAATTAATTAGCAACAGTTTAAATTTTTTTTTAATGCATTTCGCTAAAGACTAGACAAAACTGTCTTCAAAGAGTTTCTTTATTCCTTCTGAATTTGTTTTCCTAAAACTGTATCCAATCATCAAAACCTGAGATTGTTATTTTAAATTTCAGTACGTAATACTTTCACTATTTCCATTGAAAGTAAAGTGAAAATTATGTTCTATGTTTTTTTTCTTCTCTTTTCTAAAGCAAATGAAAAACTTTCCTAGAAACTTTGCACATTAAGTAATGAAACATTCATTTCTCTGTGCGTATCGATTCCGTTTCTTTTTTTTTTTCTGTTTTAGCTCGTATCTCGCTTAATATTACAATAATCGATTCTAACCATAATTACCACTGACAAGTAAAATTAGAGGAAACACTAACATCGTTTTCCCAAACGAAAGGAATGATAATCGTGTCTTTAATATTATTGTAACGATTTCCGATAATTTTACAATATTAACCGTTAAAAGTTATATGCATTTTTATCTCTCTATCTGTGATGTATATCAATATAAATATCCCATCAATGTGGCTTACGTCGCAATTTTATTATCATTCAGCGCTTTTTGGCGTAACTTCCTGTTTCATTCTCCATTCCGAACGCCCATTGTCTGATGACGTTATGAAATATCATTATGATTCGCGCGATAATCCTTTCAAAAACTATTCTCGAATAGTTTTGACGGCGGAAACGGCCAGCTGCCGGCAGAAACTGCTTGTAAATTAGAGGTATCGTGCACCAAAGTGAGTTCCCCACGTGTAGAAACGTAGAAATAGAGTGATTTTAATGAAGTTGAATATCAAAACAAGTTTCAATAATATCAGACTGTATCTAACACTAGAAACTATGTTCGAAGGATACTAAAACGGATCATTAACATTCCCTCCACCGCCACCTGAAATAAAGACCAATTTAAATGGTCCCATTCAACGTAATCATAGGAAATCATCACTTGGCTTACGGTACACATAGGTTTCCGACGGCAACCTCCCTTAAACGATATCGAATGAACATGTAAATTAGTACACATTAATATTGTATATATCGTTTTCTTAAAAAACGAATAAATGAAATGCAAGTAAAAAGGCACTATATCTGGGTATGGGAAACAATCAGGTATTTAGGCCTCCCTAACATTTTTTGTTTGTTTGTTTGTTTATATACCATATACTTCCAGTAAATCACAGATCTCTCAGTGAAGAAGTTACGCCGTTGCGATCGAACAACTTCCATATTCTATTACACACGTAAAAGTCTTTGTTTCGGTTGGTACTAAACATATATGCATGTTAAGAGGAAAATCATTGTAAATTAGAAACGGCCACCCTTAAACCAGTTCGGTGGTATTCAATAATACATTGGAAGCATAAAGTAATATTTTAGTCGTAACGTTGTTTCGTTTATTTTTTCTTTTTTTTATAAACTAGGATGGAACCATTATGCTATTAAACGATGAAATGCTCTCTTTATCCCATTAATAATAATACTTGACTAGTTGTGGGAGAAATTATTAATTGGCAAGAGAACCTTTTTAATTGTTCCATACGCATAGTATTACCATGCCATGTTTCTCCTATGATGTCGAATACATTTCATCGTTATTTATGTAAAAAGACCGATGTCGCTTTTATATTGACTGTCGAGGATGACACTCATCTAACAATCGTTTCATTAAACAGGTGTTTCGTGATCAGTCTCTTCAATTCTTCCCAATCGCCATGCATTTGGATCTCCAGCTGCTGCAACGGAACAATGGAAACGAGATTCTTCACATATTTTCATCTAACAAAACCGGTTATCGTATTTAAAACAACGATATATTTGTACTATGCGAACTGTGTTTATGTACAACTGTAATAAAATTCTTCGTAATATAACTTTATTGAATATATCACCTAAAACCTTTTGATATAGCAATAAGGAGATAGAGGAAAATAACCATAACTGTACAATAAAGAATATCTTGCTACCAGAACTTGTATTTCGATTTACTGTCACTGAGTCTTATAAAACGAATCACGATTTTACTGTACAAAATCTGACAATACCGGTCAAATTGCTTCCTGGGTATCGTTAATACGAACAACATGTAAAACAATGTTACATAAGCACAGAGACAACTCACCTGAATACAATAACCAGAAGAAAAAAACAAATGAGTTTACCCGGCGGTATTTGTGTAACATACGGGTATCCATTGTAGAAACATAATACATATACATCACGTACAAATTTTGTGCTAGGGTAATTGCACAGCCTGTGTCACAGGGATATTATAAGGAAGTCTGAACTTTGTTTTGTTGCACAGGATCTAAGGGAGGTGTACGTAGGTGATTGATATGATGCAAAGTGTTGTTCAGCACTTCCTGAGTCGTGTACAGCAGCGGCATTCTCTCTTCTATCCAAAGCAAAATCAAAATTGATGCACAATTATAAAAAGTGTTGTAACAGATACATAAACTTATCGTGACCTTAATAAGTAAAACTGGTAACTCCATTTGACGGAACTTTACAGTAGAACAATAAAACAGTTCAGAATTAATTGAACTTAATAAATTACAGAAAATAAGTAAGTTTTTTGAACTTTATTAAATTTATAGGAGTTGCGGAATTATTTAGAAAAATGTATTTATTTTTTAGGGTTTTGAGGGACACTAAAATGCAAAATTAGCCCAAAAGTGGAATTATGAGGTTTATTATTAAGGTCACGTTATGTTATTAGTGTTATTGCTAATTTGTAAACGCATGCACTATTTATCGTGCGAATAACAATTTTTAAACACACTTTCTACATAACTGCTCTCAGGTTTTCCATTATTGATATGTCTTGTATATTATGGTTTATTATCATGAATGCTGATTCGCAATTATTATCTTTCTACAGAGTAAAAGTATGAACACATTTTAATGATCGTTAATAATTTAACTGCAAAATTTGAATAGCACATGAAAAAAAATTTTTGTTAACATTCAACAGATTGCAATCTGTACAAAAAAATTGATTCAAGTTGATATTGAATATAGTCGATCGAAACAAAAACCCAAGAACATCTTGCTCTTTGTGCAAAAAAAGGAGCATGTGCAAATATAACTGTACAGGAAGAAAACTATTTTACTATTTAAGGAATTGAAATGGAACTTAAAATCTTAACAGTTACAAAAGATTAAAAAACTATGAATTGTTTTCGCCTGTTGTCACTCTGAAGTTTTAATTATTTTAACCAGCTGAATATATTGACAAGAAAATTTTGTGAAAATATAAACTTTTAGGGTTCAATAAAATAGATAGATTACATGCACATGCATAAGTTTAAAATACATAATCCCCCGATAAAAATCTGCAGAAAATTCAAAGTTTGTCTTTATATAACTCTCATAAATAAAATTTAAAATCTAACTCCCTTCTTCATATTTCATACGTGATAGTTGAGTATCTATCAAATTTGAAAGAGGAAACTTTGAATTTTTATTATTATTATTTACGAGCGAAAATTTCGCCTTTGAGAAAATGATGCCAACCAATAAAACAGCTTATAATTGTAAAATTAAGCCTTATTGGATAGTTGTATGTATACAGCAATTTCTTTTTCTATTAGTTTCATATATAAACTCGATTCACCAAGCATGTTTCACATTTTTAAAAATATCATTATATATACACTAAAATACATTAAACTGCAAGAGAACGTTAATTATAAATAATTTGTCATATACTTAAATATGTATTGTAAATAGTTGTATATGAATTATATGTATGGGCACTGGAGCATACATATTTAAAATAATACGAATAACTTAAAAATTGATTAGTACCGTGAAATCTTTAGTATAAATCCTTGTACGTATATTACAAAGTTACTTTGTCAAATATCAGTGACCAACTATGAAAGGTATCAGGACATGTACATAAATATACAAATAAAAAAGGCAGAAAATAATACACAAGTTTCCACGTACAGCAATGTTTAAAAAGTTTATATCACGATAAATACAGGCACTTAACATTTATGACACGATAAAGAAATGTTTAGATAAAAATATTTGAAACAGAAACATAATGTGCTTTCACATTCTAAAAAGTTAAAAGTTACTTACCTTGAAGTTGACGACTGATGAGAGCGGTAATACCTTGACTGTCACCAGTCTTTTTCACAACGAAAAGTTTGGTGTCGGGATCATTTTCTAAGGCTCCAATACCACCCAAACCAATTACTTGACCATTTTGTTGCTGATGACTACTAGCAGCCATTGTCTCGCTGACCTATTGTTATTGTAATGTAATAGTATTGGTAACAGTGTTGCTATTTGTAATTTAAATGTGTCGAACATACCTGCATCAATTTTTTTACTACATCCCTTCCCAAAATGTGATCAAACACTGCCTGCAGAAATTGATCACTAATTATGCTTAATTTTAACTTGTCTCTATGCCATAATAATATTCTTGATTCCTCCATAGCTGTTATTGATACCTATACGAAAATATTGTTACCTTAACCACACGTTTTTGCGCCAAGTATACAAATTATGGAGGAGTTCTACAAACCTGAAAGTACTCATCCGTGGAGACACCAAACCATTCTGGAGAATCCAGGAACTGATGTGGGAAGACAATGTGCAATGCTCTTCCATTTTGTGATACTACTAATCTAAAAGAAGGTTGTAGAAAACACATAATTTGAATACAGAGATATATGTTTGTTACGTACAAAAAAATATAAAAAATATTCAAAGACGTTTTGTGAGTATAATTCGCGTTATTTGTATATATATTGTATGCTTACTTTCCAGAAAGTACCAAAGATAAAGAATCTACTTTGGTCACTTTTTCTTGGGCATAAACTTCTTGATATTTCAACTGTCGTATAACCTTCATACAATTTAATACTTTTTTAAATTGATGACGTGATACTCTCAGCGGCTGGAACACTGCAATATACACCTGTACGAAAAACAATGAAATGAAGTATAAAATATATACAATATTATTTCGTACGAAGAATTAATAAACAAAAAAAAAGAAAAAATACTTTTCCTGAATGTTTTGCGTATTACTTCTGCCGAAAGTATCATTTGTAAACAACTCATGTTAAAGTAAAACCACATCTTTTACGGTACTTTTTAATAATTGGATGATCAATCATTTACTAATTAAAAAGATAATACTTTTTCATACAGAAAGCATATTATACTGTAAAGAAATTGCTCGTGTTACACGTACGAAGATGCAAACGAAAGATAGTATATAAAAAAATTACAGCAGAATGCAGATGCAATAGCCAAACGTACAAGCGATTTACAGTAATCACTAATTCTAATATATCTATCTATAAGGTCTAGAACAGTAATATTATACTAACTAATGTACACAATGTTACACTACAAGTAATATTCAAGAAAGTGATAATACAGTACAATTTTTCCCAAAGATACATATATATCAAATATTGACTTAAAAATGAACAGCCAACTTAATACCTGGAATTACTCATTTTCTATTTTGTAATGGCATTCGTTACATCAACTAGAACAGTGTCTATTTAAAACGTTTCTAGCCCTCGGAGTACTTTTTATTCTAATTATTCATAAAAAAAACAAAATTCTGGTTTGACTATGTGTTTTGTAGAAAAAAAAGAAACATATCTAATAATGTATATATAGTATTGCACATGGAATAATCGAATACTTCATCTAATGCTTATAATATTCAACACAATTCTCACTAGTGTAAAAATCAAACTGGACAATTACACATGTACAGTGTGTTAAAATAAGATTGTTCTGCGACACCGAGTCAGAGAATCTTTCTCCTGTTCTCCACTTGGCTTACCTCTTCAACTTCCCTTGAAAACTTGATAGGCCTGAGCTTGTAAAGAAGCGTGCATACATGGACGAAGTTGATGGCAACAAACAGAGCATTCCAGAGAGCAGCGTCCAGCCAGCAAGCTATTGTCCAGCCCCACAAAGCAAGAAAGGCACAGCCCACGAGTAGAGTGCACCTTAAATAGAGTACACCGTGTATGCCACTTGGTGCAAGGTGTGACAATAGAAAGAAGGCATTCGCTAGTTGAAAGTAGATGTGGTTCACAGAAATTCCTTGATACGGCTGGCAGGTAAGAACTCCGTACAGAAAGGTTGGAGGCACTATCGGCGAATGTGGAGAACCAGATTCGTGACTGACCACTGACAAACCAGTAGCTGGAAAACATTTCCGTATATTTTAGAGCTATTCCAGGCAGTAGCATTGCTGATTATCTTATAAGTTTTTTTTTTTACGCGTAAAAGAACGTATATACATACCTGCTCTATTATCAGTGGTCACATTCCTACATTCGTCGTCTTCATGGTGCGTTGAGATCGGTAGTGACACTTCCGACGTGACAGTATTATGAGGAACATTAGATGCAGCTGCATTCGTTAAGCTGGCATCGATACCGAAAGACGTCAAAGAGAGAATTACAAGAAATAAAATAGAAGCACGCCAGCCTTCTCGGCTACCTATAGGATCAAAACAGATCCACATCCCAGCATCACCATCAAGCTGAATCAATTTCGTCTTACTCTGGAACATCAACGACAAACACTACTTAGTTCTAAAGACATAAGATGCTGGATAGACACGGACAAAATACACATAATTCTTAATGTTCCCAAATAGTCTGTGTGAAATTGAGAATTGTTTCCACACCATAAAACACAGTCAAAAAGGACAAATAAACCGATTAAGAATTATATTAATTAAAAGCATTTCTCTTCAAAAAGAGGAAGGAATATTTTCACTTAAAATTGAGATTAAACGAAGATTTCTAGAAGGGCATACTTCTTAGTTTGTGTTAGATCAAAACAAGAAAAGAACTCAATTTTTGTAGGCAGATTGTGTAAAAGAAATCTATGTAAGAACAGAATTAAGTATATATGTACATGTATTAACTGGTCGCTTCATACTTATTCATAGAAGATATTAATTTGAATGCTATATGCCACTCGTGAATGTCCTGTCATCGTTCACATTTCTACTCTCAGCTAAAATTAGAGCTCGAAGACAAATACCATCTCGTGGATTTCAAGTTAAGGAAGGGTATTTGCATTACCAACAGCTGTGGGAAGACTATGGAAACGTCTGTAACAAACACACATGTATGTATATGATATGCATGGTCTCCACTCATGTTTGTTGTCAATAAATTAATGAAAAGTATCAACTGACATTTTACGCTGACACGATAGAATAGCTAAATAAGGTGAAAATGTCAAGATACGATCAAACAATAGAATACAAATTTTCACGGTCATCTGTAACGATACGAATTCACGAATTCGTCGAATTCTCTGACAAACAGCATTCGGGACCGGACACTACGATTATATTCGTTTTCCGCGCATTAGCGAACGGGTACATCGAAGCACGTTACAAAGTATCGTATCGAAATCAATAAATATAACTTACTTACTCATGGAAAATTTGAATAGATGTGATCGTACGCAAGGCATACAGATGAAAAAATCAACAGTGACGTCGAGCGATCCGATAGTTGAAATAAACCAAGCTTCGTACGCGAAACAAACTTGCTATCTAATGTACGTCAAACTAGCAGAAAGACGTCACTCTAGCAGGGGCAAGTAGAGACGACGGTCTAGAGAATTGGGAATCCGAAAGGGGATAAAATAGGCCACTCGGCCCCTAATTTAAGGTTTGTTCGAAAACCGATTAGCGAAAAACTAACGTGACACGCGAGAAAAAAAACAAACATACGAACCACATCGCTATTATGTTGCGGCAAATTAGCTATAGACCGGAATATACAAGGTGGCGAATCGAATCTATTGGGGGACCCGACGCCATTCAGTTTGAAATTCAAAGTTTTTACGAATATGAACGGGCCGGATCGGTTTGCATTTTTGGCGTATGCAAATGTGCGTAACTGGAGATGAAATGAAAATCACCGGGATGTTTGCCCGGTTTTTAATTTAATTAACTTCGTGAATTATTGAGCTAACTTTTCTTTTGATAATCGTAGCGAAATGCGTGCGTCGTCCCTGAGAATGGCAATTTGCATAAACACCTGCTGTCTATTTATCATTTTATAAAATGTCGGATTATTTCGATCAATTTGATGTTCATTTAGTTACATATTATTCGGAGATGCGGTATTTTACATATTTTGTTTCATGATTTTTGGAAACATTTCGATCTGAATTGCGTCTCGCGTGCATTCGATCGTTGTAAACTTGAAAATAGCTTTGAAACTGTCTTGTATACACGATGCCACTTTAAACAAACTCGATAGTAGCAACATTTTACTCATCTGAAATTACCTTTTTTTTAGTTGTTTTCTGCTGTGGATCAATTTAGCAAAAATGGCAATGGAAAAGGATTTACTCAATGGTATCTGTTTAGTAATTACACGATATGTATTCCTAGTTGTAGAATGTTAATTCGTTGAATAAAATGCTTCGTTTATGTTTTCGATTTCATATATTATAAGAGCTTCTTAGAACTTATTAACAATATTTCTTTATACAGCTGTAAGGGATTCACTTAAAGCTAGTGGTGAACTAAATAATATAAAGGCTGAAATGCGTACAAAAGTCATAGAGTTATTGGGAAATTCGAACAATGGTAACAAACAGAAACTACCGAAGCCGCCGCACGACATTGCGCTTTTAAATGAACTTATTCGAGAATATTTAGACAGCATGGGATACAAATATAGTTCTACTGTATTTATGTCAGGTATTACAAACATGTATTTAATACGTAATATACATTAGGAATGAATAATTATTAATTAACATGTCTAAAAAAAAAACATGGTATATTTTAGAGTGTAACTTATCAAAGCAACCTCTAGATAGATTTTTACTTGCTCAAAGTTTGGGAGTAACAGAAAATGATGACGAAAGAGAGCTACCACTACTCTGTAATATTTTGGAAACAGTAAAGAACATGAGAAATTAAATTATTTTGTTTGATGAAATAAACAAAATTAAAATGTACAGCAATTTAGGTAATATAATTGAATTCATTCACGAATAAAGAATATGTTAATTTAAACACGATAAACTACGATTTTTTTTTAATGTACTTAAATTTCCATTGTTTGTGGGTGCACAATATTTTATTCAACAATATATAAGTTAAAAGAATTTTGTCTTTTTATTTTATGACATCTTTTACATATTGACAGTACATTACGAAAGTACAATATAATGCTGAGATATTGGAGATCTTAAACATAATTGCTGTTACTTTCTAAAATATTGTACCAGATTTCTTAATGATACCATTATCTACTGAATGCTATAATATACATCACTTACTGTAATGAATTTACTTACATCATTTTATTGTTGAAATTGAAATGTGGACAATAATATTGTAAAGGCCTTAATAACATTTCAAAATTAAATATAAACAAAAATCAAATGTCGTACCTATCTTTTTCCCACTTGTTATTTCATCGAATATATCAATCCCAAAATCATGAACTCCTCCCATAATAAGTAGTAAATCGATAGTGACTGTTTCAAAATTAAGTTTGAACACTGTTATAGTATTATAAATAGAGAATAAGTTCTACCTCGTTTTGCATCAGACAACGATCTTGTATTCGGTGCACAGAATTCTAAATAATTCTGGTTAGAGAATCTTATATTAAAAAGCATTCACAAAGAAAGAAAGTTCCCGTCAGAATTACATTTTTTTTTTTTCGTTAAATAGTAAAGACATCTATCGATATCATTTGTGCTTCGACTTTTTCTTCTTCTTCGACTGTTTGCTTCTGCTCTTTGATTTCTTCGACTTCTTTTTGTGTTTCTCCTCGTCGCTACTTGTGTCCGACGAATCCGAATACGTATCCGAATCCGAGCTAGTATCCCTTTTACTGGACTTCTTCTTCTTATGCTTCTTGTGTTTCTTTTTCTTCTTCTTGTGTGACTCGTCCGAACTGTCGGAATCTGTACTCGTAGTATCCGAGCTACTGGATGAATCCTCGCTGCTCGTCGACTTTGACCTCTTTTTAAGAGACTTTAGCTCCACTTCCTTCTCTATGTCTGGCTCATCGAGCTTCAGTTTCTTCGCTGGCAACGGCATCATTTTTCCGTCATCGCCGTCTGATTCGGAATCCGAAGCGCTATAGTCAGGCTCGAAACTAGCTTCGTCGAGTATACTACGTTTACGATCCGAAACAAGTCTCGGATTCTTCCGTTGTTTCTTCACAATCTCCGTGACAGGAGGCTCGGGGTTCTCGTAACTGATTTTCGTTTCGCTAGCCTCGGGCTTCTCCTTCATGGCCAAGTTTTCCTTATGCTTCTGTTTCTTTTCCGAATTCTTCTCTTTGTCCTTCTTGTGTTTCTTCTCTTTTCGTTTCTTGTGCTCTTTAGACTTACTCCTACTTCGATGCTCCTTCTTTCTCTTCTTCTCCTCCTTTGACTTCTTCTCCCGCCTCCTGTCCTCATCGTCTTCCTTGCCCTTCAGAAGGCTCACCTTTGGAATCTCGTTCCTTTTGAAGGCGCACGTGGGCGTCCTTCCTCTTCTTTCCCTGTCCCGTTCCTTCTCCCTGTCCTTCTCCATTCTGTCCCCTTTCGAATCGTTCCGAATGGACCTGAAGTCACCCCTGGCGTCCATTCGTGGATCCCTCTCGGATCTCATGTCGTGTCGTTCGCTTCTGAAATCATTTCGATCCTTCGAACGATCCGTCCTGTCTTTATTATCGCGTTTCCTGTCATCGAGGAACACCTTACGCTCGTTCCCTGGCAGAGGTAACGACGTGTCCACGCGTCTATCCAGAAGTGGGGAGATTCTCTTCTCTCTGTTGCCTCTAGGAGAACGACTTCTCGACTGCGTTTCACTCTTCGTCTCGCGTCTCTCTAAGAAACTCTTAATCGGGCTGATTTTACGTTCCTTATTCTCCTCCACTTTCTCACCTAACCTCTCTTTCGCGGAAAGTCTCGTCGGCGAATAAGTCTCCGGTACTGGCTTGAACTTCGTTCGGTCCAACTTCGCTTTTTTTACCGGCTCGGTGATCTCGACGTTCCTTTCATCTGCTCTCGCTGATCTTTTTTATCTCGATGGGTCGAATGGCGTTAATGGCTTTCTGGAAAATCGCGTTCTCCGCTCGTTTTAACACCTCCGACGTGACTACCTTCGTTGACTTGGGCTCGTCCAGTTGTATCTTTTCTGTGGGAGACACGCATACTTCATCGGACTTTTCAATAGTATCATCTCTCTCCCACTTGGAGAGTTCAGGTAGTGGAGCCAAGAATTCGTCTTTCTTCGGCGATTTCTCCTCCAGTAAAGTGATTTTCTCCTCTGTTTCGTTCTCCGAAAGTAAAGAATATTTCTCTGTAATCACGGTATTTATTTCCGCATCGTCCAACCCACTATAGAGACTATCGATAGGCTTGGCTTCGGATTTTAACTCTGGGATCGGCTTAAAATTAGGATTAGGAGGATTCGTTCCGAATTCCGTATGGTCGATTCGTTCTGGACTGGTTTCGTTGAACTCCGGTGGTTCCGGATTCATAGCTAAGGATTTATCCTCGAATTCCTCTTTAATTGACTCCTCTATGATAGCCTCCGTGGGAATGCATTCTATCCTGCTGTCCATATTTTCATCTTCGCTCACAGGCTTCATTGGATCGAGTTTCACAGGCGACATAACTTCCTGTTTAGTCTCTATAATCGAGTCCTCTTGCTCGGATGACTTAGTTTGTTCGTCTTTCGTCGCCTCTTTCTGACCAGATTTCTTCTCCTTCTTCTTTTTCTTCTTCTTCTCCTTTTCTTCGTCCTTCTTCTTCTTTTTCTCTTTAATCTTCTTCTCCTTCTTCTTCTCCTCGCTCTTCTCCTCGTGATCCTTGTCCTTCTTCTTTATGCGTTCAGGCGACACGTCCTTGGCATCTGTCCTGGACTTTTGTAAATAGGGCGTTGGACTTTTCCGTGGCTTCTTCCTCTCCACAGAACGTCTTTCGTAACGTTCATGTCGATCTCGATCCTTCTCGGGTTCATATTCTCGCTCACGTCTGTCTTTCTCGCGACTACGATTTTTGTCGTCTTGTCTGTGACGATCCCTGTCGTCTCTGTAACTGTAGCAACAAAATAATCATTGACATTTTTCAGCTAGTCTTCCTAACCTCATCTAATCGTCTAACGTTAAATAAGAATTATCAATATTTCTAAAATGAATTTGCTGTTACACTTTCTCTACTGTACAAAAAAAAATGATCATAATACATATTATGTCTTTCAACGTATAGAAAAAGTATAAGTATCATGAATATATTGAATAAAATGTGAAGCCAGTTTTCATAACCTCATCTAATCGTCAAATGTTAAATAGTAATTATCAATATTTCTAGAATGAATTTTCTGTTACACTTTCTCTGCAATACAAAATATAAATAAATAATCATAATACATATTATGTCTTTCAACGTGTAGAACAAGTATAACTATCATAAGTATATTGAATAAAATATAAAGTAAAATAGAATTAAGTGGCAGTAATTGGGACATTTACCCTACACATGGAACATTCTTCAACGGAACTACGCACCGATCTTTTTCATAATCTTTCTTTTCAATATGTCTATCGTCATCCCGACGATCACGTGTATGTCTGTCGTCTCGTTCCTTTTCCTTTTCTCTCCTGTCACGTTCGTCCTTCTCTCGTGGCCTGTCGTCATGATCCCTGGGTAATACTTGTCTGTCGCGATCCTCCCGATCCCGATTCAACACTCTACGATCCCTATCATCTCTCTCACGTAAACGATCATCCCGTTCACGTCCTCTGTAAAAAGCAATTACATTTAATTTTAAACCACACTAAAAAGCACGCCAGAAAAATTGTTTATTGTAGAGCGACATAAACCCGTCTTTATGACTATATTAGAAAACATATCCAATCTTGCACACATTAGGAACACCTTTAACCCTTGTGTTGGCAACCAAAATATTCACGGTTATTGAGCAATCAGAATACCCCTATTCTGATAGATTAGATAAACGTAGATAGAGTTTCCCTTCCTATAATATACCAAGTACTGTTTTAGACAAGAACGTAAAGAATCGTGAGAGAAAATTAAGAAATGGGTACCTGGGTACCCGATTGCCTACACAAGGGTTAAATTAGAAATTTTTCTAATGATATCAAACATCGTACAGTGTTTACGTTAATTATGTAGGGTGTTTCATAATATGTGGGACCCACTCCAACAGTGCATGGGAGAAGTAAAAGTAAAGAAAGAGGTTCACGTACACATGTATCCTATTTGATCTTGTTCCTAGATTACGGCTACTTAGTATTACTTTGTATTCCAATAATTCTAAATGACATATGGAACTAATGTTCCTGGCTCTGTTAAACACAATCTACTATTTGCATACGATACTAGATAACGTTCTGGAATTTTAATAGTTAAAGTTGTTTGGGTACCTGTCGTCCCTTAATCTATCTCTTTCTTCAACGTCATGGTCTTTCAGAGAGTGCTCACGATCTTCTTGATCTCTCAGTGAACGTCGATCTCGGTCGTCACGCGAGGGTCTATCAGAGTGTTCAACACCTGGTGGCGAAAGATCGTAGTAACCTTCTGTTCCAGGAGGAGCGACATCGTCGAATCTTTTATGGGGAGCATCTCGCACAGGACTGGTGAAACGTTGAGTAGACGGTCCGGGATACCTGTTGACACAAAGTTTATAGAAAATGTTTACATTATTGCTGTACCACTATCAAAAAAGCATTACGGGTAGTTTTGCACTATAAAAATGAATACGATGTCAGTTTGTTAATTTACGGAATATAAAAATTTTAAATAAAAATAACAGTACACCCTGTATAGTTTGTATTCGATTAATTAAAATTTATTACAATTTTCTGATGCAGAATTATATTCTTTTTTTGTTTTTCTTGAATAAAAGTATTTGTAAGTAGTTAAGTAAGTTACTTAACAAAAGTAACATATGTTACTGATGTTTAATTATGTATACTTTGATTCTGGACCAAAGCGTAGTTTCTTTGTTCTGTTCAATTGAATGGTTGTTAAATAAACTTTAACTATGTCTTTTCTCTTACTAAAACACGGCCCATGGAAATTGAGACCTTTGTGTGACAATTACACTAAAGCTGAAAAGACGAACAGATAAAATTACTTAGTACCAAATAGGATTAAATATACTGTCTATAATATCATAAAAACGAAAAATAAATAAATCAACATTTATAACTTCAATTACATTTTGAATACAATGAGAATGTATAATTGCACCGATTGTATTCGTTTTCGAATATGAAAAGTACATAAAGTTACTCACCAAAAACGTAAACCGAACCATACAAATACTACTAAGTTAATGAATATAGTGTACAATGTATTTCGAAATTTTTATCTGTGTCACTTTGATAGATACTTTGCGACAGGAATTAGTAGTCTGTGACACTTTGTACTTCAAGCACTGAAAAACAGACAAAAGGAAATGTACTTTTTTTTTCTGTTACAAATGTTGATTTGGCCCTGAATTCACCTGATTCAGAAACCATGCGGATCTGTCAATCAGCTGGGTAGCTTCCAGAATCTCCAAGCAGCTCCTTGTTGTATACACTTTTCCGTGCTTCTCTCTTCTTCTTTCACTTTTTTGGTTATTTGTATATTTCATAACGTAATATCATTATGTACATACAAATAATAATCTTATATGCATGCAAATGATAAAATTATTTACTCAACGATATAGTAATAAAACATATTGAAAAAAAAAAAAATGAAAGTGAACAAAGATATCCGTGTTATTTTCATAAAAATATTTCCTTGCCTCGCGTACACAAAATTACATTCTTTGTGAGCAATACAACACATACCGCTATAAAGATATTAAAAGAAAACGTAATATTAAGAAATACAGTATTAAAAATACTTATGCTGCTACAAGTATATATAAAACTCATTGTTTACATGTATGTATACGATTAAAAGTGTAATCTATGTTTTTGATATTGTAAACTTATTTTGATAAGACTGTTATTTACCACAAAACACAACGGTTCAAGTTTATAGCTTCGAACGGTACGTTTAACATATATGATGACTAGTTGTTTTTCATAAAACGTTACTTAATTTCTTTGATAAAAAACTAGATATTAATATCACAGCAAGTATTCGATAATAAATATATGAAATATTACAGCATTTTTTTTAGCAATGCGAGACATAATTGCCTATTCGCATTTGCTCCATTGCTATCAAAACAATGTCAAGTAATAAGCTTTTTCTCAGTAATTTTGTAAAAAAAAAACTCCAATTTTCTTTTTAATTTAATGTGCTGCTTACATAAGCTCATCACGTTCAGTATAATAGAATTCGTAAATATTATTTTAATGCCAATGTGTTCACTGATATCACCGTATGAATCGGTATTGACGAATTATAAACAATCACCAACTTCATACAATTTGTATTGTATGTAAATATTTAGATTAACTGTTCACTTATGTAAGTAAGGATTGATAAATTATCACAGGCAGTACAATGTTTAGTTTAATTCTAGATTGTATCAGTTTCCAAAATTACCTCAATGCAAACCAATACATTCAACATAGCATAATTTAATCACAGTTGGAGTATTTACATTGAAGAACATACAACTAGAAAGGATCATTAAAGATAAAGACTTTATTAATTTGTTATTTTGTACTGTGTATAAATCATTTATTTAAAAATCTTAATAGTGCGTATCTATTAGATCCTTTTGGTTAAATGTTCCTCAATTTACATGTAAAACCCGAGTTGTTATTAAAACAACATGTATCACTTTAAAATGAGTATCACTAGCCTTGTCAGCGTTAATTGCAATCTCATCGATATGCTAACTAATCAAACTTTTTCTGTAATTCTTTATAATACTGTCATTAATCTTTCTTTCTAATGTATGGATCAAAATATTTCGTGAAAATTGCCTGCAAAGCAATTACCTAACAGCAATGTTTAAAGAAATTCTACAGAAGCAGAATAATTATTGATGTAGAATGATTCAGAAAAAAAAAAAAATGGAAGCTATTAATAAAAAAACAAATACATCTCTCTTTATAATTGACGTATAGTAATATTTATATTGTTAGAACCTGGATTATCCAAGATTTCATCTGCATTATAGTATGCTTTTGTAAATCTTACAAAAAGATGTTTATTTGTTTGAAAAAAAAAAGTGCATTTATTTTTATAGTTCTGATTACTTTTCTATATGCATTACCCAAAGTGTATTTTGGATAATCAAGATTGTTCGTTTAAATTTCACGTAAATTACGAATAAGGTTGTAGAATACGATTTGTCCAAAGAAATCAAATGCTTCCAAAAATTATCCAAGCACTTTCGCGATATTTTTTTTCTCCCGTAATATACGCAGAGCCTCTGAATAATGATACAGCAAAAGAATACAACACAAAATACATGTACTATATGTATAAGGTATACACACACCCGTTCGCACACTCATGTAGTAACTTGCACCGAGTATGTATTTGATATCTATGTATAAATACGTAGAAAAATAATAATGTACGCCGTTTAATACTATGTATCAGTAGGACCATTGTAAGGTACATAAGTAAATTATGTACTTTCAATACGTGTATAAAGAATGTATTTTATGAATTAGGTTGCAAACAAAGTAATGACTGCTTTCAAACTAATAATATATATCTACGAAACAGTCGTTAAATTATTTACAATCTAATTATTGATGTTTAAATTATTCATTTGTATCTTAGTAAATCCATTATAATCATAATTATTCTTCTATCACAGCTCCTTAGACATAAGGCATAATGATATCTGCCTTTAGTATTATCATCAATGAAGAACGAAATAATTCGTGAAAATCATGAAATCGAATGTTCACGGAAGAAAGTTTAAAAAAAAAATCATTTACATTCTATAAATATTATCTTGCTAATCCATAAGAAGAAATCTCACCACACACTACTATTAACATATTACTTCGACGATGGCAAAAAAAGTTTGCCGTTATACAAATAGTTGTATAAATCTATAATTTCGTACTGTGTCTTCAAAAGCTCTGTAAAATATATTTTATAAAGCAACTATCCACCTTTAATTTCAATAACAATTTACAATTTAGTATCTCTTAAATTTTCATTGTTTTATTCGAATTAAAATGTTAAATCGCTCGTATGTACATGTGCGTAATATAACGGTACTAAATTATTAAATCCATACAACTATCACTGTGCGTGCATGTGTATGTGGTCTGCATATTTTATAAACATATATATATATGTATATGTATGCTCGTACATATACAGGGTGTAACAAAAACTGTTACAGTTCCCTGAAATGGGTCACTCGTGGGGGAATTTGGGACAAGTTTCTTCTTAGCAAAAATATTATCCGAGGCTTGGTTAACGGGATATTAACGAAAAGCTCCAGTCTCTCAGAGCGCAAGTCTTGCGCGGGAACTTGGCCGACAGACTAGCGTTCTGATTGGCCTGAGTTTTTCGTTAATATCTCATTAACCCATTTGCATCATAAGCTCATATATGCGCGGAATTTTCCTGGCCATTATCACCGAAGCGCAGATATGCGCGCTTTATTGAACTAAATAAAATAATGAATTCTTTGTATACGCCATTTCTGTTTTCCTTTTTTATGCATTTTGCAACATTTCTATCTTTATACAATAAAAAAAAATTTTGGTGATATGAGCCAATTTTCCTTTTTTCCAAATGATGCAAATGGGTTAATAAAGCCTCGGATAACATTTTTCCTAAGGAAAAACTTGTCCCAAATCACCTCGCGAGTGTCCAATTTCAGGGACCTGCAACATTTTTATTACACTCTGTATACATATAAAATATACGTGCGTTATATAAGAAAACTTATTTGCATACACACATATCTCCTTAAGGTATAAAATCTATCGTCTCGCTCATATTACATTCAATCATGATTCCGGAGCGGTACTGGTGTTCTTAACCGGGACAGCGGCATAAGGTACGGTAGACTGTCTGCTTAGCGTGTACATGAATTAAAGTACTATTGAGGCGGAAATACCTGTTGTAGGAATCATAATAGTCTTTCCTGTCCGTAGGCGGAGGTCCCAAAGACATAAGCGGCGGTGGGTGACCTCCAGTGACTAGATGCGGCAGCAAAGGCGGTATATTATGTTGCGTCGGTTGGTTCCTTATCGGATATCTCGGTATTGGCCTCTCTCTAGGAGGTAAATCACGCTCCCGATCTCGGAATTGATAATCGTGCGCCGGCGAATCATTGTAATAACTATTATAGCCTTCTCTGGGCTCGCGTGATCTCGGTCGTTCTCTGTCACGATCCCTCTCTCTTTGAAATCTGAAAGTATAGTGTTCAATTACAATTTGCAACTATACAAACTTCGAAAATATTTTCTAACACGTTTGCTGCCGGCATCACATACGTGCGACACTCCATTTTCTAGGTTAGCGCACCTTATTAGATAACAGCAGAGTATGTTTTTCAATATTTATATTATACACCTTTACACCTGATCAAAAAGGTAAGAAGTGAATAGAATGATAAGACACTTCGCATAGTCTGCGATGAAGACGTTTTCGAAATAATATGATAGTAGCAAACGTATTAATCCTGAAATTACACAGTTGTGTTTCAGAAATCTAGTGCATCTTTTAAATCAAGAAGTGTCTGTTGTTTGAGGAATTTTGTTTTTTTGTACATTATATAAAAAAAAAACGTTGCTTTCGTTTCATCTTGTCCTTTGTGCAATTTACTAAACATTTTACTGAAGACAGGAAACATTAATATTTACTGTTGCCAGTAAAAAAAAAACCCAAGGTCTACAAAACCTCAAAGTGAAGTTTACGTTATGAAATGTCAGGATTAATTATAATTCAAGAAACTGTTTGTAAAAATGAAAATGATTTGGTTATATGTACATACCTCGGAGGTGATCTGGCCGGTGATCGGTATCTAGAAAGTACTTCTCTGTCTCGATCACGGTCACGGTCACGATCTCGGTCGCGATCACGATCACGGTCTCGATCACGGTCTCGATCTCTATCACGATCACGTTCTCGATCCCGTTCTCGACTCCGGGAATACGATCTAGATCTGTAAAAGGATATTGAATATTTTACACGATGAACGAATCGATTGACATTAATTTAAAGTATATTTTAAGTATAATTTTAAGTACATTTATATCAGAGATTTACTTTACCTGCTGATCGAGAAACTTCCACTCCTTGATCTACGCTTTGGGGTACGACTTCGCGCTCGCAAAGGTAAAGGTGATCTCGAGGACCTTCTTTTCGAAGGAGGACTTCTGGATCGACTCAAGCGTGTTGTGAACGGTGATCTGCGACCAAACGAACGTGATCTAGATCTAGTATAAGAACGAGATCTTGATCGTGTTCTACTTCGTCGTCTATGCTTTCCCAGCCTCCTGTCCCGTTCATCTTTTTCACGAAGCATTCGCTCGAAAGCTTCTAGAGGATCGTCAATTATACTAAAAAATCATATTATTATCATGTGCACAATATTTTTAATAGTATCTTTGAAGAAAGCATTTATAATCATACATCTACTACAACCTTTCGTGTTAGTTTCGTGTAGTTATTTCTTTCTGAAAAATATTAACTTACCCAGGTGGATTGCCATTATGTATATTTCTACTTAATCCTGGCGGTGGCGGCTGTAATCCTCGATAACCAACTGAAAAGGAACATTTGTCTTACGCACAGTTCAATGTTCCATTGTCTCATAAATCTTTTTATTCATACACCCATACCTCGCTTTACGGCCTAAATACGTTCCGGAAAAGTTGGCCGTGAAGCGAAAAGCCGTATAACGAATCCATTATTTTGATACAAACCCATACAAATTCAATTGGACCTGTTCCAATTTTTTATAGAATAATATAGTTTTTAGTTCATAAAGTATTGTATTCTTTTTATTTCCTACTAAAAATGCATTTTTTTTTGCCGTATAACGAAACATTGTGCACCGTAACTCGAAAGAGTGCCATAATTAAAAAAGGCCGTTATAGCGAAATGCCGTATAAAGAGCGGCCGTATCACGAGGTATAGATGTATTCATTTCGTTATGAATCTTCTGTTTCTTATTGAATATGCATTTTATTTAAGGAAAATTTAAGTATTTATTTAATTATTACTTACTATGGTGCATTCCCCTAAGTGGCCGCGGTGGTCCATTATAGTTCCTAGGTGGTTGCGATGGTCTATATCCTTGTTGTTGATAAGGAGGCCTTTCGTATCGCGGGGGTCCATAATGAGATCCTTGTTGATGAGGGTACATAGGTATCCGATGACTCATGTATGGATCCGGCAATAAAGGTGCATTGTGTGGCTGTACGTTAGGCGGAGGTTGATTGTAACTTGGTTGTGGTATACGATCTTCTCCGGGCGGAAATGGTAGAAGAGGTGGTTGGTTGCCAGACGAAGGTACGTGTAAGTGTGGCTCATCAACCTGAAATATTTACGAGCATACTATCAATCATGGAATAATTTTTGACTAAAATAACAAACTAAATAATTGATAAAGAAACTTTGGTAACCCGAAAACTCTGGCTCCGTTTAAAACTTGCGAAGCTTAATGTAAAATATTCTGTACTTACTGTTGGAGTGCCTGGACGATCTTCAGTTGATCTACGCATGGAATTATCATAATGCATACTAGGAGGATAATGTCCATCATCGGGTGGCAATCCTTGATAACCTTTCGATGGAGGTGGATTCATTAAATGTGGTAACGGTGCACCTTGATTACTATAGTCGGTGTGCTGAGAATGCCTAGGTGACAACGATCGTCTTCTGCTCAATGGTCGCAAATTTTCCATTCTACGACCACGTTCCCCACTTCTAACGAATGAAATTTAAAATTATTGATTTGTTGAAACTGACAGTATTTAATTTTCTGTCGATTTATGATCTTTACCTGTCACGATGGCCATCTCTGCTGAAACTTCTTCTACGCTCTCTTGGTTGCCTTTCGCCCAAGTACTCATTGTCACGATCTTTCTTTTCACGGCTTGGGGGATCACTTCTTTCTCTGTCTCTTTCTGGTGAACTACCGATAGCAGGAATTGGAAGTAAGGGCTCTGTTCCTGGAGGTGGTGGTACGTCTGTTTCTTCGTCTGCAGCCAACTTTGTCACAGAATCACTTTGCAAATCTGCTTCTGTTGTTGATTCAGGAAGTGCTATTAAATATAAATAATATTTAACACAATCAATCGAATTTCTTGTTCCATAGTATTCGATACTATAACACTTTCAACAGTTTATAGCCACCAAGTTGTACAATTCAATGTTTTGTCTTTATGTTTGAGGTTAAGTACGGACTATATCAATTGGTTTTATAAACCTGCATGTAACTTAAACACTACATTACACAGTAAGTTTATGTAGTTATTAAAGTAATTCGAATGATATAGAATAATCGTGGTATATATCGCTATTTAGAGGGAAAACATTTTAACCGAATATCGTATATGTTCTTTAATGGCCGTCTCTACCCGGCAACTTCGAAAAAGAGAAAATAATTTTATATCGAGAATTCACATTACAAAAATAATCACTTCTATTTTACCTGTAACGAAATATTTTTTTCCAAAGGCAAACAAATAAATCAAATTAACTACTTTTGATTATTTAGATAGACGAAACGCGAAAATTATATCGTCCTATAAATAAAACTGGTAACCCTTTTTAGCATTTATAGCATTACAAATACTTGAAATCCTGTTTTACTATAAAATTATATTCTTTTTTCTCTATTCTTAATATTAAACATAATTACATCAAAGGTTTACATATTATTGTTAAATTTTCTAATTGTTAAAATTCTGATCAATACTTTACTCGAAAATAACTTACTTTCAATAACACAAATAATGTTTACAATTACCGATTAAGAAGTGTAAATTAATTCAAAAGGTTCATCTTACTTTATGCTAAAGAAATGAAAGTTTAACAAAGATTATATTATAAAGAGATTTCAGATTCTCTGCAAAACAGGAACATACCAATTTCAAGACATATTATAATACTGTTATTTACGGTGAAGTAAATGCTTATTAAAAAAAATAGCTTACTTGCTGCTTGTGGTTGTTGCGCAGTGTTAGCTGGAAACTGCTGGGGAGCAGGCTCAAAATTTGCTGGCTGCGATTCCGCATTCTCCTGAGAAGGTGCAGCTGTGCCGGCTGGGGCTTGAGCAGGTTTGCTTTGGTTCAATGTTTGACTCGTCGGTTGTTCAGCCTTCGGTTTATCTGGTTGTCTATTCATCTGCACAGATGGCCTATATGTTTGTCTTTTTGCATATCCAGTCTCATTCTTAAAATTCATCACAGCATTCCGTAAGAAACGATTCGGTATGAGAGTTTCCGGCGACACATCCTTTTCGTTGCAATCAGGACATTCGTGTTCTTCAGATTCTAATAAGAATGTACGGATACCTATTGCACAATGCACAGAGAATCGATAAGAACGAACTGGCAAAATATATTAAATTATAATCATCGGTTAATAAACGAAAATTTACATTCATCGCAAAATGAATTCCCGCAACATGGTATCATTACTGCGTCGGCTAGAAGATCTTTGCAAATGTTGCACAATAAGTCTTCCGGAATTTCAGGCTTTTCCACAACAGGCTCTGGATCTTGTGAAAACGGTGGCCGTTCCTTTTTACCTTCTTTATAAGCTTGGCTACAAATATATCGAGTCTTGTACAGTGTATTGACAAGATAAAATAGGAAGTAAATTTCACTGATTCGATATTATAACTTACTGATCAATGGCTGGAACAGCATATTGGCCTGTGGGTGTCATCATAGCACCAGGAACTCTCGGTCCCTCTACCGGAACCATGAAACTTCTGGGAATACCTGTGCTTTTCTTAATTTCTATAGGCTCTTGGTTCGTTCCCAGTGGACAATTCTTTATCCAATGCCCTGGTTGGTGGCACTTATAACAACGATAATTCGCAGGCACATCACCAGTTTGATTAGCTCCGCGTATTTTCATGTAACTGTTGAAGATATATATTATATGACAATAATTTCGATATGAATCTTTTTTTTAAAACGCATAGAAAATGTACATAATTGAACTATGTAAGTAATAGAAATTTAAATAGAAAATTTAAATACTTTGATGGATCATAGTCTTGTGTCGACTGAGTCATCATTGCTCGAATCTTATCTTCTTCAGAACCATCGAGCCGTGTAAGATCTACACCTCGGCCTAGATTCGATTCATCCTTTAAGTTACTAAACGAAGGGGTTTCATTCCTATCCCAAGATCGCTTCTGTTGCACTGTTAACGGAACTCTAGCGACGATCAGGCTAGTGTTCTTTGCGATCAAAGCATTATCATCCGTATAATCTGAAACGTCAATTTTTAATATCATGGATTAACTTGAACATTATTCTTCAGTCGTGAAAAAATTTTTGAGAAATATAATGCATTTGCCTTCTTTAGTTTGCGCATTTGTTATTTGCAAATCAAAATCTGTATTCTTTCCTATACGCTTCTGATGGAAAATGGCTTTTTTTAAGTCTGCCACTGAAATGTGCAATCCATCAAAGGATACAGTGTCATAGTCCAATGTGGACTTAAATTTATAGTGTACTGACATCTTTGTTATTTATATATAGCCTATAAACAGACAATAAAAAACATTACATGTGCACTATTATAATAAACATGTACAAAGTAACATTTTAAACTCCATATACAACTGTATGTTTTAAAAAATTGAACGTGTTTTGGTATTTTTTGCAAGCCAATAATAAGATTCTCCAATATATTAGGCTGCTGTGTAAATTTTGTTCACTAGCTTTTCAAAGGATAAAAAGGAAAAGTCTATTATTATTTTCAGAGTATAAAGTATAATTGACAACTATAGTTTTAATTACATTACAATGTAATGCATAATATCAATTATTTTTAATAAAACTGAATTACTGTCTAATGTATCTCCAAAAGATCAGAACTTTCGCAACAACCTAATATGTAAGATTTGTCCCTTTTTTCACATAAAATATTGAGAACTCATACTATCAAATTGATATAAAAACTATAACTATACTTTATGTATAATTTATAAACTAATAAATGTCATGGTTCTGGATAAAAAATTGCTCGATATAACATTCAGATGAATGATATACCATTTAATTATAACAATCATTTGATAAATCACGATAACAATACACTTTTACAAAAAAAAAACTATGTAATTCAAGCATATATGTATTATATCAATCATTTTACTTAATAACTATGATACAAAAATACAAAGTACAGAATATTGGGCAAATGTATTCAGACAAAAATGTTTTTCTTTCTAAGTTTTTAATGTTGGTTGTTTTCAAGTCACATTGTTGGTCATTCATCACAGTATTTTTGTCGCGTATGATTTTATTTAGAACTGACAAAATATATTTACTGTCAAAGTTTGTTAAATATATCAAAATAACTAACGTGTGTAAACGAGTCATTTTATTTAACATCAGTGGCATCCTTACTCCAAATATTATAACAAAAAGTTTGATACTAGATAATCAATAAAAATAAATGTAATAATTAATTACATTGCGATTAAAGTTAAAGATTTTTGGAAATTAATACGCACAATCTTCCAGTAATAATTTTACTATTATTATTATAATACATGTAATGCAACTTTGATGGAACTAAAAATTATTGCAACAAGGATAAGCAATAATAATTCGAGAATTTTTCGTAAAGAGAAATTAAACAAGAAATTAGAATAGATAACATTCCACTATAGCATTTGTGTACTTGATTAAAAGAACTGATTGGATCTACCTTAGATTTCACACAATACACATACATGTATGCAGATACATGACTGAATTTATTCACTTGGAATATTTTCATAAGATTTCGAATGTTTGTACAAAAAGTATCGTAATATTCAGAAGAGTATACAGTATCGGACCCGGTTAAATAGATATAGAAATTGAACACACCGAGGATATAAAAAAAATGCAGAAAAGTATTTAGTCCTCTTTTGTCACAATAGGTTAGTAGAAGTAGATATACAATGCTATAAGGTATTCGACATCAGCTAATTAAGAATACATTAAAAATATTGGAGTGATCGAGGCGAAACGGTATCAAATAAATGAAAGTTTGGGTAAAAATGAAATCATTACCTATTAACAGGTACTCACTACGAAATGAGTATATTCAAATAGCACAAGCGACAAACGTATTTTCATGGAGAACATACAAACACGATTCCAAACTTCTGACATGTTGCGAGATGTGATAAGTTTTCAACAATATCTTTCAGAGATCTCAGAATCATCGGATAATCTAACCTGTAGACACACGCATGTACCGATTCCGATAAAATCGAGACATTACGAACAAAACACTGCGATCATAAAACTGAAAAACACCAAGTGACTATATAATTTAATCGTGTGTGTAGCGGCGTAGAGACAAACAGAGACATTGAGTTTATAAATCCGATGGGTTTATAGATGGCACAATCAATAGAGTATAGAAAACCGAACGAAACAGTTGCCCGCTTAATTTCGGCCTTCCTGCTTCCAACCGTCTAACCAAAACGAGAACTCCTTCTTGTGTCTGATATTCTATGATCGGTTTGTGTCGCCATGATGATCGTGTGAAGAATCGCTTGGCATTGCCGGCAATCAATTTCTTTTTTTGCCGCGAATTTGTATTCATTCATTCTATAAACGGTCTTTTACAACTAACAGGTACATATGTTCACTCTTTCGACCGAAGTGCACTTTGTGTTTAACATTGTGAACGTTTAACATTTGAACGTGCCCTCGCGAGCAAACTCGGCTTCCGCTAGGGGAAAAAGTTGACGTAGGAGAAGGGCCTCCTGCCATGCTCCTACCTGTTGATATTTGGAATTACTGAAATTTATGCCAAATTAACATTCGATTTAACATTAATTTCAGTACCTAGAATAAATTGTCCAAGTGGTAGGAGAATTTTATTCTACGCCGCTTTTTCCCCCAGTGGAAGCTGACTTTGCTCGTGGGGGTATTCTGAGCAAACTCGGTTTCCGCTAGGGGAAAATGTGAAGTTGGCGAAAGGCCTCCTAACATTTAGTTTTGGGAGTTACTGAAAGTAATGCCAAATTAATATTCGATTTAACATTTATTTCTGTACTTGAAATAAATTTATTAAGTGCTGGGAGACTGTTCTTCTACGCCACTTTTTTTCCTAGTGGAAGCCGAGTTTGCTCGTGGGTGGGGGTACACCGACGTTAAAATAATTACATTATTTACCCCACGATGCATCGAACATCACAAATTAAAATGGGAGTTTTCTCTTATTTTGTGATTTTCAATGATATTCAATATTTTTTGAACGGTGTAGAAAATTGCACACTTTATGATTAAACATTTTTCCATTAGTGTCAGATCGTCTATAGAATTTATGAGAAACGTGAGATTTTATCGTTTCCTCAAACGTTTACCAATGGTCACTTAGTTGTAATGAATATAGGACTCGTAAAGGAAAGCGATAAGTACATGGGGTGTCATAAATTAGCGTTTTTTAGAGATTGCGTGTGGGTTGGGATAACGAAGATTTTTTGACAATGGTCAACTGTGACTGTGGTACTGGGATTTAATCAGATTTAATTTGTGAATGTATCGTCGATCCCTAATGAGCAAAGTCGGCTTCCACTAGGGGAAAAAGTGACCTAGAGGAAGGGCCTCCTACCATTTGGTAAATTCATTTCAAGTACTGGAGTCAATGTTAAACCGAATGTTAATTTGGCGTAAATTTCAGTAACTCCGAAACCAAGTAGTAGGAGGTCTTTCCCTTACATTACACTTTTTCCCTTAGCGGAAACCGAGATTGCCCGCGAGGGTATGTAACGATGACACATCTGCATGTGTATTTCCGTATTACGAATAATTCGATCTACAACACAAGTGTGATTATTTTTTAATAACACGTAACAATTGTTGCTGAATAAGATTATAATTAACAAAATAAAATATACAGGGGACGTCATACATGGTCGAATGCTACAGAAGAAAAACTTTATTTCATCTGTTAATTCACGTTTTCTTAAAACGGGATTAACAATTATTTCGATCATTTGCATATAGCAGTATTTAGTACGTATTAAGATTGTAATAGACTCTTTATACATTACATATACGTCACTTAAATGTACACGTTTTTTATTACAATTAATTACGAAACGCATTGACAATATTTATTATTTACATGCTTTGTACATCAATAAAAAAAACGATATAGATAGAGTATAGTTATTCCTGGATTAAATGTTCTATTTTTTTTTTTACAAATACCGATTTAAATTTCCAGTCCCTCTAATTTCTTGTTAGGTACTGAAATGGTTATAGAACAGGAAACTACTAATTCGAAGGTGTAATCCAAGTTCAACAAATATAATCGGACGATACATAAATAGTCAAAAATTTCAATTTCCTGAATTATTTAATTTTTTTACGTTAGTCTTTCTGTTTAAAATATCTCAGTAACCAGATTGTCATGATTGACTAAAAGATGGAATGAAACGAGCTGTTGATGGAACAGGGAACAAATGCGGGGCATTGGATGTTGTTCTCCTTAAATCTGCACAAATTTTAACAGATTAACCTTCGTACAGCAATATCTGGGATCTATTTTAACCCGACTTTTCAAGATCTTCATTTAGCTAACTAACTTATAATAACTAATTAAGCGAACAATTGTTTATATTAGATTCGATAAAAAAAGACACGCATTTAATGAAGAAACACGTTCTAAGATATATTTAGAACAGCAGGATGTATACCAGTCCAAAGGAACTCGGGCACCGCTGATTCTGCAGCTATTAAAGAAAAACGCTGTCCCTGCAGCTACCAAAGAAACCCACTGCCTTCTGAATGTACAGTCATCGTCGAATATGAGTTGTATTATTGGGGAGTGTTCTCACTTCAGTTTCCGAAATCGTGATTGTTGTGTATGTCTTGTTTTTTCGTACGTAACAGAATTACAACTATTATTTTCCTTATCTTCGCTCCGCAAGGCTAATTGGTTATGAATACAAATAAAAGTGTTAATACTTACAGAAAAGAAATATAGGAAATAAATACCCACAAATAATTGGATACTTACAATCCTGTGAATTCGTAGATTCAGATCCAACGAAAGATTGAAGATATACTGGAGATATATCCAGAGTCGATGTGAAGTTCTCAATATTTAAATTTATAGGATTGCATGACATCAAATGGTTCGTTAATAATTCACTGTTCATAGAAGGTGTTATATATTCTGTACTATTAAGCGGGGACGATATCACAGTAACATCAGATATAGCAGTAGAGTTTGCGATTTGTTTTATTGTTAGATCACCACCTAAATCTGTGTCATCCTACGCATATATATAAAACACATAACAAACCATTCAGATACATTTAATGATTATATTACGAATACTTACGTCATCCTCTGATGTTTCGACTAATTTCCTAGCTTCTCGAAATCTTTGAAGAATCCGTTCATGTGGTGAGGTTGCAGTAAATTCACGAGGATAATGAAATTCTCTCCTGGCGGGAGTTGTGCCTGTAAATCAAGCAAAAAAGAGAGAGAAAAACTATATAATTTTGTTCCTTTTTTTATTTTCTGGTTCGTACGTGATGTAATACCTGTTGGAACATCATGTTGTATCTCGTCTTCGAAGAATCTATTAATTTCATTCACTGCTGAACGTAAATGTTCGACATTTCTGTTACAATTTTCGGTGGATTCTGTGATTAAATTTTCCAATTTACTGGATATATCTTTCGAAGTATCGGTAAGTTTAATTTCCTCGTCTGTCATGGCCTTCGTATAATTTTCATTTGCATTGTCGAGTATCTTATAGGTATCCTGTAATGTTAAATAAATATGAGACGTTTGGTCTATCTACTTTGTTCACATTGTTCGAAAAGAGTTACATTTATAAGGAGGAGGGCTTCATTTTTATCCAAATCCATTTTCTGCTGTAATTCTTCTGTAGTGTGTTCAACAAGATTCTTATATCGTTTTAGCACATTAGAACCTGCATTTACATTTGATTTCAATTCGTGCAGCAGTTTCTTCCCTTCTGTAACGGTTCTGTTTGCTACTTGTTCATTCTACCGATGAAAAAAAAAGAACATATAAACATTCTAAATATTACTTAGAATATATTGTAAAAAATTAATGTCTTTATCCAACATGAAATTACCTTGTCTATTCCTGTAACGACATCACTTTCGATTCTTTTCAAATGAGTTTGTATATGTTCTCTCAATTCGTTTTCCATTTTTACGCTATTGTTACGCATATACGTCACCTGATCATTAACATTATTACAAACATCACTAACATTATTACATGTGTTAGCTATCATGGAACAATGTTCTTTTTCGCTCTTACTTAAAAGATTAAATTCGACAGATACATCCTCCATCATCTAAAAAATATTATCCTTAATAATATTGTCCTTATTTCTAATCATGTAAGAGTTCTGCTATCGCAGAAATTGATTTTTATTATTTATTTATGCAACAATTGACAAAAGAACTAATTAGGTATAAAATTTAATCCTCCCTTTATAATTAAATTTGAGTAAAAGTATGTTTAAAAACATTTTAACGTAATAATAATTAATTTAATACAAAGTATAAAATGTCCCCATTTCTGCTCAACGAAAATGGAAGTGCCAAAACGAAACTTTGGCGAACAATATTAAAGATTCCGTAAGTTTTTTTTAGTAAAAACGCAGCATCATGTTGTAACTCACGATCGCAACGTAATTTATTAAATTTTATTTGTATTAAAATGCTGCCATAATTAAAAGCCTAATTTAAATAACTCTTTGTATAACTGATTTATTATTTAACTTTTTACGTTAAATAAAATATATACGTACTGAGCAGAAATCGGGACGTGATTAGAAATAGGGCAATTGACCTTATTCTTTAAACTATATTAACGAAAAACGGTAAATTTATATATCATGCTTGCTTGTACCTTTGTGAACGATCGTCGCTTTTCCGTAAGCTCCTGCGTTTTACAAACTTCTTCTATATCTCTTTTAATAATTTCAATATTTTTCTTTATGCTGTTAGAAGCAGTCATTTCATCGTTACAAACAGACTCGATCATTTCATTCATTTGAGTCGCGGTATCCTTTAACTTTCCTAGTAAATTACTCTTCAATTGTTGCAATATCATAGCAACTTCATTTTCAATTAACTCATTAATATTTTCTATCGATTCTAACGAAATCGTATTCAAGAGTTCGTCTTTATTTTTTATAGTATCGACTTGATTTTTGATATCGTTTGTCATCCAAGTTTGATAACTTAGATACTGAAATTTCAAGAATACTATAAACAGACAAAACAATACAGGAACAAAAGTAGCAACCTTCCAGAAATCATTAAATACATACGGAATTATCTGTTTTTTCTCGTAAATTGTTCACTACCAAGTGCTGTTCGGTTAGATCTGTCGTACTTTTATGCATCTCTGAATTAGTGGCTTCATACTTAGTAACCGTTTGAGTACCTAACACGAATGATCGAAACTTTAATCAAGGCGTACATAATGAATAACATTCGAGTCAGGAATAATAAAACATTTATGCTTTACCGATATCGTTTCTCAATGACGTACAAAACTGCTTTACGTTTTCACCATATTCATAGATATATTTTTCAATACCTTGTAAAGAGTCACAAACATCAGTTTTAAATTGTTTCCCAAGTTCTTCAAACTTTCTTTCTGCATCCCTACAAAAAAACAATTTTCAGGCTTTATATTCACGAAATATAAGACATATGGTATGTTAGTATTACAGACTCCTCTTGATTATCGTCTGGTTTTTTTTACACGATTATTGTCCACTACTATGGGGGGGGGGGGGGGAACCTATCAGCGCATACTTTGTTCCCAAGGCTCGGGCTTCGGGCAAAAAACGAATTTACGAGGGTCTGAAGCATTTCTTCCTATACGATTATTGTCCCGGCGCGGACCAGAGTTCGGGACAATAATCGAGAGGAGTCTGTATTATCGATGATTAACTGTAGTAAAATATAATATGTGACGAAGGGGAAAAAAATTAAATTACTTATTATATATTATATAAATTACTTATGTACTAGTCACAGTTAACTTACGTTTTGCGATTAATTTTGTCATGCAATTTTTGAGAATCCGCAGTTGCTGTGTCTGCAACATTTACTAGAGACTGTGCTTCAGAAAGTAAAGTTTGTTCCGTGTTAACATGCTTTTTTACCAGGTATTTTTGCTCGTCTCTCTCTTGTGTTATGATTTTTAACCGATGTTTCGTTGCTTCCAAAACTTCCGTGGTATTACCTAATATGGTTTTTGCTTTATGCAATTCTTTCATTTGAGCAATATTTTGCAAATGAAATTCATTATAGATTTTCTGGAGAACAACGAAACGAAATTAGATGTTTTCGAGTGCACAAAGAAGCATTAGTAAAATGGTTACCTCTTGATCTTGCATGGTCTTCTCCAAAGCTTTTATATGATTTATTTTTTCCTCGATTTCTTTACTCTGCTGCGAAATTAACGCTGTCATTTGGTTATAATTGTCGTCCGCAAGGTAAACGCCATTCCGTTCGCGTGTGGCTAACAAGTCGCGCCTTAATCTTTCTATTTCCACGGTGTATTGCTTCAGGAATTCTTTCTTTGAAAGCTTTTGATTGACTTCAGGACGGTTAGTAATGTTCTTTGCGCGGCGTGCGTAATCCAATGTCGACAATGTTTCCTCGTGATTGATGTTAGCAGGTGATATAGTTGCGATGATCGATGTCTTCGTACGACCACCTAGTGATTCTTGCAGTAATCTCGTAAGCTTGGACTCTCTGTACGGTGAACAACAGATAAAGATGATTATAAATTATTCTCTCTTCGATAGAAGAGTGAGACGTACTATTTCTATTACCTGTAAGGTATGTGAGGTGCTCTTTCAACGAGAGCTGTAATAACTCTTCCAAGGGTCAACAAAGATTGGTTAACATTACCAGCTTCTCTTGCTCTTCTATCAACAGCACCAGACCGCCCAACATTTTCACTGCCTGCTAGATCCACCAGATTCAGTTTACCCGTCTTTAAAACTTCTTCTCCATCGATGGTAAATTCTTTCATGTGTACAGTAATCGAAAATACTGTATGAGATCGGCTACAATCATTTTTATAAACTTATTTGTATTTGTGATGAAATTCGTGAAACAATGTAACTCTACGATGTATGCATAAGAATTAAATTCAACGCTAACAAAACAAGATGCTTACCTAGACTGAGCGTTCATTAATGTCGCTGCAGTTTGTCTTCTTTCTAATCCCTGTTGAAGAATTCTGTAAACTTCACTTTTACTACTTACTGTCAGTTCTTCTAATCCGTGAATAATCACTGCACCTTTCTTTGATGTGTCTTCGTACAATCTACAGAGAAAAAGTTTCTTTTAATACATATAGTTTGCATGAATTTGTTTGAATATATAATAAGATTAAAATCATATTGATAATCATATAGAATTGGCTACTCCTGAAATAGAAATACAAAGTGACCATTCCTTTTTTTATGCTCGTATTAAATAATTATCACAAAATACAAAAAATAAACAAAGATTAAGCTGTTCCTGGAAATTATGACAATAAAACACTATTCCATATAATTACCAACATATTTAGTTCCCATGATTTATCACTATATACCTTATTTTAGACCCATCGTCATTAGCTGATAGAAGATCTAATAATTCCTCGTTATAAAGTTCTAGAAAACTAACTCTGATTGTATATTCCTGTGCTTCTAATAATTGTAACTCATCGAACAAGTGGCTTAAACAACGTGGAATCATGCCAGCAGATGAATCCTACACATTAAATAGGTTTACATAAATTCTGATAATACTTTTTATTATGTAAATATTTCAGATTAAATACAAGTCACAAATTGTAGACATTGTTTACTCATTATGTTATTTGCTTAGTGTAATAACAAAAGAAAATAATGATATATGATGATATGAAGCACTAGCTACAAACAATTTGTATATATAATATTTTATACAATATCTTTCTGTAATATAATGATTCTGTATTCGCTACTTAAATTTACTGAATAAATATCTTACACTCTGCCAATGTAAAGTTGGATCAATGTTAGTTCCTTCCATTGTAAAAGTCTTTCCTGTACCAGTCTGTCCGTACGCGAATACTGTACAATTATATCCAGCCAAAACTTGTTCCAATAAAGGACTAACAACTGCATTATATACATCAATCTATAAACGAATATAAGTACATAGAAGATTAACTCGTTTAACATATACATTACTTGTCTGTAACAAACCATTATATACCTGCTTTGATGAAGGTCCAAATACATTATCGAACTTAAATTTTTTTGTAAATTTATCTTTTGGAAATTCGTGTACAATCAGTTCTTTATTATTTGGAACTTCTATTATATTTGTAGATCTATTGTTTTGCTCTGCAGCAACTAGGGGCCTGTCAAAAGAAATTCAAAATTGTACATAAAAATTTAATCAAATCCATTGAAATCCATAAACATTTCTTGTCATTCAGATATTGTCAAATCAAGTCAAGTCAATCGCTCCGACACCTTCAGAGATACATATTCTTGAAATGCATAAAGTCAAAACAAAAATAAAAGGACAAATGTAAATAGGTAGTTTCTCACCTAACGCGAACAGAAACTTGTATGTTCTGCGATTTATCCTTCTTTGCAACTCGTGTATTGTTCATGTTCCCTTTATTTATGTTTCACTGATTTTTGTTACGTTGATACAGCTGTATATTCATGTATATTTGACTCGGTACTCAAATTATTACACTTCCCTAAACGCTACACAAGCATCCGTTACGATTTAAACGGAAAAGAGTTTAAAGTGCATAGTACTCCAAGCAATCGATAGAGGCGCTATATTATACATATTCAAATGTGGCTTCTTTTCCACAAAGAATGCTCACTTTGACGAAATTGTGGATCAAGTAAGTAAATACATATATTTTTTTAAATATTTTAGTACAAATTACAGTTTACGTTCTTTTAAAGGTCTAATTACACAGACAAAAGTGGATAAAAATTGTCTTTATTGGGTACATGTTGGAGATCATTGCGAAAATTCTTGTCGATACTTCAGCTAACATTGTTGCTTCATGTCTGATAAAAAAAGACATTTTAGTGTCGTCATTATTTAATACAATAAAATTAATATATCGACGGCTAAAGTAAGTGTCTACTCTATTTCGAAAAATCAAGAATACTAGCTAAAATGAGCACGGTTTTATGCTATCTTGTTCGACGGTATTGAACGGTATATATAAAATCTTTTGTATTTTTTTCCGTTAAATTATTTATTTCAGCTAACTGATTCGATATTATGCATTAACAATTGTTGCCTGTAGCATTTTTAATTTTTTAATGAAACAGGCAGTTGAATGTTATATAGTGGCGCTATCTAAGGTGAAGAAGATGGTAGTAATTAATTAGTAGCTTGGACGTTTTTTCGTAGATGGCATTATAGGTCTCTTTCACCATAATCAGATTACAAAATTAAATATCAATTAATTAAAGTAAATTTAATAATCCGATACCATTAAAAAAATATTTAATCACAATTTGCTTATGTTTTCTGTGTCTTTCAAAATGCATTGTATATTACATTGAGTATCAGGCATAAAAATGAATTCTCATTTCAGCTGTGTCAAATTACAAGGTTGGCAGTACTGCATACAATTAAAAAAATGCAATTTTATTGTTGGAAAAAGTAACATTATTATAGATTTATGAAATAGTTTATATTGGTTTGTTCTTGTCAAATATTTGAAGTTAATTCAAACTTCTTATCTGTACAAATTGGTGTTTTATACGCAAAGTCAGTGCTACCAAGTTTTATACTATACTATAAGTGGGAATACCCTATTTTGATTCTATTCTCTGGAAACCGTAGAGAATTCCAGATCACCCGTTAAATATGAGACCAACACAAATCTGTGCCGCGATAATTACCTTCTCATCTCGTTTGTTCCACAGGTTCGATCAGAGTCGATATTCTTCCATATTCTTCTTTGTTTCATTCTGTTCCATTCAACATCTCTTCATCGATGCTTTCCATTAATGTTGAAAAAGAAAGGCTAAGATATGAAAAAGTGTAATTATTTTGCATAAGAATGTCACGTAATATTGTGTGTTATAAGTAACTTTTTTTGTTGTAAATAAAGGAAGGTAATAAATGAATGATACTTTCAAAGCTTACAGAACAAAGGTAATTTTCAAGCTTGGAAAATGGCAGCGCATCTCGTACTTAAGGTAACGAATTTTAGTTTAGTTTGATAAAATTAACATTAAATATCCGAATGAATAAAATATAGTAACAAGAATATTTGATTAAGTGTTTTACTAATTTTCGTTCTAAATTCATAGAAGAAATGTGATTGAAACCGCACTTTCATGATATCTTTCTACATACTATGTATTACATATCGCCATGGTGATGTACTTGTTTACGGTCGCAACGTTTCGTTATCCGAAGACATTGTTGATTTGACGCAACTTTCTTCAAATGAAGGTAATGTATTTTGGAAAAAGAATGCTTTACATAATCTATTATATCATATATCAGTTCCCATTTCTCGCAAAGTTTTCAAAGTTCTTGATCCACTGAACCACAAATAGTGTAAAATTATTTCCCATGGAGGAATGGTAAAACAATAGATTTTAACAAAGAATGGATTCAAAGTTATAATCCTTTTTCAAAACTTGCTTGATTATTCAAAGGAGGCAAATGCAAACAAATTGTAGCCACCAGTTAGTTTTTGAAAATTTATTTTTTATACATTTGTAAACAATATTATGATTAATTTTGAGTATTTCTAGTTAGCTTATACTTACATTGCTTTTATAACATAGGTGTAATAGTGTAGGAAAAGTTTATCATATTCAGAGGTGTTATATACAAAAAAATCAAGATCATTTTTTATGAGAGTATAGCTTTTTTCTTCCTATTTATGTATGTTAATGCTTTTTCTTTATACATATAAGTATAAAATTATTTTATAATTTCTTTAATGGATTATTTTATTAAAATAAAATTGTTTAATTGGACAATAACATTTGGTTTTCATTTAAATGCATGTTTCCAATAATGGTGTTGAGTTTTTCATTTTGTTACAATACCAACTACAATAATGGAAAGACTATTTTGGTCAGTTTGTTAGCTATTTGATTTCAATATATATTGGATCTTTTGGTATTACAAATATCAATTTAAAACCAATTCATACTTAAATTTTGTATTTTATTGAATTTTATAATATTTTATTCGTCTCTTCTATCACATGATGAAATTGTAGAACAATGAGCAGAAAGAAGTACGATAAAGATTTTACTCAAGTACCATGGATACCAGCAGTCGAATCAGCCCAGGAATTGACAGAATTCTCATTGCATCAGGAATTAATAAGAAGACAGAAGTTACATAGAAAACCCTCTTGGAAGAAAATCACATTTAAGCAACATTTAAATAAATATGAGAAATTGCCAGACGATTTTGGCGCTGCGTTTACGACAACAGCATATCAAATTCATAACAGGAAGTTAATGAAAGAAAGGATACCTTTGAAAACAAGTCATCCTGCTTCCGATCAAATACTTACATCTCCGCCTTTGGAGTACCACAAACAGTATAAAGGTGAGGTTCGACAAGGAAAAGAACATGTGCATTTTCTACCAAGTAATATTGTTAGTTTGAAAGATTTAGCTGATGGTACATGGCTATCTAATAATCTTCGAAGAGAAGTTACTAATAAGTTTAAGAGGGTTGGGAAGATTAAAAAGTTGAAGAACGCTAAACAAGATCTCCCATCACAATGGAAGGTAAGATATTTTTTATTATTCGCATAAATAGAAAACTGAAAAAATGTTCTATTTAAAATATCTAAATTAGTAAGAGAAATAGTAAATTACAAAATATTTTGTAATACTAATTTTTAAGTGAACACAACAGTGCATAAAATTCAGCATTCTTACAAAATGAAGGCAGAATTGTGGGATATACAGGGTGTCTCAGGTAATTTGATCACCTCGAATAATGACTTAATGGTACATTTTATGAAAATTTTGAAAACATCTTATTATTTTGTAAATATCTCGTTAACTATTAGGTTTTAGGACGTATGAAGGTCAACACATTTTTACTCAGAATTGCATGCTCTATCGACCTATGATACAAAAAATAGGTCATTTTGTTAAAAAAAAATCAAGGTGACCTTGAAATCTTTGAAATGTCTCCACCCACAAAAAAAAGCACGTACCTTATAAGATGTGCCTCTTGATGCCATTCAAGTACCACCCCTCAAAATTTCCATAAAGTATACTGTTAAGTCATTATTCGAGGTGATCAAGTTAGCTGAGACACCCTGTATACACAATAACTAAAGTATCAAAGTTTAAGGCCATGTGTATATGTATGTATAATTTCGTACATATAATGATCATAAAAAATATCAAAAGAGCGTTTGCAAAAGGTAAAAATAGATCTACCACTTTTGTTTTTTAACATACGTTTATTCAGCCAAAAAAAATCATATAAAATATAACAAACTTAACAATGGTAACAATAAACAAAAAGAATTTCCTCAAACGTACAAAACAGGAGAACGTGGCTTAATCTAAGGGTGTACAGACTACAAACTCAATATCGAGTACGCGTAGTCTGGTGCGTCTTATTTTATTGCACTTATTGCGGTTAAGGTTAATGAGGTACAAAAGTGTTTGAAACTTAATCTATGGCTTAAAACTTAGTATAGAAACCGGCAGAAAAAACTATACTATACAATTAGGGATTTAAGGGGAAAGGAGAGGTGAGAAGAAAAATAAAGATAAAAAACTAAATTATACGTATAAACATATAACAATGTAAAAGTAACAATTCGTATAGCAAAATAATTGAATACAAAAAAAAGAAAAAAGCAAAAAAAATTATTACTCCCCGACGGGGAGTCGAACCCCGGTCTCCCGCGTGACAGGCGGGGATACTGACCGCTATACTATCGAGGAGGGAACGTTTGTACTGTAGTATTCTAAGGTACACATTTTTACATACTATATTCTTTGGTGTCTTATTATTTAGCGCAATTAACCTAAGTGTTCACATATTTTTAAAGCTAAACTTAACATCTAAGTACTATCTAGATATATACAAACTTGGCGATGAAACTGTAGCTGTGTCAAATCTTAATCTACGAGAGTTACCTAATTATATGTTAAAGCCACCAGTATTTGTCAGTATTTTTCCTGGTCTTGTCACTTAAATCTATCGCTGATAATTTATACATAAATCTTAAATTAATGTCGTCCGCTTGTAAATTTTTTTCGTATGGGATTTTTTTATCAAAAGTCCTTCGGTTGTAGTGGTAAATTAACGGTATATTGTCGCTATTTTGAATATACTCTTCGCCGTCCAGATAGACAAAGGATTCCGGAGGAGTGAGGTGAAAGAGTTAGATGAGATATTCCGTACCTTGGACCAATAATCCCTGATTAGTTTTAACATGAAAAAGTCAATGCGAACCAGCTTAGCCTCTTCATATAACTTATAATCACTGATCAGTTGAGTATAGTTCGACTCTGGCGATCTATACTTGCCCAGACAGGCCCTAATACATTTTCTTTCGAAAACTCGTAGTTTTTCCATTGTACCGGCGCAAATATTGAACCATATTTGACAGCCGTACGTTAGGATTGGTCTTATTAAGGTTTTATAACAGACGATCTTTACGGATTTGTGTAATTCTTTTGAGTAAAATAGTCTTCTATTTGCTATAAATGCTCTGCTGGCTTTTTGAATTTGTATGTTGACATGATTATTGTGGTTTAACTTGAAATCGAGGAATACGCCGAGATACCTTACTGTATCTTTGAGGGATTTTTTCATTTATATCGTGTGCTGCGTGTAAAGAGAATTTTTTCGAATTTACCCTAACGTCGTTGTTTGCACCCGAAATGATCGAAATGTATGGCCTGAACAATATTGTTTCACACTTTTGTGTGTTAATTTTTAATTTCCAGGTTTGGAAATAGTCCTGTACTTTTTCAAATAAATCCTGTAATTGTGTTTTTATGATCGATGGTTTGCTGTTTTTTTATGTAGATTAGTAGGTCGTCGGCGAAAGCTATTGCAGATTTGTTGTTTTTTTCGTCTGTATTGTTCAGGCCATATATTTGGAGCAAGTCGCTGATGTAGATGTTGAACAGGATAGGGGAATTTACTGTACCTTGTTGCAATCCATTTGCAATTACAAAGTCTCTAGGGGATTTACTATTACCTTCCGTGACAAAAAAGCGCTTCTCGTGGCATATTCCAAAGCATTTTAATGAAATGCTTGGGGAAATCTTTCTTCAATAGCTTGAAAAACAATCAATCTAGCCATACGGTTGGGATACTTATTACTATACTACCGAGGAGGACATGTTTGTAAGTTAACAAATGCAGGTACAAATTTTATTTGGTGAACTTTGGTTTCGTTACCGTTATTATTTTGTTATAACGATCATATAGTTATATACGTAACTTCTTATTGTAATTACTGTAAACGAGCGAAAAGACACGACAATATGTATATATATTCTCGTCTTTTATATATACATATTTATATGTATAACTTAATTTTATATCGCCGTGTCTATATTATAATTAGATTATTATTTAGAAATGGTTTGTGTTTTCATAGCGACTGCCGGCGATAATTGTGCTAAATATATAAGAAAGTCTTCTTTGATTGATCTATATGTTATGAATGTTTTAACAGATAAGAATTCTATATTTTTTAGTTTATTCTCTCGGAGTTCCTTTAATATTACTTTTGGTTCTGGATAATAAATATCATCAGTGTCTTACCAAAAAAAATTACCTGATTTCCGTATAAATTACAGAATCTCCAGCAGCATGAGGCTGAATTGCCGAAGTCGATAGAGGAGCAGAGGGACAATTTCTTGAAAGAAATTAGCGACAAAGAGAAGCGTTACACAGAGATAGAGGACAATGAAATAATTTATTGGAACGACCCTAAAATCACAAGCAATGAATTAGACAGTTACGACTTCAACAATCTTGAAGAAGCAAAGCGCTATATTGCTGATAAACTACAAAGACGAGAAGAGTAAGTTCATTAGATTCTGTATTTTTTTTTTATGTTTTATTTCTTTCGCCAGTTAATATGTATTATTCCAGCTTCGATGAACTGTTGGATAAATTGAAGTCTGAAATCATTGATTGTTACAAACAACATCTTCAATACACTATACTAGATTGCATTCTTGTGGATCTCGACGAAAGAAGACGATTGCGCATAGATACGTCGCCTGCGGAATATCAGCTTCTGACTATACGGGCACCTGTTCCTTGGCATCAGCCTAAACTCATCGCCGAGCATTACATGCAGTATAATTTGTTCACTGGAAATGAGATATTGAAAGATATTTGGGACCTAACCTCTTCCAAGTAAGACATCCACTGCAGCTTGTGTGATTATACAGTTTGTCTATCCTCGGATTCTAATAGAGAATTTGAACTTTTTATTTGGGTGTTTAAAACATAGACATATGTCTATGGTTTAAAATTATCCGCGACACTAGCGGTTGGTATACGAACTAATTTTAATGGACGACGCAGGTATACAATTTAGTACTGTCTACATATGCATAGTAGTTAAAAGTTGGAGTAGTTATTAAAAATAAAAGTTCAAAAAACTTTAAAGCTACGAAAAAATGGAATTTCAACAGCATTGAAGAACTGTATAAAAAAAAGGTTGTGTAACAGAGTGTAACGCTACAGTGAACAATAACGTAACGTTAAGTTTTAATAAAATGCTGAAAAGTGGATGCAAGTAAAATTGCAAGAAAAAATGTATTTGGAAATAGAGAAATGGTGGATAAACGAGCAGAATGGCTGAGAAAATTGAATATTCCCGACAATAAGAAAGATTTAGTAGTTTTCTCAAGACATTTTCGTGGAAATGATTACTGGTTTCCAGAGTTGGATACAACGAGTTTCAAGAAAAAATGCAATTCCAGTATCTGTAACTGTTCCCAAACAGAGATACATGTCAAAATTAAAAAGAGAAAGACTTGCTTGAAGGCGGCTAACAAAAACGTTATTACAGTATTAATTTTAAAGCTGCCTGTAATTGTTCTTTGCTCGCTTATGCCACATGTAATGATCATTCCACAATTTGCAATATTTTCGGCTTCGACCAAATTTCTGGATGACTGCGTTGCTTTTGTATATTCACAAATTGTATCGAAACGTACTGTGAACATTTTTACTACAAAAATTAACTTTCAAATAAACTATTATGTTACTGGTTCCATATAAACATGTAGTAAAATGTATACCTGCGCAGCTGAAACAAATTTCATTTGCTTCAGAATTTCAAGTTCTATCACTGTGCTGAACCTCATTAAAAAGTCGGGGTTAGATTTGGGGACCTTCTCTTGTCAGTGCCGAGGTGCCATCGAGCACTGATCGAAGATTTACTGTATGCGTTACGCAACACGAGCGCCACCGTTACCGCGGTGGTAGTTTCCTTTTGCCAATTGGATGTCTAGTCTCTTCTAGATATCAAGATACAGCATACTATACCACCTAAACTAGCAAGTGTACCCCACAGCAATTCATTTCTTCAGGTACGAAGACATGATGATAATCAAGATCGAAGAAATAGGTGAACTCCCCGTATCAGCTTTCCTACTAGAGTCCAGAGTGACTGCAGTGTGCAACGAAAAGACGAATGACCTTATACAAGGGTGGCTGGCTAATATTGCTGAAATTTTTCTGGAAAAAAAGGACGTTTGGTCCTGTTTGATCGAGGAGGATCGTAACGCATCTAGAGCGATGATCGAACGATATTTTTTAAGCGTGAACTCTCTATTGTCTAAACAATTACGAAGGATGGCAATGAAATCGTTGGTTAGTGTCAGAGAATTTTTTATGGAATACAGTGACGGAAACTACTTCGAGGGTGATTACGAAGACCTAATGTTTTACAAGTACGGGATCTCTTGTCTTTAGATTATATTTATACTTTTTTATGGGCAATATTTACCTCATACGTATTTCAGAAAATCTTTTCTAACGGTATCAATTGAACCGGAACTCGGCACTTCTTATTTGCATTGTAAACCAAGCATCCAGGAGATACGGTCAATAATTTCACTGTGTATCCATAGGATCATTCAAGTTGCAGGATCAATTCCTAGAATTGAAATGCTTTTATTCCCTGAACTGGAAACGCAGGAGTATTTGTTTCCCGTGTTGCCAGATGAGGAAGAGGTAAAAACAAATAAACAATCAGTTATTTGCACTATTGTCTTTTCGTTTTTGTATCAAATAAGCAGACTGCGGATGTTTATGCAAATATAGATTTTTAGGGGTTAATTCACAGGAACTGGATTGAAACCAAGATCTGCTTACTTTAATTATTATTCTACCAGGTTTCAAAAAGAATAAATAAATTAAAATTTATCAAAGTGTAGTGAATTCTAAAGAATCGTGTGTGCTATAAAGGCATAAAATCTGCGGTTTACAAATCAGTTTCATTTAATGTTGAACGTTCCTAACCTATAAAATTAGTTCTCCGCGCCTAGCACTTTTCGGAACCATTAAATTAATTACGGAGAAAATGATTAATACATTATGTATTTGTTATTACATGCTGCAGATATCAGAGATAACCAATTATGTAATGGATATTGTTAATGTGCACATCATGGGTCCAGAAATTTATTTAAAATGTTACGAAGATTTATTGTACATTTTAAACGGCGAGGCGAAACGAAATCTAGATAAATTCTTCACGACCGATCCGTTCCCATTTTTACGTGAGTTTGAGCAAAGAATACGTGGTTATGACAGTCTCAGAAAAGAAATTCTGACATTTCGCAATAAGGTAACTTGTTCTGATTTATTGTTGCAATATACTAAAAACAATATAACTTTCCAGATTCCTCTGAATATGATCGAAATCGACTGTTCGTTTGTAAATGACAGTATAAGACAAATTCTATACGAGCTTCGAAGTCAGATCTGTGACCATTTCGCCGACGAATTACGTGCCAACAATCGTGACCTGTGCTCCAATTTCGACACAATAGCGGAGAACATCTCGAAGATGCCGGAGAAGACGCGGGACGTGGTCGAGCTGTACAATTATTTATGCGAGAGTCGTGATTCGACCATGTTCAACATGAAACGACAATTGACCCGTTCCATAGAATTGATATTGTTCCTATTTGATTACCAACCGCCGACAAACGACGACATCCAGTTGAATTCCCGTGCGATCACGTGGCCGAAGGAAATGGACACGGTTATGGAACTGGCGAACGCCAGATTGAACATGCGAAAGGAATTCCTCGAGGAAGTTCTGTACATGAGAAAGGACACGTTCGAGGAGACCATCCAGAATATGCAATCGGCGATCGAGCAGTTCAAACGGAAGGACCCGCCGATATTGTCGATGACGGAAATGGAAGAGGCGGTGAGAGAGGTCGAGCAGCTTTCCGATGGAATGGAGGCGATCAAGAAAGAAGCGGAGGAGATCAACGAAGAAGAATCTCTGTTGGACATGGAATTAAGTCCTTATTTGGCGTTGCCCACGATGGCCAGCATAGTGAACACGTTGGACACTGTTTGGCATACCGCGTTGAATTTCAACGTGAACTTTGATAAATGGTACTACGGACCGTTCGCAGGCCTTGACGCCGAGGAGATCAGCGAAATTACAGAAAGTACCTGGCGAACGTTATACAGATTATCGCGTGTTCTTACCGACGTTCCTGGCGCTAGGCGAATCGTGGAGACCGTCAGAGCTAAGGTGGAGAAGTTCAAACAGCTAATCCCGGTGATGCAGATCATATGCACGCCTGGATTGCAGAAACGACACTGGGATCAGATCAGTTCGGTAGCAAACGTGCAGGTGGTGCCTACGGACACCAGCAGCCTGTCAGACATGATAGAGTTCGGGTTGCTGGTCCATATAAGCAAGCTGGAGGAGATAGCGTCCGCTGCAGTTAAGGAGCACGGGCTTCAACAGAGTTTGCAGAAGATGAAAGACGAATGGACAACCGTGGAGTTCGAGTTGACGGCTTATCGAGAGACAGGCGTGCATATCTTGACGGCTGTGGACGATATCCAAATGCAGCTAGACGATCACATCTTGAAGGCTCAGACCATGCGGAGCTCTCCATTTGTGAAGGCGTTCGAGTATGAAATGCAAGCTTGGGAGGACAAATTACTCCTCATGCAGGACATCATCGATCAGTGGCTGCTCTGTCAGGCAACGTGGATGTACTTGGAACCGATTTTCAGCAGCGAGGACATCATGCGTCAGATGCCAACCGAAGCGAAGAACTTCCGACGTATGGACAAGATCTGGCGCGGTATCATGAGGTACGTCGTCGAGAACAAACGTGTATTGGACGCAACAAATATGCTGAACATGTTGAACGAGTTCAAGCTGTGCAACACGTTACTTGATGAAATACAGAAGGGCTTGAACGATTATCTCGAGAAGAAACGGTTGTATTTCCCGAGGTTCTTCTTCTTGTCGAACGACGAGCTCCTGGAGATACTATCCGAGACCAAGGATCCACAAAGAGTGCAGCCACACTTGAAGAAGTGTTTCGAAGGCATCAGCAAGCTACGGTTTACCCAAGAGGAAGAAATCATCGGCATGTTGTCCGACCAAGAAGAATACGTGCCGCTGAGCGGAAAGATATATCCGGCCGATGCCAAAGGTATGGTTGAAAAGTGGCTAAGCCAGGTTGAGGATCTTATGGTCAGTTCTCTTCGTGATATCGCGGAGGAAAGTATAATATCGTACTTCACCGCTGCCAGGGAGGAGTGGATGTTCTCGTGGCCCGGTCAGATCGTTATTTGCGGCAGTCAGGTCCACTGGACCAGTGAGGTATGCGAGTCGATCGAGAGTCATACCACCAGGCAATACTTGGAGACCTGTAACACTCAAATAGAAGAGACCGTTAGCTTAGTCAGAGGTAAACTAGACCCAGGAGCTAGGACAACGATCAACGCTCTGATCGTGATAGACGTGCACGCCCGAGACGTAGTCAGGTTACTGGTCGACAGACAAGTGACCGACGTTATGGACTTCGATTGGATATCGCAGTTGAGGTATTACTGGTTGGACAACAGCATCACGGTCTCGATGATCACGACCAGCTTGGCGTACGCCTTCGAGTATCTTGGCAACACCGCCAGACTGGTGATAACTCCCTTAACAGATCGTTGCTACAGAACTCTAATGGGCGCCTTGAAATTAAACTTTGGCGGTTCTCCAGAGGGGCCGGCTGGTACTGGTAAAACAGAGACAGCGAAGGATCTCGCGAAAGCTGTCGCCAAGCAGTGCGTTGTGTTCAATTGTTCAGACGGTCTGGACTACAAAGCAATGGGCAAGTTTTTCAAAGGGCTCGCCCAGTCCGGTGCTTGGGCCTGCTTCGATGAGTTCAACAGAATCGACCTGGAGGTGCTCTCTGTAATCGCCCAGCAGATCTTGTCCATACAGATGGCGATAAGCATGAAGCTGGAGAAATTCCTGTTCGAGGGAACAGAACTGAAACTGAACCCCACATGCTACATCATAATAACGATGAATCCTGGTTACGCCGGACGCCAGGAGCTTCCTGATAATTTGAAGGTCCTGTTTCGCTCGGTAGCGATGATGGTACCCGACTATGGCATGATAGGAGAGATCACGTTGTACTCCTTTGGTTTCATAGACGCCAAGAATCTCGCTGAGAAGATTGTCCACACGTACAAACTGTGCTCCGAGCAGCTCAGCTCGCAGAATCATTATGATTACGGTATGCGAGCGGTGAAGACCGTACTGATCGCCGCTGGGAACCTGAAGCTGAAGTATCCGAACCAGAACGAGTCCACGTTAGTTCTTCGAGCGATCATCGACGTGAATCTCCCGAAATTCTTGTCCCAGGATGTTCCTCTGTTCCATGGTATATACACCGATCTATTCCCAGGCGTTGAGCTACCTAAGCCGGATCGCGACGAGCTGATAGATTTACTGAAAGTGATCCTAGAGAAGCGAAATCTGCAAGCCACGGACTGGTACATGGAGAAAATCGTTCAGATCTATGAGATGATACTGGTGCGACACGGACTGATGATTGTTGGACGGACACTTAGCGGGAAGACGAAGGCATATCAATGTTTAGCCGATGCTCTTGGTGATTTAGCTGGCAGACGACGCGCTGCTATGAGAGAGTTCCCAACTGTTTATAAAATCATCAATCCTAAGGCTATCACCCTGGATCAATTGTATGGAAGCTTTGATCCGGTGTCACACGAATGGAGCGATGGTGTTCTGGCGAATATGTTCAGAGAATTCGCCCAGTCTTTATCACTGGACCGCAAGTGGATCGTCTTCGATGGCCCCGTCGATGCTGTATGGATAGAAAGCATGAACACTGTACTAGATGACAATAAGAAGCTTTGCTTGATGTCTGGGGAGATTATCACCATGTCGCACAAGATGAATATGATGTTCGAACCGGCGGACCTGGAGCATGCGTCGCCAGCTACCGTTAGCAGATGCGGAATGATTTATATGGAACCGTCTCAGCTCGGTTGGAGCGCGCTGTTTGAATCGTATAAGGTGTATCTTAGAGATAAGCTGCTGTTCGAACAATTTGAATTGGTTGTGGAATTGGTGGAATGGTTGACAGAGTCAATTCTTATTTTCGTGAAAACTCGCTGTAAAACGTTCGTAGAAGTGTCTGAACTTCACATGTTCCTGGTGAGTACCCAGTCAGCTTAACCTACAAGGCCAAATTTTGTGCAATGCCTTATAAAGTTATGGCTACAAGTTTGATGCAAGATTTGCTATATGGCAGCAAATTGGTAGCAACATATGCAGAAAATTGGCTTATGCAAACCTTGTTCCAGTTTTACCCTCAATTTTACATAGGTTATGTTGCAGGACTTTCTGCCAATTTGCTTTACCATTTTGTCAGCTGGCGTTGCTTGCAAAACCCAAGTCAAATGCGGAAACAGATGGCTATGGTTTTTTTAGACAAATTTTGACATTTATTGCTGTCAATTTGCTCGAAACTTGTACACAACTGGTTATCAGGGTATTGTCACAAATGTATGGTGTAAATGCGTATTAGAATTCCTGGCCTGACTAGGTCAGAAAATGGATGGAGGTACATGTACGACATATTTATAGGTTGATGTCTCCATTAAGATTATAGCGTACTTTCTTTTGATCAGTTTTACGTGTTTAACCGAAAAACATTTCTTTCATTAAAAGAAATAGTTTTATCCGTTGAATATGAAGCACTGCTTGATACTTAATTAAAATCTGTGAGCAATTGCCAGTTTCCCTATAACTGTCACCTCAATGATTAATGTAATTCTGATATATTTTAGCAATTAATTTTGAACAATAGACATAGCTTGAGTAATATAATTACAGCTCTTTCTTCTCAAATTGCATTTTCATTTTGCAATATTAATTTTTCAGAGTCCCAATTTAATAATATAATTTTTGGTACACAATTCTTTATACATTACGTTTTTTTTTTTTAAGTAAATTTGTTATTTACCCTATGTGTAATATACATGTACAATTGTATGAAAATTTCGCCTTTGACTACTGATACCAGCCTACTGGATTCTTACTGTCATGTATTCGGCAATGCGTTAGGTCAGGAATGTCTGGCGCGTATGGTAGACACATAATTTAGTAAATAATTACTCTAATTCGTTATTTCAGTCCTTTACAAGACTTCTCACTGCAATGTTGAGTGAGGAAACACAAGTCAGTACCGTCTGGCTGCAGTGTATATTTTTGTTCAATGTGGTTTGGGGTATGTGTTCAACTTTAGTCAGCGACAGCAGAAAGGCCATTGATGTTTATTTAAGAAAATTGTTACTTGGTAACGATGACGATTGTCCCAGACCGAAATCATTTAAATTGTCGAAACAACAGCTATTTCCTGATAAAGGCACAATTTATGATTGGATATATGACAAAAGAAATAATGGCTGCTGGATATCTTGGATGGACCCGACATTAGTGGTACTAAAAATATCTAATTCACATTCAACTAACATCCTGTACACTACATACCCTGTAGTATAATATTCGTTCCTCATGCTACATGAAAACATTCCCATAAAAATGGTAGCATTCTAATTTCAACAAACGACTATCTTTTCCAGATATCATTAATACCAGAATCGAAGTCCAATCAATTGATCGTGCCAACGTCTGAAGTAATAATCCAAAATTTCTTTCTAAGCAATTTGCTCCACCGATCAGTACCTCTTTTATTCGTGGGCCCAACTGGTACCGGCAAATCAGCTGTCACGTTAGATTACCTGGTATCTCTGAATAGAGACAAATATCTAGAAAATGTGGTAAACTTCAGTGCCTGCACTACTGCTAACCAGACGCAAGAAATGGTCATGTCCAAGCTGGATCGTAGAAGGAAAGGTGTCTATGGCCCACCGATGGGAAAGAAATGTATACTATTCGTGGATGATTTAAGCGTTCCGCAGAAGGAGGTGTACGGTGCTCAGCCGCCGATTGAATTGATTCGACAGTGGATAGATCACGGGCACTGGTTCGACGTGAAGGACACAACGATGCTGTACTTGGTGGACATGTTCTTGATCGCTGCGATGCTGCCACCTGGCGGCAGCTCGAACATGGTCACGCCTAGGTTAACACGACACACGCAAATAATCGGGATCGACGTGTTCGAGGAAGAGACTATGTCGAAGATTTTCTCCACGATCCTGGAGACTCATTTCGGAAAAGGATTTCCATCGGAGGTTTCGAGGTTAGGGAAAATGGTCGTGAACGCCACCATGGACATATACTTCGCGGCCATTCGGAATTTCTTGCCCACCCCGGCGAAGAGTCACTATACATTCAATCTGCGCGATTTCAGTCGTGTCATCAAGGGTATACTATTGGTCCCGGCTGCCAGGATGCAGGACCCAGATAAATTGATCAGACTCTGGATTCACGAGCTGTACAGGGTGTTCAATGATAGATTAGTGGACCAGAACGATCAGGACATTTTATTCAAGATGGTTCAGTACACTTGTTACGACCAGTTGCGTCAGCCGTTGGAGAAAGTTCTTGCCAGACTTTTGAACGAAGGGGAAAAGGATATTACGAGGTCTCACATCAGTGATCTCTTCTTTGGTAATTACATCGAGCCGGACGCTGACCCCAAAGTGTACGACGAGGTGGTCGATTTAGTGGATCTGCAAAGTAAAATGGATTATTATTTGATGGAATACAACATGCTCTCAAAAACGCAGATGTCTTTGGTCCTGTTCCGATACGCCATCGATCATGTTTCCCGTATCTCACGCATACTCTTGCAGGAAAATGGCCACGCCCTTTTGGTGGGAATAGGTGGATCCGGCAGAAGCTCTTGCGCCAAGCTAGCGACTAGCATGTGCGAATACGTGATATTCCAAATCGAGATGACCAGGTTGTACGGATTCAGTGAGTGGCGGGAGGATATGAAGAACCTGCTGTTGCGTGTAGGTTGCGACGGGAAGTCAACAAGCTTCCTCTTCGGCGATCATCAGATAAAAAAAGAAACCTTTGTCGAGGATATAAATATGATCTTGAACACCGCGGATATACCAAATTTATACAATACCGAGGAGAAGGCTGAGATTCTAGATAAAATGTCGGGTTTGGCCCGTGACACGGGTGGCAAGAAAACAGAGACTACACCGATGACCCTTTACAGTATGTTCCTGGAAAGAGTCGTGAAGAATCTACACCTGATTCTGGCTATGTCACCGATAGGAAACGCGTTTCGAAACCGTCTGAGAATGTTTCCGTCCCTTATAAACTGTTGTACCATCGACTGGTACACCATCTGGCCGGAGGACGCTCTGGAGAAGGTGGCCCGTATGTCCCTGCAGACCTTGGACATCAGCGAGCACCTAAAGGAGAAGTGCGTGCAGATCTCGAAGGGATTTCACACGAGTATCACACAGGCAAGCGAAGACTACTTCAAAACGCAAGGTAGAAGGTATTATACAACGCCCACGAGCTTCCTGCAGCTGATCAAGCTGCTCTGTACATTGTACGACAAGAAGATCCAGGAGATCACGTTGCGGCAGAATCGTTATGTGACTGGACTGGAGAAACTGGACTTCGCTGCTGGGGAGATAGCTGTGATGAAAGAGGAGCTGCAAGCGCTGCAGCCGAAGCTGTTGGCGCAGTCGGAGTTGAGCAATAAACTTATGATCAAGATAGAGCAGGACACTATCAACATAGAAGCAAGGAAGGAAGTGGTTGCTGCTGAGGAAGCCTTGGCGAACGAGGCCGCAGCTGCTGCTCAGGCGATCAAAGACGATTGCGAGAGCGACCTGGCCGAGGCCACACCTGCCCTGGAGGCTGCCCTAAACGCGCTGGACACACTGAAACCCGCGGACATCACCATCGTACGGTCCATGAAGAGTCCACCGGCTGGCGTCAGACTGGTAATGGAGGCTATCTGCGTTCTGAAAGGCGTCAAACCTGAAAAAGTCACGGACACGGCGACCGGTCAGTCCACGGAGGACTATTGGCCAGCCTCGATAAAGGTGCTGGGCGACATGAGGTTCCTCGAGAGTCTTAGGAACTTCGACAAGGACAACATACCGCCGGCGTACATGAAACGGATCCGTGAGAAATTCATAAACGACAGAAGCTTTCAGCCGGAGGCGATCAAGAAAGTCTCCACTGCCTGCGAGGGTCTCTGCAAATGGGTCAGAGCAATGGAAGTCTACGACCGTGTGATCAAGGTGGTCAAACCGAAGCAGGAGATGCTAGCCGAGGCGGAGGCGGCCCTGGCCTCGCAGATGGAGGCTTTGAATGCGAAACGGGCTCTCCTGCAGGAAGTCAGCCAGAAGCTGCAGGCGTTGAACGACGAGTTCGCGGAGTGCATGAGGGAGAAAAAGAAGCTGGAGGATCAGATCAACTTCTGCATGCAGAAGCTAGATAGGGCTGAGAAGCTGCTGGGTGGTCTGAGCGGCGAGAAGAACAGATGGAATGAAACAGCCATTGCGTGTGGCGAGAGTCTCCATAACGTGATTGGTGACGTTTTACTATGCTCTGGGGTGATAGCCTACCTAGGGGCCTTCACGATAGACTACAGGACCAGCCTGATCGCCCAATGGCACTCATCCTGTCGAAAGTCTGCAATCCCATGTGGCTTGAAATTCAGTCTGATTGATGTTCTAGGGAAACAGGTGGAGATCAGAGCGTGGACGATATTCGGCCTACCAGCGGACAATTATTCCGTGGAGAACGGTATTATCGTGAAGAACGCCGATCGCTGGCCGTTGATGATCGATCCCCAGAACCAGGCGAACAAGTGGGTGAAGAATATGGAGAAGGAGAATAAACTGATGGTGATCAAGCTCTCCGACCCGAATTACGTGAAAGTCGTGGATACTTGCATACAGCTTGGAACGCCAGTCTTGTTGGAGAATATTCTAGAGGAGATAGACGCCATACTGGAGCCGGTGCTGTTGAAGAACATCTACAAAGAACGTGGGGTACTGTATATGAAGTTTGGGGAGAATGTGATCGAGTACAACAGCGATTTTCGTTTCTACATCACCACTTGCCTGAGGAATCCTCATTATTTACCAGAAGTGGTCGTCAAGGTGACCCTGTTGAACTTTATGATCACTCCACAAGGCTTGGAGGATCAGCTTTTGGGTATCGTTGTCGCGAAAGATCTTCCTGTACTCGAGGAACGCAAGAACCAGTTGATAGTGGAAGGAGCGAACAACAGGAAGATCCTGGAGGAAATCGAGGATAAGATATTAGAGGTGTTGTCGTTGTCGGAGGGTAACATATTGGAGGACGAAACAGCGATCACGATACTATCCACCTCGAAGGTGTTGTCCGAGGATATTCAAGCGAAACAGAAGATCGCTGCCAAAACGGCCATCGAGATCGACAACGCTCGTAACGGGTACACACCTGTGTCGGAGCACGGGTCAGTTCTGTTCTTCTGTATCTCTGAACTGACCAACATCGACCCAATGTACCAGTACTCATTGGTGTGGTTCATTCATCTTTACGTGATGGCGATAGCAAACAGCGAACAGTCCAAGGACCTGCAGCAACGGATAAAAAGTCTTAATAAATATTTCACTGGGAGTATCTACAGGAACGTGTGTCGGTCCCTGTTCGAGAAAGACAAGTTGATATTTTCCTTTGTCCTTTGCGTCGGTCTGCTACGCGCTGCTGGAGAATTGGACGAGGATCTCTGGACGTTTCTGCTGACCGGAGGAGTGGCCCTGGACAATCCGTTTCCGAATCCTGACCCGTCCTGGTTGACGGACAGGTCGTGGTCCGAAGTGGTTAGGGCTACAGCCTTGAGTGGGCTTACAGATTTGAAGGTGTCGTTCCAGAGGGACACGTCCAAATGGAAGGCTTACTACGACTTGTCCAATCCTCAAGAGAATCCTTTTCCGCAGCCGTTTGATCAAACGGATGGCATGACGAAGCTGGTGATCCTTAGGTGTATAAGACCGGATAAAATTGTTGCTGCTGTACGGACCTTCATCATCCACCATATGGGACAGTCTTTTGTGGAACCACCGCCGTTCGACCTGCAGGCGTCCTACAACGATTCCAGTAAAGTGACCCCGCTACTTTTCATTCTGTCGCCTGGATCCGATCCGATGGCTGGATTAATCAGATTCGCGGAGAATTACGGGATATCCAAGAAGAATCTGATGACCATATCGCTGGGCCAAGGCCAGGGTCCCATAGCAGCCGGTATGATTGATTCAGGCCTGAAAACTGGGGAATGGGTGGTGCTGCAGAACTGCCATCTGGCGGTCTCCTGGATGAAAGATCTGGATCGAATTTGCGACGAGATTATCACGCCCGAGAACACGCATCCCAAATTTAGGTTATGGTTGACCAGTTATCCGTCCAAAGACTTTCCGATCTCGATTCTACAGAATGGGGTGAAGATGACCAACGAGCCGCCGAAGGGCCTGAAAAATAATTTATTGAGAAGCTATCTGAACGACCCGTTATCGGACCCGATGTTCTATAGTAATTGCAGACAGATTGTGGAATGGAGGCATCTTCTGTTCGCTTTGTGCTTCTTCCATGCTGTCATTCAAGAGAGACGGAACTTCGGGCCGTTGGGTTGGAACATTCCGTACGAATTTAACGAATCGGACCTTCGAATTAGTATTTTGCAATTACAGGTAAAGTTGTTTAGAATGTATTGTAAATTATACAGGGTGTAACAAAAGTGTTGTAAGTTCCTGAAATGGATCACGCTTGAGGTGATCTGGAACAAGTTTTTCCTTAGGAAAAATCTTATCCGAGGCTTTGTTAACGAGATATTAACGAAAAATCCCGACCAATCAGAGCGCGAGGCTGCCGGCTGAGCTCTGATTGGTCGGTGTTTTTCGTTAATATCTTGTTAACAAAGGCTTCTATAAGATTTTTCCTAAGGAAATACTTGTTCCAAATCACATTACGAATGACCCATTTCAGGGACCTGCAACACTTTTCTTACACTCACTTACTTCACTGAAAAGATTGTAGGACCAGAATTATCTTAGGAAATAGGGTATTTTATGAGAACAAGTAGATATTAACTAATGAAATTTTAGGCATAGCAATTTGAAATAGTAACCATTTTGAAAATATTGGTGCCATTTAAAGCAGAAAGTAATGTTTACACAATTCTGATGGATATAGTGAAATTAATTTGATTTAGGTTGTATAAGACAAATTTAATAAGATAATCTGTTATTTTATTTATCAATGCATTTCTTTTAAGCTCTTTTTAAACGACTACGATACAATACCTTTGGACGCACTTCTCTATCTAACGGGCGAGTGCAATTATGGTGGACGTGTAACAGACGATAAAGATAGGCGTTTGTTAAATTCGTTGCTTCAAGGATTTTACAATCACAAAGTTATTAAGGAACGAGAGTAAGCCATAATCATAATTTTAATTATACAGCATTATACAACGGTAGAATGAATTTTGACCTTTGATTTATCCGCGAGGAAAAGTAATGAAGAACTACACGTATTATGATTAATTATATCCGTTGTGTCATTTTTAAATATTATATATATTTTTTTAAATGTAACAGAAAATCGATTTTCAGAAAACACGTGGCTCTATCTACGGCGAAAGGTCCAAGCTATTAAGCAATTAGTACCATATACTTCTCACTAGACAGCAACACAAATCTTTTTAACCATACGACCGTTATGAATCGAAAAATTTAATATTAATTAAAAGCGCCACAACTATCATCAAAAGTTTACGGGAATTCAACATACAATTTGACACAATTGAACAAAATACTTCAAATAAATTTTTACGGTTTTTCATAGATAAAGAATCGTTACATACGTGTAAAAAGAAACATCCCTTTCATGCAACAACATTTTTATTGTACTAAGTGATAATTCAATACAACCAACAGATATTAAATTTTTCTATATTTTTCAATACAGATACTGTTTCTCACCAAGCTGTTTGTATCGCATGCCGCCAAGTACAGACCATGACGGATGTGTAAAATACATTCGTAGCCTGCCAATAGATCAGCAACCGGAGGTTTACGGTTTGCATGAAAACGCAGATATAACGAAAGATAATCAGGAATCGATGCAGTTGCTCGATGGCGCTCTACTGACACAGCCGCATATCACTGGAGTCGGAGTCGAACGAGATGTTGACGAGATGGTCTTCAGTTTATGCGACGATATATTGTCCAAAATAAGGAAAGCATTCGATGTGATAGAGGTCGCCAAGAAATATCCAGTGCTTTATATGAACAGTATGAACACAGTTCTTCGCCAAGAACTAATTAGATTCAATGATCTGCTGGATGTAATTGACTATACTTTGATCAACGTTCAGAAGGCCATAAAGGGTCTGGTTCTAATGTCTGCCGAATTGGAAGAGGTTTTCACGAGCATGAGCATTGGCAAAGTGCCTGGAGCTTGGTACAAAAAGTCATATCCCTCGTTGAAACCACTTGGCAGCTATATTAACGACTTAATAGACAGACTAGACTTCTTCCAAGATTGGATAGACAAGGATGCACCGATTGTGTTCTGGATATCTGGTTTTTTTTTTACTCAGTCATTTCTTACCGGTGTTTTGCAAAACTTCGCCCGTAAGCATAGGATTCCTATCGACAGACTAGATTTTGAATTTGAGGTGACTAAATACGAAAGTAGTGTTGACAGTAAACCACCTTACGGAGTATATATAAAGGTAATTTTTCTGTTCTGTTTCACGTAATGTTACATCTTCAAACTACGCTAAATGTAATGGTCATAGAAACTCTGAAAACAGTTGGTACTCTTTTCCAAAATGGCGAATTTTATTCGTAGGAATTTCTAACGTATTACACAAATATTTACTGTATAGATTCTTTCATATTTCAGGGCTTATTTTTAGAAGGTGCTAGATGGAATAGAGAAAAGAGAGCAATGGACGAATCGAAACCTAAAATAATGTTTGACGTTTTACCGGTAATATGGCTACAGCCGGGTATAAAGACCGAATTCGCCACTAAACCTGTATATCATTGCCCAGTGTACAAAACAAGTGAAAGGCGTGGCGTTTTGGCTACTACTGGTCATTCCTCCAATTTTGTATTATACATATTACTCACGACACATGACAGTGAAGCTCACTGGATTAAGAGAGGCGCTGCATCTTTGTGCCAGCTTGATGCCTGATCTCTGAAGATACAAAGAAGTAGAGGAAATGCAAATTAAAGTAGCTACCCAAAGCCATGAAAGAATATGACTTAAATCTTCACATGAAATTCAAAATGCACAGTGCAATTCTTTCAAGTATGGTATTTGGTCTCAGAGATGTTAGTTTTTTCACTATAGGTACAACGAATTCGTAGTAAACAAATTATTATCAAATCATCTGAGTGCAAAATTATGTACTAATTAAGAAGAAAGTTATATTAAATGCTTAATGATTGATGAAATTTCGGATTTTAACCTAAAAGGGGCATTTGTCGACCGAAATTGAAAGCACGTCGTGCATGCGCAGGAAATCACGCGATCAACCGGTGAAGCCCAAGGGTCTTGCAAACCCACTTGATAAGTGGATGCATCAGATACTAAGATGCATCAACTCCAAGTGGTTTTCTGTAATACTCCGGGAACATCAAGTCTAGTATTACCCTTATGGATGACTGACAAGACCAAACATTATCATGTATTCCCCAGTGCCTGCTCCACGCCAGGAGACAACGGAATGTAGGAACCCTTAACGTAAAAGTAGTTTGCCTTCGTGTGTTGTCTATAGCATTACCCCAGCGGTAAGTGGCGAATACAAGAAACAGCGGAATTAATGTATTCAAAAAATACGGCGATATTACATTTGTGTCCGTTTTTAACCTACCAGGTACCACAACAATCTCTCCTGACACGAAAGAAACAATCGAATGTGTAATGATATTGGAATAGTGGCTATCATGTGACCTCAAAGTGTAGACGTCTAGCAGATTCCTAGAGTGAACGTAATAGGAAGACAGGCTCATCTAATTTCATCACAGGTACGTTGCACTATCAATATTCTCTAAATGATGTGGACCAGAAGTTTTAGAAGATTAATTATAAATAATATAAAAACGTTTGTTTTTAATGTTTTGTGTTCATTATTGAAAGTAACAAACATATAATGTTACTCGTAGTGTCAAAAAACGATCATAAACTTCTGGCCCACGCTATATATTATACGTCGATCACAGTGAGAAAAGTGTTCTTGAATGGTCAGTTCACTTGGCATTCCAGTTAGTAAATTATCGTTTAAAACAATTTGTTACTGTAGCGTCTAAAAAGATGACAATTTTTTCTAATTTTTTTTCAAACATAATTCTATACCCATACAAATGAAAAAGTCGTTTATTTCATGAAAATTTACATAAGAAAAGACGCTCAATACCATCACATCAGTGATTTATGATACTGTAATATAGTACAAAATAACATTAATATTTTTGTTCGTTTTTAATCATTAATAAAATTATATAACAGTCATTTGTTACACATTAATCGTTGTATATATCACGCCTCCTCATAGAAACAACAAAAAAAAGTTTCTTGTATAACAACCTGAACTCACTCCGTGACTTCCATACAATTCTCTATTCACACTCAACACAATTAATCAACAATTTCTCATTCCTCGACTATTAAAATATTCTCATGCAGACGCAGTCTTTTCTTAGGCACTACGGATAACCTGGAATACACGAATCTCTCGATCATCCATATGAATATATAAATGATCTTTTCGTTTTTTTTTTTTATGGTCAACATTATGTATAATAACAACAGTTTCATTGTTTAAAATATTATGACTATCACCTCTGCTTTCAGGTATAAAACAGATTATATTAATGAGCATTTTTCATATTTCTCCATCCCGTCGTCGGACTGGTTACTCCGTGACGAGAGTAGGATCATTTTCAGATGTTGCATTATCCTGTTCCTTTTTCGTAACGCGTACAACGTAACAGAACGCAACGGTGCCGATGACGATCGTTATCGTCAGTATTAGAAGCTGTATGTGAAGCTTCACGCTGCTGCTGTATGCGAAACTAACGGCGGCGGCGACCGATTGGCAGAATTTGAACAGCGCGAATGCTGGCGCGCTTTGTTCGACGAACAGCACACCCAATAACGAGTACACTTGGGTGTTGAAACATGCGTCACCGAAGCCTAACGCGAGGCTTCCGGCCATGGCGAGAGTCTGCGAGGGCGAGATAAATCCTACGTTGTCGGTGTCCTTGAACGGCGAATCGTTCGGCAGATTCACGAAAATACTAATGAACGCGAACAAATGCACGCAGAACCCGGTGAGGACCACTGTCCACGTGCCGCAAACACGTGATACTTTCGACGCGAATATACCGAATATCGCGCCGCCAACAACCTCACCGATCCCAATGAAAATACCAGAAAGACCGACCAACCTCTTACGTGGTTCGCCCAACGCTTTCGTGAAACCGATACACGACGAATACACGCCCGAGTAAAACGTCAACACCAGGCCGGTATAAACGAACGTCAAAGACAACAGAAGCATCTTCGGTGTCACGAATAAACCGAACGCGTCTGTGAGCGCGTTCCAAGCGGCCAACAATGGTTTTTCCCGCGAACGTGCAGGTATCTGAAGTTCCCTGTCGGCACTAGAAACACCTTCAGCCTCGGTCAACACCAATCCCGTTGATGTTCGCCGTAACGTCGCCAGAACACACATGCCGATGATTGCCAACGCGGTGAGCACACTGAAAACAATCGTTCTTGTCGAGGCATTGATCTCCGGATCGGTGAACATGAAGTAGACAAAGAAATTCCCGATGAACATAGAGGTTTGAAAGATCGCCCAGAATATTCCCGCGTTTCTGGACATTGTCTCAGAATCGCTGTTCTCGGTCAAGTATTGCCCGTGTCCCGTCCATATCAATGCGGCACCAAGACCTAAGATACAGGAGGCGCCATAGAGCAAGGCGTTGTGCGGATATAGAAAGGATCCTATGAAAAGTACGTAGCAGCAGGCCCCGGTTAATATAGCGACCCTTGGACCTGTCATGGAGATGTACGACGGAGCTAGCCAGTTGCAACTGGCAAATACCGCGTAAATAATTGCAAAGCTAGTGTAAGCCTCGCCGGTGAAACTTGGATTTTCCTTCCTAATACTTTGCAGCACGGTTTTCTGCACAGAAAATAAGCCTAAATGTAATATATATATATATATATATATATATCGGTGGTGACAACAAGTCATGGACCTGAAGGACGGTGCATGAAGTGCATGTATGGAGGGGGGGTGGGAAGAACTGAGGGGAACCGTTCAGCCGCCAGTAGAGGGACGACTAATAATGCCATCTATGCCGTACCAATTTCTCGCGGAACATAGTTTAAATTTGATCATTCGTGTTTAATACGTTGCACGATGCATTTCGGCATTTTCGATTATCGGCTACTAATAATTTACATTTTTATAACAATTTTTCACCTTCAAATATAATATTTTTACTATTTTACTCAGAACTACTATAATATACTCTGCTATACATGTGAGTTGCTCTCCAATGCTTTCACTCAATAGCGTTACCAGGATAATTACAAAGGACGCACTTTTAATAATTATACTCGGCTGTAGAGGACACCACTAGTAGTCCCTCTCATGGGGGCCGAAAGCCGATCCCCCTTCGATCTTTTGGCCTGCCCCCGCAGAACTATTATGCACCGTCCTTCAGGTTCATGCCAACAAGTACCCTCACGAGGAAACTCGGTTTCTGCTAGGGGAAAAAGTGGCGTAGAAGAGCCTCCTACCACTTGGTAAATTTGTTTCAGTTACTGAAATAAATGTTAAATCGAATGGTAATTTGATATAAATTTCAGTAATTCCCGATACCAAGTGATAGAAGACCCTTCTACTGTGCCACTTTTTCCCTTAGCGGAAGCCGAATTTGCTACTGAGGGTACATTGTTAAAATTGTGTCTTTAAGCATTTCGTTGTGAAGGACGAGAGTGCCCTTTAGAAGTATGGAATAATTTGAAAATAATGCGCAATATTCGATGATAATTTTTTTGATCAAAAAAGGATTCAAAGGAGGTTATGGTTCAGGGCTTAAAAGAGCAAAGCACGCTACTGGCTCCATCTAGGAGGACTTGCGGCGTTAACGCGAAGTTTCAATTCGGTATTCTTGAAACTTATGTTAGGACCAATAAGTAGTAGGGATAGACAATGTAGATTGCTTTGTAAAAATTTCAGTATTCCTAAAAGTTTTGCCTCGACTTTCCTAATCACCAATTACTATTGGACAAATTTATAGTTTTCACTGAAATTGAGAATAAGACGATGTCAAGCATGCAAAGAAAATTGTCGGTTATTATTAGGGTACAGTCATTTCATTTGTATCCTGTACATATAGTCATACATGTATAAAGATAGCTTAACCAAGATCTGACTTATGATTAGTAGAATGATATAATGATATACGTACTCCAACAATTGAAACTACACTACCATTCAAATGTCTAGGATTGCATTCAACTAGAATCAAACCTGAATTTTTAATAAAATAGGAATCAGTGTTCAAGGTTGTTATAGGGGTGGTAGGAGAATTCGAATCGAACAAAAAGTGTCTTATAACATAGTAAACAGTTTGCTTCTGTTCTTTTCTGCAGTAATTAGATTTTTTACGGGAAACCTATAACCTATCAATGAGAGTCATAGAAATCTTTCAATAATTAATATTGAATTTCATTCCTCAGTTTGAACAAAAAGGTTATACACAAGATTTATAAAAAAGTAATTGTATAACAAATTACAACGAAAAATGTTTAAAATAAATTGACTATTTCTGTTTGTTTTCTCTAGATGCACAATTTAAGGTATATGTGACAATCATTTATAAAGTTTATCTGGTTTGCAATAGATCTTATAATAACATAAATGCACCATTCATGTGACTTTGTAATTTTTGTAAAAAGTTTATCATAATGATAAACCTATTCCTTAAAATAATCATTATCAATTATATAAACGATTATCTTCATGAATGTCAATCAATTAACATCATAATCAGTATTATTGTGCATATGTATGTATCCAATGAAATGCTCACAAAAGGATTAAATATTTTATTTTAATGCTGATAACATAAGGTCATAGAAACTAGTATATTGATTTTAATCTACTAATTTGTACTGAATCTAGAGCACAAACAAGATGATACATATCAAAAGACACCTGCAACATGTACACAGATAATTAATGCTAAAAATTTACCAACTGAAGAACATGTTCCAATTATTTGCTTTAAAATTAATTGCAGAGATATAACAATTACTCAAGCATAAATTCTTTATTTTCAAGAAAAACATTCACAAAGAATGTGTTATATAAATTTTCATATTTTCGTTTTATATAAAGTGCTTTTATTGACCTACATTGGTAGATAAGGATATGAAAACATTTAGTAGTGATGGATCTTTTAGTAATGAATCTATTTCGAATGTATCAAAAATTCGGTTATGATATTTAGATAGTTGTTTTTTAAAACTCTACTACATCTGTGAAGGTGGTTATCCCTTGCCCAGTGAAAGTTAGATCAGTTTTCCCACCTGTTGCCATAGTCGACTGTCGGGAAATCGGATCTTATCACATTCATATAAATAATCACTTTAAATTCCTTAAAATAATTTGTAAAGCATTTTAAATACATAATACATTTTAACTGAATAAAAAAATTAGTCTATAGCAAATATATCGAAACATTTACTATGAGTCAAAATGACCCACATTCGCCGGCTGCTCGAGAATCCGGCGTTTCGTTTATAAACATGTTTGGTGAAAGTTAATTAATACAAAACAATAATTTAGTAACTCTGTTTTAGTTAAAATGTACAAAATAACACCATAATGGCAATAATTTGTCTAAATTTTTTTCAGTACAAAATAAAAAATGAATAAATAAAAAAAGCAATAAATTTAAGAAAGGCATACTTTATGCATTTTTAAAAGAAAAAATATATTTTTATGTGTATAACATAGAATACAAAATTTTGTTTTGGTATCAATTGAATTTCTGTGTAAAGTGTTCTGATAGACTGTACTAAAACCATTATCTTTGTACCGGATAAGTGAAAGTGTGCTTTGGAATTTTATTAAGCCTACGTGAATCACAAATTGCTAAGCTGCAACTTTAAAAATTATTTAAGTCAATACTGTGTAATGATCATTTTTATATTTTATTATAAAATAAAAAATATTACAGTATATACTAGTACAAATAATTACAAAACATCGTTTGAAAAATCGTTATTTGAAATGTTTAACTGAACTTCCATTATTAAAATAGTTATTAATGTAGAGTCTACATTAATGGAAAATAAATATACACTATATTTAATAAGATATACAATAAGTTTTTTGTACAAAATTAATTGCAGCAATGGTTCATTGTAATCTACATAATAGTCATTGAGGAAAATTTACATATTAACAATTCCACAGGAAAAAAAAAAACGGAAGGTCCATATTGTTCAAAGCACCTTGGTATTTTTTCAAATTTTTATTTCGTTTAAATCATTAAATTATTATTCGTAATGTATTAAAAATTTTCTACACAATTTATCTCAATTGTTATTTTGACATTAGTATACATTATAAAATGATACATGGGATGAACGAACAAATACAGTTACAAATGGTATGTGTACGTTACTACAGAGCCAGTGTAGTGAAACGATAATGGCACTATGCGGATAAATAGACAATTTGTCGTGTGTCTGTGTATGCATTTCCTGGAAGTACTCATTGTTTACATAAATGGCCAAAAATGGACGTAATTTGTTCCATATTATACCGATCGCTGAAATTCTCGAAATCGGTACAGTGACTTGTGACACGTGATTCACTTGTCAAAAGTACATGTCAATGTTTGCCTTCACACTCACCTCGATGTTGCCCATCGTTTGAAACGCAGTAAATACCAGCATGAAACCCCAACTGAGTACCATCACGTTTAAAAAATTCCTATTGATCGTCATGATGAACACGTTAAATAAAATAACTTGTGTTTAAAGAAAAATTCGATTTCGCTGAACCGTTTTTGGCGCGCACATTCAAGTTTCACTAATCAAAATCGTACGTTTTCAGTCAACAAATGGTGGCCGCACAGATAGAAGAGAAAATTGCGATTGATGATTGCCAACGGTGCACAGACTTCTTACCCCCCCCCCTGCATGATTTGAAGTCAGCCACGAAACTGGAAAACCCGCTTCAATTACGTGACACACTACGATACTGTGAATATCAGCATATTTATGCGATATTTCGTAGTAACTATAACTTGCAATTGTTTATTCATTTTTAAGATACCGAGGATGCAAATTTATAACATTTTGTTTCTTACGTGATTAGACTTTCATTGGTGTGTCTCATCCTGAATAGTAATGTATTCTATTTGTACTACAACGAAATATACAAAAACCTTCTAAGACTGCAATCAAATAGTTTCTCTAATGGTGTAAGATGGTTTATTGATTTCTGATGAATCGATATTTTGCAGTAAAAGGTATCGATTTTATTGTTTTTGTTTAAAGTAATTGAAACTGACCAATAATGTCATCTACAACAAAGCATCTAAGTTACTAGCTAATTAGTATCTTGTCCTCGTCGATAGATGGCGCCATTTTGTCTTGCTGTACCGGAAATTTAATTGTTATACAAATTTATGCTTTGAATCTTTCCTAAAGAATTTGAATCCTTTGAAGAATAACTAATACATATTTAATAACGTATTGTAATATTTAGTTTCTGAACGAGATGTCCATCTAAAATGCACAGTGTTCCCATCTAGAAGTAGAACGTGACACTATTGGCTAGTAGATGGCGCTACGAATCTTTTTATCTGCATTATGAACCAAATAAATATTAATTAAAACGCTTCACCGACAACTCTTAACGAACAATATTAATTCAACAGAATTCAATAAATAATCTAAAACCCCTGGACAAAATATTTAATTGCAATTAATGTCAGTTTTTCTGTTTTTGTTTATATAGTTACTCAAACAGTTAAAATACTTGCATATTATGCTTTTCGAAAAAGAATATCTTATATACTACTAAACGAAAATAATTTCACCTGATTTACATACTATTCAAACAGATCGTGAAACATTAATGGTATCGGCAGCATTTCACAATTTAATTATCAAGTTGAATTACCCGCTGTTAAAACGATTATGTACTCGTTCTGAAATGAATCTGATAGAGAAACGAAAATGGCCGATCGTGGCCAGTAAAAACTCGTTGATTGTCCCGTTATCAGATGCGTCGCTAGAAATTCTCGAAAAGCAGTAGAAAAAAAAAAATATCGCAAAGCGACAGGAAATTGGAATCGTGGGAAAGAATGTGAAACGCAAAAGATTTATGCTGTTCCTTCTGCGTGTTGATACGGTCGACTGTAAATAAGGGTGTAAGATGCCGTGACTAAAGTTCTGTGGAAGTGTTGACACGTTTACAAACTGAAGATTTTGGTGCTGAATTTCGGAACGCTCATCGAGAGTGGAAACTCATTGACGGTGCAATGAGATAGACGCGGTACAGAACGTAGTACTCGTTCACAGAGGGTGTGAGATCACTGTGCAAACACTATGACGAATTGTCGTCGTCGGAGCAATGCAGAGGAATCACTTTTCTTTTTCCTGTCAGGTCCTCTGTATTTTTAATGCTATACGGTCCAATTAAAAATGCATATCTGTGAACACTAAAGTCAACAAGTGACAACTGTTCGCGTGTAAGCGATTTGACAGAGTAAAACATTATTTCATTTGTTCGAGAAGTGTTAGATGCTTATCAATCATGAAGAAACAGTTCTTCAGAGTTAAACAGCTCGCCGATCAAACGTTTTCTAGGTAATTACTTTGGGAATTTTATCAAGTAATCCACGGGAATCGTAGTCTTTGTTTACTGCTACGTTAAGTATAAACGATTGCGTTCGTGAAAACAATGATACCATTTACAGAGAATAAAGAAATTGCATTATTTATTCAGTCTCTGAACGTTTGATAATAAAGTGACACACAGGCTGGCAGTTATTATGGTTTCTTACACACTTGAATGTATAAGTTTTCAACGATGCGTAACCAGTAGTATCAAGCATGGTATACCAAAATAGTTCATGAATCAGACAATCTTAAAATGGATTGACTTTATACAACTTTGAATTTCCTCTCAGCACTTTGCCGTTGGAATATATAAATATGTAGTTCATGTATTTATATTCGTTAATATGTAAAGTTCACTTTATTTCCAAAATTATGAAAATTACAATCGTTTTCAAAAAGTATGTACAAGTGGTATACATAGGACTTTGTTAACACTGAAGTGTTAATTTATATCAAGGTTTAATATACATTGACACTTATCTTCTAATAGTATATTCTATGTATGTAATATTAAGCAAAATGTAATCTGAACCAAACACAAATACATGTAGCTACAACTGTACAAGTAGACATTAAAAGTTCAGAAATATGGGAACCACTGATTTTGATTAATCGATGTATGAATCTTTTCTAAATGTTATTATTTTTTTTTATAGAGCTGGTAAAACAGAAGTGCTCACGGATGATTTACAAGCTGTAGACAAACATGTTGAGCAAATTAGGTTGGCTCTTGTTGGATTGAGCAAAAGACTTGTTACCAATCCTCCAAATCAAACGGTAGCACAGGATGTGATCAAAGAAAAACGGCTGGTAATTTACAATTAGAAAATTTTCTTGTTAAAAATAACTCTTTATGATGCTAGTTATAATTTATCGATATTAAATTGGAATACTGATATCTTCTTTATCTGAAATTGTATTAAAGTACTTTGTAATCAGTCAACATGGAAAGAGTTTTTAATCAGTTTTTAAATATTTTTGCTGTATTTTAAATTGAAGTCTCTCTTAATAAGAATAAAAATTACACTTTTTCGTTGCGTCTCTCCTTAAATACATATTTCCTTTTCAGAAAAAATGTCCGGAATATGTTTTGGGGCGTACTATGCTAGAAAATGCGCCCGACGATGGTCTGATGGGCTTCACGCTTATAGAATGTTGCCGCGTACAAATGTCTTTAGCGAATGAAATGATTGAGCATGAAGCAAAAGTCGAGCATTACGTAACGAATCCACTGCAACACATTTTAGATACAGATGTGCCAAATATATTAAAGCATAAAAGAAATTTAAATCGGTTAATTTTGGATATGGATAGCGCCAGGACAAGATATCAGCAAGCCACCAAGCATAGTGCCGGTAATAAGAAATTTTCGAAATAGTTATATGCTCGAAGATTTGTTTTTTCAATTTCTAAGTAATATTTCAATTTAAAAGGTATGGCTGCATCGAAGGTAGACAATTTAAGAGAAGAATTAGAAGAAGCTGAAGCAAAAGTTGAGCAATGCAGAGATCAGTTTGCTGCTGAAATGTTTCAACTAATGTCTAAAGAAACACATTTAGCACACACCATTATTCAATACGTAAAACTTCAAAGAGCCTATCATGAAAGTGCACTGCATTGTCTGGAAGAATTTATTCCAGGCCTGGAAAGTTATATAAGTAATATGAATTTTCTATGTGTACCAGATTTAGTTCCATTGTGAAAAGTATATGTACTTTACTGAATTCTTTGTTCTAATTTCAGATGATAATGAAATGAAACCGGTTTACGGTTATCCACTTGAAGAGCATCTTAGGGTGACCAATAGAAAAATTGCGTTACCTATCCAATTATGCGTGTCCGCTTTATTACGATTAGGTATGGAAGAAGAAGGACTTTTCAGAATAGCTGGTGCTGCATCAAAATCAAGACGAATTAAGTTAAGTTTAGACGCTTGTTGCCTTACGTTACCAACTGCTCTGGAATATAAAGATCCGCATGTAATTGCTGGCGCGTTAAAATCTTATTTAAGAGAACTTCCAGAGCCTCTGTTAACCTACAAGTAAGTTAAACTTTTGTCTTTCATTGTTAAGGGAATGAAGTGAAATGAAATTACGTATATATGTGTATATATATATATATATATATATTGTTGTATTTTAAAGATTGTATCCAGAATGGATGGCAGCTGCAAAGATAACAAACAATGAAACAAGGTTAAGAGCTCTCTGGGAAGTCTTGCATAAATTGCCACCTGCAAATTTAGAGAATTTACGGTTCCTAATTAAATTTTTGGCTGTGCTCACCAAAAATCAGGACATAAACAAGATGTCACCGCAAAACATTGCAATTGTTATTGCACCTAATTTAATATGGAGTCCAACGGAGGATGCAAATACAATGGTGTAAGAATGCTCTTTTTTTAAAAATCGTTATACTTATAAAACATTCCGAGGTAATAGTGTCCAATTCGGTCGGTATCTCCGATTTTCTTCAAACTTTAATATGTTGAAAGAGGCTCTTTAAAAGTACAAAATATCATTTTTAAAAATGCCGCAAACAATTATAAGTACCTTTAATAAACGTCGCTATAAATGCAGATGAAGTGAAAGAACATAAGCTGTAAACAGTAAAAAAGGAGGTTCAATTGTTTATTGCCAAAGCATTGTACTGATCAGAATTGAGACTCTAGAGATAGCTTTTTCCACGAAGATATCAGAGTCACTAAACAAGAATTCATCACATATTTAAAGCTATTAGTGAGATATACAATGGTGAAACTAAGGTTGAGTAATTATTAAATAGCAATAATGAACTAAGCAGTGACAGTGACATAGATGATTTTTAGTATCTGTTTCTTTTTTATGAAACTAGCTCTAACCAACTCTGACCCGTATAATACCTTGAAAATAAACAATTAAACCTCTTTTTTACTGTTTACTACTTATCTGCATCCACTTAATCTGCATTTATAGTGCATTTAGATTAGGTTTCGGTTACAAACTTAACTTGAAATTAAAGGTATGTGTAATTGTTTGCGACATTTTAAAAAATTATATTTCCTTCCTTTAGGGAGCCCCTTTCAACACATTAAAGTTTGAAGAAAATCGGAGATACCAACCGAATTGTACACTATTACCAACATTCTGATATCGTTACGTGTCTAGCACTTTCTGAGTTGCTTGTAACGAAACGACTTGTACGATTATTTTCTGTCTGTACAAATTTTATTATACATTTCAGAATGAACATGAGCACAGCTAATAATTCTAGTCTTATAGTGGATCAGTTGATTACATACGCAAATTGGTTTTTTCCTGGTGAAATAGATTTTGATCGTGATTTGGATGTTGGTATTGTAAACGGTGTAGAAAACCAAAGCACAGGTATGCGTCGTTGCGTTTCAAACAGTAGTCTCAGCGATCACGGTGAAAGCCCGCCGCAAGGCAGTCCTAAACCAGCAGCTCGTAGAAAAAATAAACCAGCACCAACACCACCGAACAGTACCACGCCAGATAAACACGACAGAAAACCTGACGACAAGCCACCACCCACACCTGATAAACCACCTAGACCATTAACATCTGCGATTCTTAATCGTACGATGCATAAAGCTCAAAAACAAGATGTGATAAGTACAGAGTTACCAGTCAAACATGAAAATAGCATAGAGAAACAAGACGTAAACGTAGATGTAGAAGCTAAACAACAAAGCTACGATGTAAACGCAGTTGTAGACACCCCATCTATGGGTTGCTCTGAACACACAAATGAAGTACAAGGTGAATTACATAATGTAGAGGTCGAGGTAGAGAAAAGAAGTCAGGAAATACAAAAGCCCGAGAGGAAATTAAACACGATCATGACTGTCGAGAAGATTACTGTGGAAAATTTATCGAACAACAAACCAGAGACTGAAAATTCTGAAGCTTTGGTACACAGGTTAAAACCTGTAATTACAGAGAAACCACATCCTTCTACCTTAGAAAGACGAAGACCAATGGCCGCTCCGAGGACCATAACCAACGTGATACATAGCACAGGTAAATATTATGACAGCTTTTTCTTTGTTCGTCTAATATTAGAATATTAATATCGTTTAAATTCGTAGAAGAAACGGTCGAATTACGTAGAAAACCGGAGACTAATAATTCTACAAATACAAGCACACTCGACAGAAGCAGTAAACCAGCTATACCAGAACGACCGGCTATACTAGTACGACCCTCGAGTCTCATCAGGCAGCATCCACGCCACAGTAACGAAAATTTAGACACCGAAACAGGGGTGAGTGTTAATCCTTCCCGAACACGAAATTCTACTTCCGTTTTACATGTAAGATAATTCTTAATAAATGTAGTTACCGCCAGTGGACTCGACAGATATCATTGCCTGGATATTACATTTTGAAATACAATTTACGTAAGCTATGAAATAACGTGTGGAAAGACGATCATTGTGTTAATACAGTGGACTCTGACTCTAACTATATTGCCATGGAAAGTACGTGTGAAGGGGAAGTGCCTCGCGTGGCAATATAGTTAGAGTCGACTGTAGTTAATTTTGCTCGACAAATGTTAAACTTGAACCGTTCGAAGCGATCGATTTCAGGGCTGTTAATATATTTTTCTTTTCTTAAACATCTGTAGCCTTTAACTTTGGAAAGAGCTCATGTGTATTCGGTGGACAAACAGCAGGTCAGTATAATACAAGTCCGTGGAAATGGCAATGTGCTCGGCACAACCGGCGACAACAATGGCAACATGGCTTCGAACTTGCAGAGAAGCCCCAGTGTAGGTAGTCGACCGTCGTCAATGTCCTTGTATGGCGAACGACCGGAAAAGCCGGCGAAACTAAGTGCGCCGGAACAAACGAAAGCCCACGTACGAACCAGATCAGAAGGGAACATTATCGATGTTCAAACACAGACTGACACAGTGGTAGTTCATAAATCACCGCAACAACCTGTCCCGGCGTCACCGAGGTTTCATCAGAGACCACCAAGGCCGCAGCCGCCGCCGCCGCCACCGCCCACCATGCGGCCTAAATTAGAACAAGAAAGTACTAACCTCTAAGATCAACTTGTATTAAAAATGTGATTGCTATATTCGTAAGTGAACTCTCAAAGAATCACTAATTACTTTGAAACAAGAGAAAACAACAGCAATGGGCTCTTTATTTCTTTCGCGAGACGATACGGCATTTATGGGAGAATATCTGCAACGTGGGTTTTTGTAAATTTTCTCGTTTCGATGCGCGTTGCAGTGTGGACGTGTTTGACGATTTCGGATCAGTATTGCTGTGAAACAATGTTTTCACTACTTTACAGGGAAAATATGTTTCTTTCTTATGTTTCCGAAGTGATGGAGAACAGATCGCAAAATGAAAAACTTGACTTCAAGTATTGATATTTAAAATGTTTAAGCGTTTGTAAGTATGAATTTCAAATAACATAGAATGTTGCGTCTAATTTTCATACGTTAATGCTACAATTTTTGCATTTTATCAACGTTTGTACCTAGTACAGTAACGATGGAACAAGTATTGTACGATGAGACCAGTAGTTTGGCATTTGATCTCTAGCTTGATGTACACTTTATGTTTACAAATTCTTAATATTCTTATGATCAGAGCCGCCCTTAGATATGCTCCAACAAAGGCTCTACGCATTAGCAAATTGATGCATTTGTTGAGTAATGGACCCCTTGCGAGCATGATATTTCGTTTTAATAACTGCAAAAGCAATAACGGCCAATAAAACTGTAGTGTGAGGTTTTCAGCTGAATTGAAAATTTGCTGCTGTATTACTTAGTGCCTTCAAAAATTATGTGGTCGAGTCTCTAATTTACTATAATGTAAATTTATTTTTGAAAATTTTATTCTACTGTTTCGAGGCATGTTTAGGAAACCTGAAAGAAAGTATTTGTCTTGAGCCCTAAACTTTTAAGGGTGCCCCTGCTCATAGTGTAATATACAACAGAAAATAATTCATTTGATAGGAATTTTATTGTATTCATATCTATGTATGATACAAACTTATGCATACATAACAAATTTTTGCTAAATTTTATTGGAACTAACGAATAGGTGATTCATTATTTTGTTTCAGCTTCGTATAATCATTGCATAAATGTCCATAGTCTAGTTATAACACAAAATATTGTGAATGATTTAAAATTTTTATTTTTTATAAATATATTAATATATTTATCGATGAATTTGTGAAATTGAATTAATTTCTTTTAACATATTTTCCGTACTTTGTGTCTATAAGTGAAAATGAGTCTTTGTTGTAACTGATTAAAATGTATTTTATTTTATAAATGTACGGCTGTAAACATTTGAATATAATAATTTTGTAGGTAGAAATTCTAATAGAGTCAGATCGAAGTATAGGAATGTATGTAATTTAATACTTTTTTATGTCAATGAAATCTGTAGAGTTAATGACAGTACGCTCAACTTGTAATTAGAGCAGCGCATTATGTGATAGAAGGTGCGTGCAATCGGCACTATAAATGATAACATATGACAGATAAAATTTCTTGAGAGGCAATAACTTTTTTCAAAATGGAATCACCTAAACGTTTGTTCTATGATACAGCGGATACCATAATGCAATTAAAGAAAATTTATTTTATGACGGATAATTTTCACCAAGATAGTATAGGTAAGTCTTGTCAAGTATCATAATATCCTTCCATTTTAAAAAGATGTAAAAATACGTCCGATTCATTTTACACTAAACAGTTGTCAATATTTAACAACATAAAGAATACATTTAACTTGAAAAACAGTACACCAAATACAGAAATTTCGTAGTTTTGTTTAAAACATTATTCACCATCTGAGAAAATTTTAATATTCTTTAAAGTATGAGAAAATTAAACTATGAACGATAATGATAAAAAAAAGTAACTGTTTATGAAAACGATGTACATATTATTAATTGATCGTATAATTTTTCGATATGATAAATACGAAATAATTATAACTGCAGAAATTTTTTAAAAAGTAATCTTTAGTAACTCAACTTTTCAAATGGATCTTTACAAGATGGTAAATAATGTATTAAAATGAAAATGATTAATTTTCTGTAATCAATGTTTTGTGTAAAGATTTTTATTCTTATCTAAGTTACAAATTCCCTTTAACTTCTTTTGGCAGCTAATATAAAACGGTTCATGTAAACAGTTCAAATAAATTCTAAACACTTATGTAAACGTAACATAAATATTAAGCTGCTTGCTTGGTGATGAAAATTGAAACGGTTTATTTATTGAATGAATTTTCGTCATTTCGATAAATTGTGCAATGTAACATTTAAAAAAAAATTTGATATCTATTTCTACATGTCAGTTAACTGTTCAAAGTATAATTAATCTGTTATGTTTAACTAAAAGTAGTTATAGTTGCAATTTAATTAAACGAAAATTATATTAACAGTTGTTGGTAGTTTTAATAAAAAGAAATGAAAATTGCAATTAGTTTATTTTATGATTACAAGTTTTATCAGTTGTATTAAGAAAATAACGGAATAAGTTGGTTAATATTTGTATCACCAAGTATCAGCTGCGCAAACAAAAAAAGACGTTTCCAGAGAATCCTCTTATGAATTACCTTTGAGCCATACATAACACATATTAGTGGTTTCTTGTAATAATCAATTAAATAATCCAAAAAATACTTGTTTATTCTCTTTAGGTTTTATTTTTACAAATGTTCTAAATACATCCGTGAAAGTTTTTTGCTGTTACGAGGAAGGTTACGAATTTTGTATATTCTGCGTATGTCAGTTTATTTGTAAACGAAACAGCAACAATTCGATTATGTTTAACAGATAGTATTTATGTTTCATGATAAACAACGCAATGATATGTAAAGAAAATTTTTTAAATTACCACTTGTGACAAGTTGTGCATTTACCTAAGGAGTGCTTAGGCTGTGAATGTAATGAAAACTGTTACAGAATCTATTTGTACATAAATAAAGAATTTATGAAGACAATGATGTTTGGTACAGAATACCATGATTTTTATTAATATAGTTAGCTAGTACTATTTCATGCTTAGTAAATATGACAATGTATTAACATCAGCGACATCTTTGGGTTTCATACCGTCTTTATCTTCTATGGACTCTGCGCCAATGGAAAGTAAATATTTAACAACATCAAGATGTCCACAGAATGCTGCATAATGCAGAGGGGTTTGTCCATCTGTGTCCTGTGAATTCACATTTGCTCCATGTTTGATTAGAAGTTCTATGATCCCCACATGTCCACGATCTGCAGCCCAATGTATCGGTAACAAACCTTCCGTGTCCATAACACTCACAAGTTTCGATTCCTTGTCCAATAGTTCTTGAACTTTATGCTGATGGCCTTCTTTTATCCAATCCAAAAATGTTTTTTCTGTGTCGCTTATTTGCTCTTCTTCATTTATCAGGCGACTAACTGCAACCCATTTCTGTGGTTCAGATTTCACATCTTCTTCCCAAGTAGGACATATCTTCGTTAACTCTTCTACATAATTAATCATAGCAGTTTTGCAGCTCATATCATTAAGATTTTTCCACGCTTCCCATTTTTGTCTGGCCTGCATTTGATACCAATTAGGCTTTGGTACATTGCAGGATCCGACCGTTGCCTGTTTATACAAAGCATAGAATCTGAGTAGTTCTTCGGAACCTAATTCAGAGGCTAATGTTTGCAAATAACTTGCAGCTTTATCGAATGTTTCTTCGAGACACATTATGAAGGCGTTTTTGATCTTGTTATGTTGTCTGTGGAACAACTTCCACGCTTATTTTCGTCTTCTCCAAAATATGAGATTGCCTAAGTACATTATTCATTGTTATTTCATCGCAAAATTCAACGACACCATTGCCAGTGCTAATACCATTCGCATTGAATAAAATTTTTGCTTTCTTTATATTACCGAATGATGCAAAGTATTCCGCTAAGTCATAGTGTGCAATATTCCATGGAATATTAGATACTCTTATGATATATCGATAACTCATGACAGAACTTTCTTAAGTTGCACGTTGTATATTTAACAAGTGAATAGTGTGGTCCTGCATTAAGTCATAAATATTTATATCAGAATCTGTACCAAGTCCGTCCAATGATATGTGAGAACAAGTGAGATTCCATTTGTTCAACAGATGTTCTATAGACCAGTCTGCGCTTCGCTCTTGATAAGTACAAAGGAATTTTGCATTTGGATTCCTTTCTAATAAGAAAGCTATTGTAACAACTATGTCCTCAAATACTGACGGTTCATAGAAACAGTCAGATCCAAGAATTAAATCCAATGGTCCAATTGAAAATAAACTAGATAGAAATAGCCCCCATGTAATACCAACAATCTGAACTTGGGATAAAATGCCGTTTAGCTCACAACTTCTCTTTATGTGTTGAAGACTTCTGGGAAGACTAGCAGAATCGCTTAGAGTTACAATAGCACCGCACTTGCTAGCCAAAATTCCAGGAAGTGCTGTACCAGATCCAAGTTCTAAAACTCTTTTACCAATTAGCTCTTCCTTGTGCTCCCAAAGAAACCAAGCCAATATCGGTGCAGAAGGCCACGTGTAAAAACTATAACTGGCCTGAAGTAACTGTAACAAAAATATGGTACACAAAATAAGAAAAAAGAAATATCCAAGTCTTAATACATCAATAATTTCAGATTTTTTTGCCTGATGTAAATTACAAATTAGAACTCGATAGAAAGGAAATTCAATCGAAAGACGTTAAATTTATGTTCTTCTGTTAAAGGAATACGCACAACAGATGTCAAAAATATTTTAGAAATGATTCATAACCAAAAATTACGTAATACCGGTAGCAAACCCGAGTATAAGAATTAAATGTTGTTTCGTCCATTAATACATGATTTCTATATATAACACTTTTTTACCTCTGGTATGTAAATCTCTAAGCTCTCGTTACACTCTACGTTATCCTGAGTTTTACGAGAGGTGAATAAAAATTTTTTCACTTGCTCAGAGACAATTCCATCGGACATTAGGCTTTCTGAGGGTGAACTGCTATCGTGTAAAATACTTTCTTCTAAACCTGGCATGACTAACTGTCAAGTCATTTGGACTAATACTTTTCCATTTTGACCTGGTATTATTAAGTCTGAAATGGAAATTATAAACTGAAAGTTTTCATCGTCTACAAATCAAGTCTGAATGGAAAATATAATCACTATTTTGTCCAGAGTTGTCATCGGTACACATCAAACAATAGAAAACCCAACATTTAGACCATATTTAAATTCCGAAATTGGCGGGAACGACATTCCGAGAAAAAGATACTTAATTTCCTATTTAAAATATTTCTTTCATTATTATTATATTTGCAAATAAAAAATTTTCCGGTTAATACTAATAATTGCAAAACATGTTTAAAGATTATACGTTGAAAGGTACAATATATGTAGCACATACATGAAATTTTATTTTTAAAATACAAATTATTAAAGATAATGTAATTATTAAAATGATTTATCAAAAATTATTTAGCATTTAGTGTTACATTTGTACTTAAATCATAAAACCTACTGTTTACAATTTTCCGTATAATTTCATGAAGATTGATTCGTCGGTATAGTGATTATTATAGTGGCAAAGTGATATTGACACGTCTAATTTTGCAATAAAATTCAATTTTTTAACAGACATTATATAAGTGCGAAATTGAGCGAAATAAGTTTAACATTGAAATTAGTTGTAACATTGAAGTCTTATATATTTAATATGTAACATTTAATATAATGGATATAAATAATAGTATAATTATGTTCGGTTAAAAAGATACATCAATCAATCCACATGTATCATGTATAATTGAATTTATGATTCGATGAAATATGAGAATAACTACTCTTATAATATATTATTATGAGATTTGTGCTATTTTAGCATCACTCGTACGATACTGTGTTACAGCCGTCTTGATTAAACATGGAGGAGGCTGGTAACGAGAAGTTCCTATCAAGAAGGCGTTCTGCTGCACTTAAAGCTTTCAAAGTTAAAGATGAACGAGTGGCAACGTTTAAGAAAGTACATACGTAATTATAATACACGCTGCTTAATCGTAACCACTTCAGAACAATCTTCAACCAACATTTTCATATACATTTCCCGGCGTTAAAACCGATGTCTCGTAAACAGCTCCTACAGAACACTGCATCGACTGTTTATTCCAGGTTGCAGCGATCTTACAGAAATCTGAAACGGACAGAACTGCAGAGGAAACGGGGATACTTCTTTCCTGCAGTGACGTAGTAAAAGAGGTTAATTTGAGGTATAGCCATTTTGAAAATCATTGAATCTAATATTTACGAGTCCATCAATTTATTTTACACTATTGGTGTCACGTCAAGCATTAATATTATGAGTGTATGGTCATGAGAAATTATTAAGTATTATACAATTTTTATTTCGATTTTAATGATACCTGTTGTTAGGATACAGTCGTACTGTACCATGAGTAAAGTCTCATTAATTGATTTGTTAGACAGGAGAAAAGACATAGGGTAAAGGCAAGACTGGAAGAAGTGGAAGATGCACCAGAAATCTTGGAGGAAAAGTGTATACGACTAGCAGCAGCAATTAGCAGAGCAACATCATTGGCTGTGTACACTGGTGCGGGCATCAGTACAGCAGCTTCTATCCCTGATTACAGAGGGACGAACGGGGTTTGGACTCGTTTACAGCAAGGGAAAGATATTGGGTAATGCCAGGATTATTTGTGCTCATAGACAATTATCTTGTTGCTTGTTTAGTTATTGCTACATGGACAATACAAACTGATGTATCATGTATTTACAGAAATCATGATTTAAGTCAGGCAGAACCAACGTTAACACACATGGCTCTGTATGCTTTATACAAAGCAAGAGTTTTGAAACACGTAGTGTCTCAGAATTGTGACGGACTTCATTTACGCAGTGGGATACCTCGTACACTATTGTCCGAAGTTCATGGGAATATGTATGTGGAAGTTTGTAGAGCGTGCAAACCGTATAGAGAATATTGGAGATTGTTTGATGTTACAGAGAGGACTGCTCGATATTCTCATGGTACTGGTAGATTGTGTCATAGGTGTAGTTCTGTCCTGCAAGATTCGATTGTTCATTTCGGCGAACGAGGCAATCTCCCGTGGCCAATTAATTGGAACGGTGCGACAAGAGCGGCGAAGCAAGCGGATGTTATATTATGCTTGGGTTCTAGTTTAAAGGTTCTGAAAAAATATCCATGGCTATGGCAGATGGACAGACCAATTCACAAACGTCCTTCCCTGTATATTGTAAATTTGCAGTGGACACCAAAGGATGAAAATGCAGTCCTGAAAATAAATGGCAAATGCGACGAAGTTATGAAAAGAGTTATGACTCATCTAGGGTTGGAAATACCACGATACAATCGTGCTAAGGATCCGATATTTTTTCATGCTGTTCGGCTCAGGGGTAACGAACAGTGTACAACAAGTCAGACAGTTCTGGAAGAACCGCCTAGCATTGCTCCCAAGGAGCTAACGGAAATTAGTGACACCTTTCAGGAAGATATTAAACCGGAGACCAAAGAAAAAGAAGATTGCATCACAACTAGAAAACTAACCGAAACCATGTCTTCTTATTCAGCACCTTTTTTTACCGCATTACCATTCTTATCCATGGGCTTACCATTTCCACCTATGTACATGTGTCCTCAATTAACCCCACTTTTTTATTATCCATTTATACAAATACCAGATATGGCAATGAACACACCGAAGCCCAAGCCAGCTTGTATATTTTGCATGGATAACGAGGGTTCGATTACATGCCTTTATTATCAACGAGATGCGGACAATCCGTTAATAGAATCGGAAAGTATACAGATAGAAGATACAAAAACACTGGTAATCGAGACTGATTCGCCGATAGCACCTCCTAAAAATCCTGGATGGTTCGGCAAAGGATATCGCAAAGGCATGAAGAGGAAGCGGTAGCATTTACTCTCGTTAACATGGTACATGACTTTCCCTTCATCTGTTATTATGCGAAATGTACGACATACGGTATATAATAATGTACGTAAATGTTCGACGCCTCCCCATATCATGACGAATTCTGTGAAACAGGATTAACAAATGTGTAGCGATTTAACTTCCAGTATCGAAAATTTTAATAATCAAATTAAAATTGTGACAATAGTTCGTAATGTTTAACGTGTAGGCAGTTTTGTCTTTTATCAATGAAACTTCCGTAAGTAAAATTTTATGATAGGTTAATCCAAAACGGATATTTATGTCCGGTAAGTCTGACTTGGAAATTGTTCATTTGTAAATTTTACCGTTATGAATGTCATGTTAACTATGCTTGATTCGCAGTCATTACTATTGTGTAAGTCATTTAAGTTGTGATTTTTAATTATAAGATTTTATTTAAGCAAATGAGTGTTGTGCAGATCACGGTAAATTCCTAGTGACCAAAGTGATAACTTTCAATTACATTTTGTGTTTTTTTTTGTTTACTGTTACTTTTATATTTGTATAGTTAAATGTATTATAACGTACTTTTTTTTTAAAGAAAATTGGATTCGTAAGTGTTGCATGTGTGAAACGTTTTGCATTTTCCATTATATTCATTCATCATTCCACTTCTGTAAATACGAAGTAAGCAATCACAGAACACAAATGCTATGAATATTACTAAACTGTTTATAACAGATCTCGAATCAACATTATATTAGTCGTTATATTCTGTTGGTCTATAGATAGACTAAAAGGGACGAGTTTCATACAATAATTAATTTCTGTTCTTTGGTATTGCAAAAATTACCACTTCAGAACATTGGCATGACTTTATAGCGATAGATATATCTTTCATGAGCTCTTCCATTCAAGTTTTATTAAACATATCAGTTGATCTGCTCATATTACAAGTTAGCTTATTAAGATCAAAGGTAGTATAACTCATTGATTTTAATAATTATTCAAAATATAATTAATTTAAGACTGTTTTAAAACATACTATTCAACTAATGAAGCATTTCTTATAACTGTTTTAGTTGTATAAAGAAATGTTTAAACAGAACATATAAATTTGATTACATTCCGCGTGAAAATTATCAAAATTTTTGAACATAGAATGCTAAATTCGAAAAGTATTAACACACTGGGTATTATATTAGTATTCTTACATTGTTATTTTTATTTATATGTTTATTTATACGAATCAATAAATTTGTACTCTAATAAGACATTCGAACATTATAATGATTATTTTCTGTTTTTCAGTAATAATTACGAGCGTTTACGTTTACTTTTAACAACCGTACGATTGTTAGTATAAGCTTGCTTAATGATCAAATGCCTAATTTTATTCTTACCTGTAAATCGTTCGTATTTAAGAAATGGACATAGGTACTGGCAATACATCCAAAAGGCAATTGTTTTCTGACATGTAATCAAAATGTATATGTGTATATGTTACGTCTCAATTTTTTTACGATCGCGATTCATTAAGTCACATTTAAAATTACAGAAAATGTTCTAAATCTAAATCCTCCGTTTGACATTTTAACCAAATGCAAGGTAAAACAAATAAATAGACATTATTCAGTATGACAATTGTATAAATTTAATGCATAGTCGATTTAATTAGCGAATACATAGAAAAACTGAATAAAATATGATCGCTGTACAGATCGAAATGCCATGTCAAAATGGTGACGGCATTAGTCTGTGACAATAATACAGTCGTAGTTTCATACAACAGTTTACAATGGACAAACGACATTCGAGTCGCGAGAAACTAAATCGTTCGTCTTTCTAACGTTCTAATCCATAAAAAAGAACAAATTGTTCACTTCGAATGCCAAGCACATATAACAGAATAAAAACAAAGGGAGCATGGACGTAAAATATGCATGTGGGGAGGAATACAACAGACACGTCGGCAAAACTGTGCGTTCGATAAAAAAGAAAAAGAAATAGCAAAATTGGGGATTATCATTCAGAGCTTTTGAAGTGACAGAGGGTTAAATAAATGGAAGAAAAGGAAGGAAAGGTGAGTCGCGAACTCCCGTGTATATTACGTATTGGCGTAGGCGAGACCTCTCAGTTCCTTTTTTTTCTTCTCTCTCTCTCTCTCTCTCTCTCTCTCTCTCTCTCTCTCTCCCTCTCCCTCTCTCCCCTTTCCTGCGTACAGAAACTAGTTTGCTGTAAATAATTTTACATTACTCTCGAATCGCCGTCGGGTGGTTTCCTTGAAAACAGCGGATCTGGGGGCAGAGCGTTGTTAAGGGCCGGTTTCGCATGGCGACGCGATTTTACGGTTTGTGCGGGCTCGTTACGAAAGTGCCAAGTCGAGCTTTAGACGTGAAAGTAAATGAAGGAGGAAAGGGACACCATCGGGGAACATGGATCCGTACGGTTGTATCACGAGGGATATGATTCCATCCTGCCTGTGAAAGACGTATTCGGATGAGTGCGGTATATACATATCCAAGAATCGAGTCTTTCAGGAGAAATCAGCGGGAACTTGCACAGCGGTGAGTGAACATTGTCGTGGACCATGAAAGATACATAGATTGAGTCGCAGCAGCCTGTGGTAGAAGGGGGGCGGGTGAAGGGGGAGAAACGAAAACGATGATGGGAACAGAAGGAAGGCGGGGGAATGCTACAAGGGCTATTGCCTGCTAGAAAGGGAGAGACATTGGAAAAGCCTACAGTCTGTTGCTATGGTTACCTTCTATAGCGTCACCCTATCATACAAGCTTGAACAGTGGTTATTGTATGGCTCACTGTAGTACTTTGCCGATATTACAATAGTTTACGACCAACGCTTATTAACTTCCTGATTCTGTACGAGTTGCCCTCGTTCAAGATCACGTGATACTATTATATGCACTATTTTTATAACAACTAATATAAAGAGACTGGAAGAAAATTCGTTTAAACGTGACAGGAAAAACGTTATTTAAAGTTGCACGTGCATGAAATTGGACGAATTTACGCAATTTTATGATACTTATAATAGTTTTGTGTTTCGAGCACCCGTTTATTGAAAATGTTCCGTTATTTATGATAATGAAGCATACAAGCATTTTTACAGTAACTGCATTTATTTGATTGCAATTTTTGGAAATGAGAATGAACATTAAGTTCTTTTGAAATATCATGTTTAAAATGTCAATTTCTTGGATAGGGACCAAACGACGAGAGTATGAATCGCGTTAAAATTTTATGGACAATTAAATGCAAAATTTATGTAATTTTGAGGAAACTGATATATATATTGAAATCTGTTACGTATATTGTGAATAAAATTAATAAAACCACTAACAATATTACGAACAACGAAATCGTAAAAGAAGAATACATTTGTCCTTTTTTTTTTTAATCGTTCTCGTTCTCAATCTCGTTCTCGTTCTTATTCTCGATCTCGATCTCGTTCTCGTTCTCATTCTCATTCTCATTCTCGTTCTCGTTCTTATTCATTAAAATTAAAATTAAAATTAAAATTAAAATTAAATTAAAATTTTTATTTTACAGGTTAAAAACTATACACAATCCCAATTCTAACAAAGATTGATTTTATTCAAAATACATATGTACATTACATTTAATTTAATTTTCTACTTGCGTGCTATGTATCTTAATCACTAATTTCATGTAAACTGACAATAATATACAAATAATACCGTACAATTTTTAAATTTTACAACTAGTTTAAACAATAAGTAACGGGTAGATATGTTAGCCTCATATTATATTTCGACACGAATATTTGATAAATTTTTAAAAACAATTTTTTTGAAAGCTACACGTATGAAAAAAACTCGATTTAATCTTTCTTGGAACACTTTGTATAGTAAAATATACATCAGCGATCTAATTGATAAAAACTTTAACAATATTTAATTAGTTGGTGGGACATATGTTTTCTTAAGCATTTTATCTATTTTAAGGGGGCGGGGAGGGGGGGAATGTGGAAACGAACGGCTGACTATATTTTATCTAAAACCGATTCAGATGCGTTTATTTGTCTGCCTGCGAAAGCCGTGATAAATACTTCTCTTACACCTGGTACATCAGAATGTGATATACAGGGTGTCTTTTTTGATACTTCTAAGAATTTATGTGAAAATAACTTGTACGTGCTGACAGTTATTTTTTTATGAATATTAATATACAATATTTGTAATTTTTATACAATTTGACCAAAGAATTTGTCAATAATACTTACATTTTAAATTATTCTTTTATTACTCATCTCGGGAAGGTCGTCCCAGTATGTATAATTGAATTTTCAGATTTGTCATCAATAATCTAAATAATAAACACTACATTTGTACAACTAAAAATATTTTGTTCATGCTAAAATATAAAAAAGATAGTCCTGAAAAAAATATTATTGATTACGATATTCAGCTTTCTACTGTTGCAAATGGTTCTGACACAGGAGCAAAGTAAATCACCTTGCACATGCGCGTGCAAATAAAACCCAAGCAGATGATCTAACGTAATTGACGATAATTCGTTCTATTGTTCTGTTGTTCCTATCAGCGCTTACGCGGAACAACATAATTAATTACTTACTTCGAAGTGTCTTATCAACTACTACAAATTGTTTCACATCATTTATTAATTTATTTCTTGAAATAAATTCGTGGAAGTTGAATTCATTACATAAACAAAATTGTTCCTGTAAAAGTGGAGTTTTTCAAATAAACCATTCCATAAATACTTATTTTTAACTGTCCACATTCGTGTACATTTTTTATTGTTTCCAAACAAAATTTCTGTAATATGATTAGGATGTGGTTAACAGCAATAAGACATTTCCTAACCAAGAAAAATATATTCGCAACAGTCGTACCGTGGAAAGAAACATTATTATTCTCTGTGATTTTTTAGGAAGTGTTCTTATCTAATCAGTCTGTACATTTACTTTCCCTATCTCCGTTTAAATACACCCATCTGACTTTAACCGTTCAACGATGCAACACAACGAGTGCGTGTGTGGCACGTGCGTACGTGACGATTGTGTGCCCAATGACATCAGGAATAATTTTTAATAGAACCTTCAGACACAGTCCTTCTCATTCATATGTAGTCTCGATTAAATAAGTTCATCACAAATACAGAGACCCCTTTATCCTAATCTTGCGAATTCCCTTAAGGCTTAAACCAACATTAACAAATATACAATTTACATGACAACCATGCAATGACATTTTTCCATTTATCAAATAATCATAAGAGAATTCTCACTATTACGTGTATACTGATAAGATAAACATTGTTATGCTGTAAATTCAAATCAAACTAATTTACTTTTCAAGCTTGATTACGAGCAACAAACGTGCATAAACAATATTGAAAGTTAATTTCTTGAAATAAAGTATTTCCAATAAAACAAACAAAATTAATATTTTTCAAGATAACGAGGTGTCTTGAAATTATATATACATCCTATTATTATTCTACTACCATTCTGGTCACCTTTTATTTATTAACAAAAATTCTAACACAAATGAAACAAGAAACCGTGAACGTACAATTCAGCCTAAAAGTTTTATAAACATAGGGTACAACAATTACCTGCCATACCATTGGGGTTACACCTCAAAAGCGTCGCAGTCGAATTTACAGGGCACCAACCAGGACAGCGACCAAAGTAAATAAACATGTTAAATAAATGTTACTTGATTAAATTTACAGTGAAGTAGATTTTGAAAAAAAAAACAAAAATACAAGCACATTCGCACGGCCATGAAGACCTAAATCCATACAAGGAGGAGATTTATCGTTACCGATCGGTCGGGGGGCGCTCTAACGGTGGCATTCGATACTACGAGCGCGAGACAGTGCTACGTGAGAAGTCGCGACGGAGAGTGGTTCGTACGGTCGTTGTTCCTCGATCGCGTATACGGTCGAAATTATATGTGCCCTGTTTTTCCAAGTGGAATTCTCATTGTTTACGATCCGAACGGAATTCAGCATGTCGCACCCGATCGACGGGACTTCCGATCTCGAGGTGTTCGCGTAGTACGCAGAGAGACACGGTGCGTGTCGGAGCGGCCAGGTTATCTTCCTTGTTCCCCGAGCGAAAAAAAAAACGATTTCCGTCAGTGTACAATGGCGCGGGAATCTCGCGTTCTGGAATCGATGTGTGCACGGCGTAGGTGATGATCGGTGCTCCCGTCGCGTACATGTGGCATGGTGTTTATAGTGATACAGGAAGACTCGAATACCCCGCTGGATCGACCAGCCCCGACGGTTTTCGGATACGAGCCGTGTAGCGAGCCGCCATGAGGCGCATTAGCGGTGAGCGAAATGCATTTATTCTAACCGTATATTTATCGACAGTTCGTGTAACCCCTCGCGATAGCTACGTTTCGCGCAGACGAACGTAACAATTTTTCGCGTCAGGCTTTCGATCATTTGGGCGACGAAATTCGATTAACTTCTTTTGTTCGTAATGGTAGTTCTGCCAGTAGGATGATCCTTAACGTCATCAAGTCCTACCGAACCTCTATTCACAAATAGCTGGGTCTGTTCGGACCCAGGCCTTGCTTGTCGAGGGTTAATATCGATGAGTTATCGTGAACGGAGTTTGTGAATGATTTTTTTTTGGTTAAATTTTCAGAAATTTTTTTTGGAGTGTTAAACCATGAAGAACTTCCAAGTTCTTTGTTCAAATTTGTACACTTGGATCCGCTAGTTTATTTTTCGTAGAGAATTTTGAATCTGTACACTCATTTGTCATTTATACTTGAATGGATCTTTTGTTAATTTGTCTGAAGATTCACGTATTCGATGGTATCAAGATACTCGTATCGGTACAAGTTACATCCTATTTACCTTTTCATATGGCAAAATGTATAAAAAATTGTTGATTTCTGTTTAGCTGTGCTTACATGAACATTGAAGTTCAAGAAGATTATCCAATTAACATGTTAATGCTTTGAGAGTTTGCTAATGTATAATAATTGGTCTGTATATGTTTGTGTATTTTTGCCACAGATGCAAATAAGTAAAATACAGTGTGAAAACTACATAAATACTTAAAGTAGACTTCATTTGCTTTGTTATATAATAGAATCTTTGTTTCTTTTTCAATTCTGCTTTCATAAATTGGGCCATGTAAATATGAATCTATATGAATGTTGTAGGAAAAGGTGGAAAAATTCTGATAGAAGCTGAATAGTTATATTTTTGAAGTGAAATTATTGGTGACATGGGTCATAGATGATTCATTGACACTGTATTTTTATTAATTTATTAATATATCACAGTCAGAATATATTCATATTCAAGTCTGTCTTCTGGAAAATATTCATAGTATATTATTTTCTTTTACATACATGTTGGTTACATTGTATTTGTTCTTCTGTTGTGTCATTAATTATATTACTTTATGGAAAGACTATTAGCCTTCATTGTAAGTTGAAACCATATCAACGTTTCTTTCCTTGGTCGGAATGTTTGCTTCTTAGTTCTGTCTTCAACAATGTGCATGTTCATGTGATAGTGATTCAAGTGGTATCTATAATAATGTGTGAGTAATGTTTCTGAATTATCTCAGTAGCATAACACGGTTTTATAGATTACTCAGTTTCATTTTTTACAGTTTATAAATCAATTTTTCTTAGTCTCCGGTGTCTTTCCTTGGGTTACATAACTACTGTTTATGAGTACATATTTTTAGATATGTTACCTTACATATACATATTTACCAATATATGTTTCTATCTAGTATTTAAGAGATACACAGAATTTACTAGAATAAAGTTATTGGATATATTTTTAAATAATATTGTTTTCTTAGTATATTCATTTATCATGCAATGAACTATCATATCTGCATGTTTTTATCAGTTTTTTTGGAGCCATTATATTACAGTAAAATATACTTTTGGATTCACTTTTATCTGGTGTGTGTTAATCTAAAAAACGTGCTTCTAATTGATTAATCGTGCATGATAGTTACAAGTAAGGTTATGTCAACTAACATGTGCAAATGTACATTAATTAAATAAAATTTGGTGATCAATTAATTACTGCTAAGTTTATGGTCATATGGTGTTTGGCAAAAAATTGACTGAAATTCTAAGCATCAAGTCTCATTGAGATGAACAGACTTTAGACCGTAATTAATTTTCGGAGTACGGATCGTCAAAGCTGACGTCTGGGTCATTCATGACCCATAATAATATCTCTAAGCAATTTAATATTTTCAATATTTTACACATCATCATTTGTTGAAAATATTTATTACTTTATTTCCTTGCTCAAGGTCAGTTCAAGGTCGCAATACAATATTGAATGTAATTCAAAATCAGCTACAATATGAAAATAGTTAAATCGTAGAGTCTTGTTCAAAAAAGATCTCAATGAAAATCACCTTGGGCACCAATGAAAAATGATCGTACACGTCTGAAAAAAAAGAAACATCACGGTTACATAAACCATTCAAATGATATTCCACAGGTGTTTCTTTCGTGTCTCCGAGCGACACCAGCGTATACATATTATTCATGTTTCCATTTTTTTTTTGTTCTTTCTTAGAGGATCATAAATAGAATCCTCCCTAATGGACGATTCCACATTTTGTATGCAGTGACATTATAAATACACAGGGGGACGTGTGGTGTACGTTGGCGCGCGATGAAACGTGAACAAAAAAAAATTGTGTTATATGCCTGAAGTGCTTCCGGATAAAGAAGATTTATTTTTTTCCCGTAACCTACTTATAATACCCGCGTGCGCGCACGGTGGCTCGTTTCACCTCCGACGCGTTTGTTTATACAAGGGCGGGACCATTTAAACGGGAACACCTAAATGCCCCCCCTCCCCCCGTTGCCGATGGATATATAAGGAGGTGTCCACACAACTGGAAGAAGTCATATCTTCTTTCTTCATTGCAGTTAAAAGAAAATGGTGATGGAAGAAGTTGCGTGGTTTAACTTTCCCCTTTGGTCCACGCTGTGTAATGTGACTTGTAACAAAAGTTACACTTCCTTTTTAATGAAAATATTAATTTTTTTAAATAAATTTTCTGTTATCCATAAAAAAAATTTCGATTTTATCGGTATTGATACTCGCAATTAAATTAGAAGTAATACAATCTATAAATGAAAATGAATCATTTATTTAAGCATATTCTCAGGTAACAGTGTGGAAAAGAAATCGACCAATCGCAAAATTCGCGGGGAAGCTCGCGATTGGTCCATTTTCCTTACGACCTGGTACCGTTAGGGTGATTGCAGTGATTGTATTAAAATCTCGATATTTGTGGGCGTTAAGAGTATTGATACTGGAATATATATTGTCACATTAAATTTTGATATTTGAATTAAAAACTGTCGATATTAGAAATATCGATATTTGAATTGAGAACTATCGATACTTGAATTGAAAACTATCGATATTTGAATTGAAAACTATCGATATTTGAATTGAGAACTATCAGTATTTGAATTGAGAACTATCGATATTTGAATTGAAAACTAACGATATTCGAAATATCGATACAGCATCGCCCATCCATACAGACTCGTCGAGCCCCGCTACGCGTCGTCTGAACGCACCCCGTCGTGTGTAACGTGGGCAAAATTTCATCCCATCGAGGGTACATCCGGCTGAATGGAACGTTCGAGGGAAATATGGCTTCTTCCTTTTGGTATGCCTCCTATTCTCACGGTGTGTGCTGATGAAGCACTTAATGATGCGTGAGCACGGGGTTGGAATGTTCCCCTGTAACGGAACCAATCCAGGAGGGAGCCTCAGTAACCTCAAAATTCCAATTTGCACCGTTCCGTCAGTCCCAGCTCCTTTGTTAACAATTTAACTTGTACACAAGTTGCAGACAAGCATCGAATTGTTTTTTTAATTAATTTCTCATGTTTCTGCAACGAACAATCATATAATCTATGTGGTTCCGGATGTCGGGTTATTTTTGACCCATGGAAAAATTTTCGTTGATAATTTAGTCGGTATATAAATAACATCGAATTGTTTTTCATTAATTTTTAACCTTCCTGCCACAAATAATCGGACGATCCACGCGATTACCGGATGGCGGGTCATTTTTGACCCATGTACAAATTTTCGTTGTATGTAGGCTACAAAAAATTTTTGTTGTGTTTATGGCAATTTTTCAAACTTCCAACCATTGTGTCGTGTTGATGTAAATTTTTCGTTGGTCACTGTTGAGGGTACTGACTCGCCAAGCTACGCGCCGTCTGAACGCCGCCTAGAACGTTTGAAATTCCACGAGCGTACGGCGAGCGTCAACCGAGAGAGACCTTGCTGTACTTTAAGACAGTGCTTATGTAAGGGCGATAAAGAACGAGGGCGTGCGTCGAATAAACCGACCGTTTCTTTCTGGATTCAATGGAACGTGCTGATACTTCCGGTATATACTTCGTGGAGCTTCCATTGATGTTTCACACGATACCACGAAAATTCTCTTCTTGTTTTTCGAAGAACGAACGCTGTTGTAACTATTTGATTACTCACGAAAAATAATTTTGCTGACCCTCGGAAGGTGGGACGTCTTTAACTATTGGTAGGCAAACTGGGTCATTTATGTCCAATTCTAATGGTTTTTTCTCACTTTTTTAAGCTTTCGAAAAATCTGTAAAAATTCTTGGATACTTATCGAAGTGGTTATTATAGTGTTTCGAATGTTTAAAACCTTTTTTGGTTAAAAATACAAATTTGAAGGAAAGTTTCAGCAATGACGTGTGACCTAGAAGAGTCGAGACCCTTTTTTCCGAATCGGGGTTAAACATCCTGAGCATCTTTTTCTCATTTAGATTATCGCTCGAAGTTCATAAAAAATAATATTGTCTTAAAAAAAAAAGGCCCTGCCAATAGGCTACCAAGCTCCTAAGGTGTCAATGGTGTTCGATTACTGTTTGTGACACACCGTGTATATACGTCATGTTTTTCGTAAGTGACCCCCGGTACATTGTCGTGCAAACCAACAGGGAGGAAACGGATCATTCAGCAGGGAGGCGAGATCACGCGAACTCCTCCTGGTCACACGAGGAGAGCCATTTCAGGCCGATCACCTGGATCATTTTACTTTCACCTGGGAGAAAAACTACCAGGAAGGGGGGGGGGGAGAAAAAATCGGAGTTCAGGATCAATGGGGAGAACATCCGCCGTTGACAATTGTTTTGGTTGTCGTCGATCCGCCAATGGTAGGGGCAGGGGGGTCGGGGAACGTTTCAAGGTCAACTGGAGACGATCCACCCGAAGATCCAGTTTTTATTCCCCGTGGAATAATGGTGTATCTCTTTGCATACCCCCTAATT